GCGTTTATGCTTACTTCAAAGTATTTGAGTTAAAAGTAATTTTTTTTCTTAAGCCATTTAAAACAGGATTAATATTTTTTAAATAATGAATCATCCTGCCTTCTGTTAACTGTTACAAGTCTGTGCATATGTTTAAAATTGTCTTACTATTAATATTAACTTTTATAATACTCTTGTAGACATTGTAACATTGTCTCCAACGCTTTATATGTACATTTTTTTCAACAACTTGAACTCAACTCACTATAAGTACTTAAATGGTTCTTATAAATTTGTTCTATGATTACCCTAAAATTCAACAAAAATGTTTTATTTAAAATATAGGTACACAGAGGTTGAACATTGTTATGATGTTTAATCAATACTCAACTTATTGACTTTAAACTTTAAATGAGCTAGATAATTAATAAGCCCTAAGTAATATTGAATTTGAACTGTTAATTTTATAAATGTTTAAAATATCTAATATCTATATGTATATGACTATATATATATATATATATATCTATTGTTTGTAAATAAATCAAATTAAATTTTCAATTAATTAATATTTATCAATGTAAAAATGAAACAAGTTCACTTTACCGGACACACTTTATTTTTCAATTTTTTTTTTTTTTGAAAACATGTGTTTTTTGATACTGAATTTTTCGGGGAAATCATTATTAAAGATGTTATGGAAGTTTGAAGTTCGTCGTTAACATGGTTTTAGCTTAGATACCTATTTATTTTACACTTGTTTATTTAGAATTATAACGCATTGAGCAACGCAATAGCCATAGGAACCGTACCATCGAATTTGATATCGTCGTTGGACGCGTTTTTTTTTTTCAAATAAAGGTTCAAAAATTTACTGAACTCGATACTGCATTTCCTTCAGCCATCGCGTTACCCAATGCGCCACACTCAATTCTAAATAAACACATGTAAAATTAATAGGTATTCAAACTAAAACCGTATTAACGACGAACTTCAAACTTCCGTAACTTCTTTAAAAATAATTTATCAAAACAAATATATATATATATATATATTAGTTGATTTAATCTTTAAAAAATTAAAACCCAAAATAATTTCTTTAATATGCTAATAAAATAAACCAAGTTGTACTTACTTTAATTTTTTTCAAAAAATGTTTGCATGTAAAAACTTTTTCTACTTTATTATAATCAAAATATTCGTTAACAACAGATACTCGAGGCATACTAACAATTTGTTTTAGTCTAATTAATTACTTATTCAATTGTCAATAGACAAGTACACTACAGTTAACGTAAATGCCAAACAGTCAAACTGTCAACATAAATTTGGGTAATTGACAATATTGTAATCTATAGTATTGTTTTAAGTTCTAAATATATACTCAATGTCTTTGAAGAATAGAAGGTGAACACTATCCTCTCCATAGATTTGAAACATTCGATATGATATTCGATAGAAGGTAGTACTCACAAATATATATATACAAATTGTATAAAGTTTTTATGAGTATCTGCGGTAATGCTTGCCACGATTAGAAAGATAGGATTATCTTTAATCGTAGTGCTTGCTCTCCGAACAGTTCTATTTCTTTCACTCTTATGATATAAAGTATAAAGTATAAAACTCAAGCCATCAAATGCAGTCACATCATTTTTTATTAATTATTATATTTATGTCGTCAGTCGTCAATAAGTTATGAGTTTATGTCATTGTGTGCGTTCGTCGTTTATTGACAATAGTCCATAAAATAATAATATACTATTCTAACTTATTAGTACCTATACATTATGTGTATACAAAAATAGAGTTCATAAGTCAATTTAAAGTTATAACATTAGTTATCATGATTTCACAAGAAATAAACAGCTCTAAACAAAAATCAAAATAGTTTATCAAAACAGTCGTATTTTAATCTGTGATATAAGCATTATATAGCCACGAAGGAAAAAATAATATAATATATCATTATAAAACCCGTTTTTTTAATTTAAAAATATGGGTTCGGATTTCAATTCTGATTATTTGAAAATATTTAAATTCGATTCCGGTTTCCAATATTTTAAGGGTTTTCGGGGTCCAAAAACCCGTTCTTTTCTGTTAGATTCCAGGCCCTGATCGCATCTAAACTCGTCGTATTCGTGATTTTTATATAAATAGGATATTGTAATTTTTGATGTGCTAAATGTGAACTCATTTTATATTTTATTTTTATAATTTTAAATTATCAATAATTAATATGAATAATATCAACAAATATTTTACGAATTTTAGAAATTATTTAATAAATCAACAAATTTTGTAGAAAAAATAAAAACCTTTTTATTGTATAAACTCAGATCTTTTTTTGGTTGCTGGGAAAACTACCCGACTGGCTACGATGTATATATCCCCCTCCCCCAATGAAAATTCCTGTCTACGCCACTGCCACCAAGTACAACTTACAATGAACCTTATGTTAAATTGTTAAGCATTTTTTCAAGCCAAACCGTTTTATTCACTTATACCAATGTACTTACCAAGTAGAAACTAGGCTTTAGGTACTTAGTCTGACGTACTTATTCATTATCATTAATTATTAATATTATTATTCTTAATAATATCATTATTATTAACTATAAAAACTACAATTGTACTTTATTGCAAAAATATTAAATAATAAACTACTACGTGACTCTAAGCACTAGTTGAACGCGAGAAAATAATATTATGATAGAGAACTTTTTTGGCCGGGATTCGTACATGGTAAACATTGGCCGTTACGCAACCATTCTATATACAATCGTGCTACAAGCCAACATGGTTTACCTTTCCAACCACACATTCAATTTGTATTTGATAAAACTAATTTTTGAACAAAATAAGTTTCTAATAAATTATTTTTCGACAATCGACAAATTTATTTTCGTAAATAAAATTTTCTGAAAAAAAAACTTTTCTGGTAAAATATTTTCAACATTTTATACTGGTCTATTATATTTTCGTATAAATTATTTTACCAAAATACTTTTCTATAGTCAAATATTTTCTGCTCTAATAATTTAAGTAAATATATTTTCGAATAAAATATAGGAGCCGCTGTTAATCAACATTACACGCGTTTTTTTTGAAATAATTCAATTAAATAAACTATACACCTTAATATATATTTTATACAATAAACTTTATTATTTTAGATTCTGAGTGTAGCGAATGTAGGTATTAGTTAAAAAAAATATTACGGCTTTCTTTTTTCCTGTGAACAACTTTTCTAACAGCAAAATTGCTCTGATTTAAAATAATAACACTTTTACTTAAAGAAAATCTGACTGAGGAGATACTTTGAAGAGATTGTTTTTTCGATTTTCCCAAGAGTTTTCTCAAAAAATGTGAAAAACCAAAAAAAAAAACTGAGGAAAAATTGGAAGAATATACGAAATGAAGGTATTAGTTAATAAATATTACAACTGTATTATTGATGTGATGCAATTTTAAATAAATATTCTGTTTGAAATTATTATTTGATATTTTAAATGTTCAAGTTTTAGATTCTGAATGTAGCGAAGAATGTAATGGTTTTACAAAGATTTTATTTATTTTTTTATACTGTGTACAAAAATTCTACCAGAAATATTGCTCCGATGTACACGATGTAGACCTATTTCTGAAAGGAGATTTTTTTGGGTTGTTACTTTAAGCAGACCATTTTTTGATTTTCCTTTTAAATGTGAAAAAGTGGAAAAAAATTAAGAAAAGCGCGAAAGTTACGAAAATAATGTTTTTGTTATTTGTGATAATTCAGTTAAAAATATTTGTATCGATTTTATGAACTTGAAATTTAAACAAACAACTTATATTTAGGTTTTTTTAGACGTGGTAAAATGTTCAAAAAATTAAGGCCATTTTTGAGCTTTTTATAGACATTTTAATTTAGCGAGTTTTATATGTGATTTGTATTTAATAGGTACTGTTCATAAAACTGTCAACTAAACAGAAATTCGTGTAAATTTAACAGGTTTATTAAAAGTCTTACCATTGATTATAAATACTATAGATTGCTCACTGCTGCATATTTACGCCGCGTATTACTTGTTGGCCGCCCTATGAATTGCTGCCTTAGCCTACTACTAAGCCAATAGTAATGTCGGCCACCGCAGTAGTGCGCTAGTAGTGAACCGGAGCATAGAGTACGTGCGTTCAGTGCTGATTTCCCAATACCATAACTTATATTATGGTTATCTCTACCGCATATAGATAATTATAAACTAGATATTAAACACGTAACAGTGATGTTATTTTACAAATTTATAATTACATACTTTGCACAAAGGGTAGGTGACTAGAAAAATATAAATAGAGACTTGTTTTTCATAATATTGTATCAACAAAAATTAAAAATGTATACGAAATGCGTACTATTGTTATTATTTTAGATTTTAAGAGGAGTAAAGAAACTTATGGTTTTACAACGAGGTTTATTTTTAGGAAGGTCATTTTTTGATTTTCCCAAAAGTTTTTTCTGAAAATGTAAAAAACCGGGCTAAAACATAGGAAAACCGTGAAAAACATAAGAAAACTGGAAAAATCGGTACAACATTAAACAAATATTATTAAAGAAAATATATAAAGCCTATTTAATTATTTTTTTTACTATAAAATGTCATATATATTGTTGACAAAGCATTACTATCAACTGAACTCTGCTCAAAATCGTTTTTCGTAAGCAATGGTTTATTGCTGCTTACAGATATACATTAAATTATCTACAACGAAATTTACGAAAATAATTTTTTTTAATTGTTTACTGTTATAAAAAATGTTTTAATTAATTTTTTTAGGTTTTTAAGTCATATTAAGTTAATATTCATTAAAAACACAAATAATTGTAACTTGTTTTGTAGTTAAAAGTTATAGTTTTTAATTTAAATTTAAAAATATGTGTAATGATTTTTTATATCATTACAGTTTTTCATTTGCAATGATTTTTTATTTAATGTATATTTTAATTTTAAATATTTAAACAGGTTTAACATCCACATAATATGGATCCTCATAATCCTGTGGTGGATCTTACATTAGACGATGATGATTCTAATGAAGTTTCTACAACTATATCAAGATATGAACCTAGCGAATCTGTAAGAAATTATTTTTTATAAATAACTTTTAGAATTTTTTTTTCCTAATTTGTAATTTAATCATTCAAACAGGTTGCAATTCAATATGTGGATGATGAAGAAATAGATGGTGAAACTAGGGATTATGTGGTAAATTATTTACTAAAGCAATTCCTTGAACAAAATCCTGTTCCTTTAGGCATACCAATAAGTTCAGAAACTCCTGGCATTAGTAATGATAATGAGGTATTTATTAGTATTTATGATTAATTTCAGTAAAGTTGTAGGATAAGTAATACAGATAAATTTTATTAAAAGAAAAAGACTCAATTCCTGTAAGAAATTTATGTTTTATAGATTCTGAACAGAGTGAGAGATGTTTATTTTGAATTGTTTTTCTATGGAAACTTTTCTACTTGCAATTTTGCTCCGATTTAGGAAGCTAGTACTTTTTCTAAAAGGAAATCTAACTGGGGAGGTACTTCAGAAAGGTCTTTTTTGATTTTCCCGGGAGTTTTCCCAATAAAAAAGAAAAACTGGGAAAATAGGTGCAATATTAAACAAATATTATTAAAGAAAATATATAATGCTTATGTAAATATTTTACCATAATAAGATATACAGTGAGTGTAAAAAGTATTCGTACATTCTACATTTTTAAATAAATATTTATTTTTCTTCATGATATTTTATTATGAATTAATACATGCATATTATTCTTTTACGATTATTAATTAAATTTAAAAAAAAAAAAAACCATGACAACAGTTATATTAATAATAATATTCAATAACAAACAAAACAATAAATATATAATAATAAAAAATAATAATAATAAAGAGTTGTATCAAAAAAAATGCCTTTAAATTATTGTACAACCGTATTTGGTACTTTGTAGGGTAGCTTTTGGACCTTATTATAGCCTCCAACTTCTTAGACATTGAATCAACCAGATTACGTGTTGTTTCTGCTGTGATTTTATTCCATTCCTCTTTTTGAAGTTTCCTTACTTGAAATATTGTGATCTAGAATTTTTCTGTCCAAATAATCCCACAAATTCTCAATAGGATTAATGTCTGGAAACTGCGGTGGCGTCACAAGATATTCAGTTACATTGTTCGACAACCAAACCTTAACTTTTTTGCAGTATGCTTGGGATCATTGTCTTGTGTAAATATGAAATCATCTTTGATGCCAATTTTTTCGGTACTAGCTGCAAGATTTGTCTTCAAAATATTTAAATAAATATATTGGTTCATAATTCCATTAATAAAGTGCAAGTTTTCAACACCCTGAGCACTCATACATCCCCAAACCATTACAGAACCTCCTCCGTATTTTACTGTAGGCTGTAAATTATTTGGTTCCATTTCTGTATTCGCTTTTCTCCAAACAAAACGTCTTACATCAGAGCCAAAAATATTAAATTTACTTTCGTCTGTAAATATAACTTTGTTCCAAAAGTTATCAGATTGATGTACGTTATCTCTTGCAAAAGCAAATCTCTTTTATTTATTTTTTTTTCATTTACAAAATATTTTTGACGAGCTACTCGTCCATGGTAATCACTATTTTTTAAACAATTTCTAATTGTACTTACACAAACACGTACTCCAGAAAAATTCGCAAGATCTTGTGCTATTTTAAGTGCTCCTTTTTTTTGGATTCAATTTGACTTTTCGTTAAACTATAAGTTTATCATGGTCAGAAAGTTTTTTTAGACGACCATATCGTTGCTTATTTTCGTGACTTTTCCACTCATTGTATCGATCTATCACGTCTTTCACAGTGGTATGAGCTCTGTTGACAATTTTTGATATTTGACGTAATGATTGGCATTGATTATGCAACCGCAGAATTAGTTCAAGTTCAGTTTAATTTGTCTTGCAATTTTTTCGACTCAGTTTGTGATAGATGATATTCCAATAATATTTCGAAGCTAACTGAATTGGTATAATCTTGTAACATGGTCAGGGACAAACTTTTAATGTGACATTTTGAATATCTTATCGTTTTCTAATAACATTATTGTGAGTAAACAGGTGATTCCGTAACTAAAATAGAAGTGTACGAATATTTATTGTTCCTATTTTATATATATTGTTTTGTTTGTTATTGATTATTATTATTAATATAACATTTGTCATGGTTTTTTTTTTTTCAATATAATTAAAAATCGTCAATGAATAATATGCATGTATTAATGTATAGAATAAGAATTATAGATAAAAATAGAATATTATGAAGAAAAATGTCTATTTATTTAAAAAAGTAGGGTGTACAAATACTTTTTACACTCACTGTATATATTGTTGAATAAGCAACACTATCAACTGAACTTCGCTTAGAATTGGCTTTTCTTTAGCAACAATTAATTGTTGTTAGATACAGATTGTTACTGATGCTATTCTTACAGATAAACGTTAAATTCCCATCCATATTATCCTAGGACAGCTATTTTTGAATGTATTTATTAACATTTTAATTATTCAAATAGGCTTCAGTTCAACGTCTACCTGAAGTAACACTTTTTTCTGTTCTACCTGGTGTTATTGATCTTACAATGGATGAAGAACCAAGACCTGTTCCAGCAGCTGTTCAAATCATGTCAATGGTATTCAATTTATTATTTATTTATTTAAGAGAATTCTAGGATCTCATATCTATTACAATAAATATGAGATCCAGATACATCCTGATACATCAGTCTAACTTTAAACAACATATAAAAATTATATTACTTAGAATAAAAAATTTGATGTTTAGGTTAAAATTAGAGTATGAACGTTGAACTCAAATAACAAAATATAAAGAGGAGAAAAAAGTTTTTTTAAACTATATAAAAAATAAACATGGTTATGACCTTTTTATATTACAATTTGTTTGACCAAAAAATAATTGCAACCTATGAAAATATCTTCTCTTTCAATTTTGTAATTTTTGTTTTAACTTTAATTTCATCTTATGCTCTACAATTTATATTAAAATAGTATACAAATTATGTATATAATAATATATAGGTCCTAACTATCAATTGCTAAACAGTATTTACCTCAAAAATATAGATTATTGCAGTTTATGTTCAAAACATAATATACTAATAAAGGGTGTTGCATGGAGGTCTGACAAATGCAATAACTTTTGTGCTGTTCAAAATGTGTAATATATGTATGTATTTGACAACAGAGTAATTGGTCTACCAAAAACTATTTACAAATAGTTTATTCAAAATATAAAATTTGTTTACTTTATTAATTTATGAAAAAGCGTGTTGTATAAAATACTAGTTGAATTACCTCATTGATGCCCTATTGATGGACATTGCAAAACAAAGCTTTATAGGAAATTGGACTCAATTACTAATCTCAAATAGATATTCATTAGTAATCATTGGTATCCTGGGAATACAAACAACTTGACCTTGGGTTAAGCATGAAAGAATTTTAGCTTCAATCATGTTCAGGCTATAGCAGATCAGTTTTAGATTTTCCAAGTGGTTTTCATAACATTTGGAACAACCCGATATAAATGTAAGAAAAATGGGAAATTGATGATAATTTTATTTTTTTCAATTTCATTATTTGTTGTAATTCAGTTAAATATATTTGTTTAGACTTCATAGATTTGAAATTTGGACACAATACTTATATATGTCTTTTCTAAATGTGGAAAAAATTTTAAAACAATTTAACCATTTTTAAGCTATTTATAGACATTTTAATTTTTCAATATTTTATTCATTAGGTACTCTGTTGATAAAATTGCTAGACTTAACAGAAATGCTTGAAAATTGAACAGGTAACCTCCTGTTCAATTAAAAGTCGTAATTTGCGGTTAAAAAGAAATTTTACCTTACTGTAGTATTTTTTTTTATAAAGGAATTTTAATATCAAATTTTGATGGATATTGTTTGAATAAAATATTATTTATTTATTAATAAATTCATACGGGCAATGTCAAATTTACAAAATATCAGTATAAATAACAATAATATAATATAATTTAAAATAATAAGATAACATTTATAAAAGATATATAGAATAATACATAGAATAATTATAATAATAATAGTACATACAATATTTATTAAAACACTTGACTATTTCCAAAAGATATTAAAATATTAATTCAGTCGTTTAAGGAATACTTTAGAAGAATGAAGGATATAAAATAAATAATTATTGCGAGTAAGAGTATTAAAAACTTGTGGTTTTTAACTTTTAAATGGAACAAATTTAATTTTAGATTCTGAGTGTAGCGAAGAATGTATTGGTTTCACTAAGATGTTTATTTTTTTATTATTATTAAAATTTTTACAAAAATTCTACCAGAAATCTTGCTCTGATGTATACAATGTAGACCCTTTTTGAAAAGAAATTTTCTTTGGATAGTACTTTAGGGAAGTCATTTTTTGATTTTCCCAATAAATGAGTACAACTGAAAAAAAAAAGGTAAGAAAAGCCAGAAATTTACGAAAATAATGCTTTTATTATTTGTTCAATTTTTTTATTAGTTGTAATTCAGTTAAAAATATTCGTAGAGACTTGAAATTTCAAGAAAAAACTTATATTTGCCTTTATAGACATAGTAAAATGTTCAAAACATTTGAGCCATTTTTGAGCGATTTGTACAAATTTTAATTTTATATGTAGTTTTTATTCAGTAGGTGCTGTGTGGTAAAATTGTTAGATGACTAAATAGAAATATGTGAAAATTTAACAGGAGGTTCATTGAACATCTTACTTGTGATAAAAAAAAAATTGAGTTTAATGTAGTATTTTTTTTTTATAGAGGCATTGTAATATCAAATTTTGATGAAAATCTTAGAGTAAAAAATTATGTTGAACAAATCTTATTTTTCAATTTTTGTTTTAAACATATGTACCTATATTGCTGATTTAAGAACAATGGTGAAGCAAGAATTGAGTGACTGACATAGTTTCGAAATTATAGCTTTTTGAAGTTCTGATATTATGCTGATATGATATGTTATTTTAAATAACTACATATTATTATATATATGAGATTTTTGGACACATTTATTTAATTATGTGTAAACAAATTTTTGTTTAAAAAATATATTGACATGAAGTGTTAGTAAGTTTTATTTATGCAACTACTTAGTTTCGTCATCATCAGGTTGCTGATAAACATTGTTTAACATTTAATTAATGGTTTGCATAAAACAGTTTAAAAATGTATATATATATATATATATATATTATTATATATATATAATATAACACTATATATATATATATATTAAATACTATATATTGTCAAACTTAAATATGTAGTCTAATGGTAATATGTCCATTGACATCCTATAGGTCGCGAGTTCAAATTGTTTGCAATTTTTTCCTCCTTTTACTTAAACAAGGAAAAAACAAATGCATTTTTGATGTACCTAGAGACCCATGTCATCACTTGGACTATTTAAATTGCAAAATATCCCTTGATTTATTGTGCAAACTTTTCTACCAGAAATCTTGCTCCGATGTATCAAGTGTAGCTTATTTTCTGAAAGGAAATTTTATCTATGATACTTAAGGGAGGTAATTTTTTTATTTTTCAAGCAGTTTTTATAATATCTAGAAAACCTGGGATAAAATGTAGTAAACAAATATTATGGCCTTTATTTTTTTCCGTGCACAATTTTTCTACCAGCTATTTTACAATGATTTTAAATTATAGCACTTTTTCTGAAAGGATATGTGACTGGGATGGTACTTTAGAGAGGTCAATATTTTGATTTTCCCTGAAGTTTTCCAGCAAATGTGAAAAACTGGGATAAACACGGAAAAAAAGGAAAATCGGAACCTACAATATTAAACAAATATTACTAAAGAAAATATATAATGCATAATGTATATGTCATTATTTTACCAAAATGTGAAATATATATTATTGACAAAGCAACACTATTAAGCAACTCTACTCAGAATCCTATTTTGTTAGCAATGGTTAATGGTTAGCATGAGTGTGTACAGATATACAGTATTTCTCAATTTCTCACCTACAACATTATGCACAGTATGCTATATATCTTTTATACATCAGTAAATTTTCTTTATTTATGAGTATATAAAAAGAAAAAAACTATTAGTATGTGATAGGTTGTCAAAATTAAAAAAATTTACTAAATGGGACATACCATGAGAAGTTTTAAAACCTCTAGCCTAGCGTTTTATTAATTTTTAGCTATTAAAAAAAAGCTTTTGAACTTTTAATCCTACCACTGCCATTTTTATGGTTATATTTTATATTTTTTACTTTAATATTTATTGTCTTAAAAAAATTATATTGCATAATACAAAATAGGTAAGGGGAAGTTCCACTCTAATGGTGAACCTCTGCTGCTTCTTCAGTTTTTTTTTTTATTACATTTTGTTAAATACTAGATATCCCTCCCAGCATTGCTCATCCCAATTTAATTCTCCATTTTTTAAACCATTTAAAGCAATTTTTCTAAAATATCCACCCAAAAATTGTATGTGTCTCCCTTTTAATTTCATGTATGTGACCTATATTATGTATTAACCTTATATTATGTCTATTAACTATCTCACAAGACTTGCCTGTGCACAGTATTAATGGAAAAAGAAAAGTCCAAACGTGTCTCCCTAACAATAACTATATTATTTTGATTCTTGTTACAAAGATAATCAATAAACAAACACAAGTAATTTTACTTTTGATTCAAAAATACCAAAATCTCTGTGTTAGCTACCTTTTCTGGTTAAATTACATAAATTTTGTTTTGATAAATATGTGGACCTGTTCATCAGTTTCTGTATATACATTTTCATTATTGATCACACAGACAGACAGACACTTTTGGATTAAGATTAAGGTGTAAATATACATAATATAATATATATAAATACAAATAATTTAACTTTAATGTTTTGTGTTAAATGCTTTAGGTCCTTACTCATTATGTATTATTTATTATTTACTTTTTAATAACAGGGTTTATTTTCAAGCGAAATTCCAAAACCAAACATTCTTAGAGTTTCCAAACTGTTTGAAGATAATTTAACAAGTGAGAGTTTAAACTTTTTGCATATTTTATTTGAATTATTATATTGTTATTAAGAAATGGATTTTGTTTTTTTTATGATTTCATGAATTTTTTATATTAAAATATCTTTACAATTATAAACACAGAACAACTTAAAAGCTAAATATTAGGTATTTTAAATTATTCATATTATGACTGGAGATTGCTTCATTGTGGTCTCAAACACACCAGGTGATTCATTCAAGTGGGTACATTCATTATCTCGGAAAGTATTAACTTTTTCTGGAATTTGTATTTTAGAACATTTAAGAAACAAGCTGTTCTACAATTTTATAATTATGTCATTTTTTATCACCCTTATTTTTTGGGATAAAACCACTACCTACTTTTGATTTTAAAATAGCAACCTGTATTTAAAAGTCCATAAATAGATATAGTATTAATTAAAAGCAATTTTAGTGTTGAAATTTTTGATTTCCGTTGATCTATTGAATAGATATTCCACTTTTAAATTTGGGTTGGAGGTAGTGGAGTGTCATTTGTGTGATAAATGAAGAGTTCGTAGATCGTTACTTACGTCCAGCTCTTGGAGGCTTACCACTCGATAATTACTAAAGGCACACATCGATCAATATAAAATAATAACCATACAAATCACCCAATCTATTTGTAGATGGACCATGTCCCCTAGAAAATATAACGATGATTCACTTAATTGGGTACATTCATTATCTCTGAAAGTATTTACTTTTTTCAGAATTTGTTGCATGTTTGGGTTGGAGGAGAGCCACTATAGTACTCGTATAGAGAATATTAGTACCTTTAACTTAATTTATGATCTTAGTTGTTGTTAAGCTATCTTTATTAGTCTTAAAATTTACTACAGTCAAAAATGTTTAGCTATAATAAAATCCATTTAGTAATAATTATAAATTACTTGTAAATTAAAATTGATATTCAAAATATATTAGAGGTAGAGCTAATTTGGATTTGCGAAAGAAATCCATATCGACAAAGGAAAATTCAGAACTATGAGATTTTTTACTATGATTCTCCCCATATAGTACAAGCAAATTCAATTCAGTGTTGGAAATATATTGGTGAAGTCGTATCATATCCTTTGCCTATGTCATGTAAAATTGCTATGGTAAGTCAATAATTTTACTTCTAAGTATTATCTAGGTATTCTTTAAAATGAAGATTGTGTATTAGTTTAATATTCAAACAAATATTAATAAAACTTGGGTTAAAAAACAGTTTACTGCTTATAGAGATTTATTATTTGAATTTAAATTGTTAATAATTAATAATTATTTAATTTTAGGGTCTTAATGAGAACCATAAGTATTTTTTCATGATGAGAGCTAAAGATTCTGAAAAAAGATGTGGTCTTTTTAGTGAAATCCAAGGTATTCATGATGAGTAATGTATTAGATACACAAATTTGTTTAAATTGTGTTTCCTGGCAAATATTAAATATTTCACTTGTATCATGATTATTTTCATAAAATTATTTTATATTGTAAACATTTTTTTTTAAATTTTGTTTTACACTGATACAAGTGTTTTTTTTTTACATGTCTACTTATATTGTGTTCCTATTATATAAATTTTATAATTTTCTTAATTATAACAGTTTATAGTAAACCCTTCTCATTGTATTAACTAAATAAATTTGTACCCTCATTTATGTACTTAGAAAATAAATTATAAACAAACTTATGAAATATGGAAAAGAATTTCACTATTAGAATTAATATTTTTAGTAAACAATAAATCATACATTTGTATGCAATTTAATTTACAAACAATATTTGATTAATTTCCTTAATCCTAATACTATACCCAAAAAGATGTTGGTTTTTTTATTAAAAATTATTTTTTTTAGTGTTTGAAATGCTAAGATTACTCAGGCTGTCACCCATTTACACACTTCATAAATGGGAGAAAAATTTTTAGTAGAAAAGTTGTTTACAGACACAAAAAAACAAAATACACACTTGTGTGAATATACATGAGGACATGAGACTTGAAATTTGAATAGAAAACTTATATTTACCTTTATGTACTATTTTCAAAAAATTTAATGTATCTTTGAGCTATTTCTAGACATTTTAATTTTGCGAGTTTTGTATGTAATTTTTATTAGGTAGGTACTCTATGGTAAGATTGTTAGAATTAACAGAAATGCTTAAAAATTTAACTGGTGGTTCATTAAACCTTACTTTGTGGTAAAAAAAAATAATTGAGTTTAATGTAGTATTTTGTTTTATTAAGGAATTTTGATACTGCATTTTGACGAAAATTGCTTCAGTAAATAATTGTGGGGAACAAATCTAATTTTTTAATTTTTTTTTTTTTCGAACATATGTGTATTGCCGATTTAAGAAGGATGGTAAAGTAAAGATGGTATGATAAGTGTATATTATACGACCGTGTATTATGCGAGTTTTTTTACATAATATTTATTTAGTAGATACTCGGTAGATAAAATTGTTTGACCAAACAGAAATGCTTGAAAATTTAACAGGAGGTTCATTATAAGTTGTACTTATAGATTAACAAGAAAAAATTGAGTTTAATTTAGTAATTTTTTTTTTTTATAAAAATTTTAATATCAAATTTTGAAGAAAATCATAAATATTACAGCCTTATAAAACATGTTTAACCGAATTCTAACTGAAATCGTTTTTGTTAGTAATGATTAATTATTGCATACAGATATACATTGAATTCCCTTCTATATCATACCTTCTCATATAGTCATATACAACAGTGCCTCACCCAATATCTGTCATTTTAATGATGTAAATCTGTATTTTTGTTTTTAACAACATTTACATAGGTTTACAATTGTTTATAATGATATTAGTATTTCAATTTTTGTTTTAATTGAGTTTAAAATGTCCGCAGAAACTTGAAATTTTAACATGTGAGAAGTTGAGAATGAAGGATATAGAGGGGAAATTAATTTGTATTTATAAGCAACGATAAACCATTGCTAACAAAAAAACGATTCTGAGCAGAGTTCAGTTAATAGTGTTACTTTTTCGACAATATATATGTCATATTATAGTAAAATAATTGCATATGCATTAAACATTTCCTTTAATAATATTTGTTTAATATTGTACCTATTTTTCCATTCTTGCGTTTTTCCTCTGTTTTTTCCCCCAGTTTTCCAAGATTTCTGGTAGAAAATTTTGCACAACAAAACGAGGGGTATTTTACGTTTGAAATAGTCTGAACAAGCGATAGCTGAGACTGTAGGTACACCTAAAATAAATTTGTTTTTTCCTTGTTAAGGTAAAAGTGGAAAAAAATACCAACATTTTTTTTCGAAACCCGGGTTTGAATTCGGGATCTTTAGAATGGCAATAGGTACCTATAACTGTTAAACTACGAAAAACATCCTTTAAGTTAGACAATATAGAGTTATTTAAAATAACATATAATAACCGCATAATATCAGAACTTTAAAAAGCTATAATTTCGAAACTTAGTCAGTCCGCTATTATTAGCTGATATTATGGTAAAATAATTAAATAGGCATTATACAATTTCTTTAATAATATATGTTTAGTATTGTACCGATTTTACCAGTTTTCCCATGTTTTTCCCGATGTTTCACATTTACTGGAAAAACTCCTGAGAAAATCAAAAAATTACTTCCCTAAAGTACCTTCTCAATCAGATTTCCTTTTAGAAAAATGCCATCATTTTAAAACGGAGTGAAATTGCTGGTAGAAAAGTTGTACACAGAAAAATAAAAAAAGGCCATAATATTTTTTACTAACACCTAAATTTCTTACATTTTCCGTTTTTCCAACATTTTATTCCGGTTTTTCTCAGGTATTATGAGAACTGCTTGAAAAATCAAAAAATTACACCCATAATTTACCATGGAGATAAAATTTTCTTTTAAAAAATAATCTAAACTTATTATATCAGAGCAAGATTTCTGGTAGGAAAGTTTACACAACGAATCGACGGGTATTTTTCGATTATAATCTTGTCTGAGCGAGCGATAGCTTGGTCTCTATGTACACTTAAAATGCATTTGTTTTTTTCCTATTTTGGTAAAAGGAAAAAAAAGTGTAATTTCTTTTTAAACACCGAGTTTTAATCCGCGACCCCTATGACCATTCGACCACAACAAACGTACAGTAAGCAGACAATATAGTGTTATTAACATAAACATGTAATATCTGAACTTTTAAAAGCTATAGTTTTGAAACTTGGTCAGTCCGCTCAACTTTGACTTTACCATTTTCTTGAATCAGCAGTACACATATGTTCGAAAAAAAAAATTGAAAAATTAGATTTTTCAACACAATTTTTTACTGAAGCAATTTTCGTCAAAATGCAGTATCAAAATTCCTTAATAAAACAAATACTACATTAAACTCAATTATTTTTTTTTACCACAAAGTAAGGTTTAATGAACCTCCTGTTAAATTATCAAATATTTCTGTTAAGTCTAACAATTTTACTATAGAATACTTACCGAATAAAAATTAGGTACAAAACTCACAAAATTAAAATGTCTATAAATAGCTCAAAATGGCTTACATTTTTTGAAAATTCTACACCTCTAGAAAAGGCAAATATAAGTTTCCTGTCCAAATTTCGAGTCTCTACGAATATTTTTAACTGACTTACAATAAATAATAAAATTTATGAAATAATAAAAGCATTAATTTCATACATTTCCCGTTTTTCTTGCCTTTTATCCTGATTTTACCCAGATATTATGAAAACCGCTTGGGAAATCAAAATATGACCTCCTAAAAGTATCATCTGGACAACATTCCCTTCAGAAAAAAAAATAAACATCTTAATAAAACCAATACATTCATCGCTACACTCAGAATCTAAAAGATCTAGGTAAAACCATAAGCTACTTCGCTCCACTCAGAAACTAAAATTACATCTTTAATGCAGTAGTAAACAGACAATATAGTATTATTTAACATAAACATGTAATACTTTAGGGAATAAAAATTGGAAAAGACTTCCTAGGATTATGGGGACGGGTGCAGCCACTGTTATATAGGTAATTTAATGTATACCTGTAACCAATGATAAACCATTGTTTACGAAAAAACAATTCTGAGCGGAGTTCTGTTGATAGCAAGGACTAGAACCTCAAAAGATCGTACAGAAAAAGACCGGTTAATATATTACGTCTTAATATATTACGGATAATGGATATATTATTATTATTGTTATTTATGTTATCGTAATATCGTCTATTTTTAGCAGGATGATCATGGTAAGGAAATTGGAATACCGTCGATTACAAAATTTGTACGACGATGTCTGAAATATATTTATTTGTGAGTCACCAATATGTGTATTTATGGGGCCTTGAAATTATTTGTCCCCAGGCCCAAAATCATCTTAATCCGGGCTTGCTTACGGTGCTTATCGTAATGGGTTTTATTATTGAAACATATGTATATATGTGTATTACATTAAAAATTATATTGTATTAATAATATTGTAATAATGTATTCTTTACTATTGTATGCTGCTCTGTTATAAGTTAAGTGGGCCTAGAGGTTTATTTCATGGCGAAATAAAAATATAAGTGTCTATCATCTATGATTGACTGGCACCTTAAAAACCGTACCGAAAAAGACCAGTTAAAGAACGAACATTTTTAAAAATCACAAGACAGGATCCCTTAATATTTTTTTTTAAGAACGGAAACCGAATTCTTTATTTTTGAGAACCGAAACCATTAAAATCGTAAAAGCTCTAGTCCCTGGTTGATAGCGATGCTTTGTCAAAAATATGTATGTCATATCATAGAAAAATAATTAAAAATGATTTATATATTTTCTTTAATAATATTTGTTTAATGTTGTACCGATTTTTCCAGTTTTCCTACGTTTTTCCCAGTTTTCCCATGTATAATCCCGGTTTTTCGTTCAAATTTGCTGGTAAAACTCCTTAGAAAATCGATAAATGACCTATTTAAAGTACCTCCCAAGTCGAATTTCCTTTTAGAAACATTGATTATCCACAGAAAAAAAAATCTTAATATTATACAAATATATTTCGTCGTACATTTTTTCGTTTTTCCTCCGTTTTATTTTTTCGGTTTTTTTGCATTTGATGAGAAAACTCTTGAGAAAATCTAAAAATGACCCCCCTAAAGTACCTCCCCACGCCGATTTTCTTTCAGAAAACGTGCATCACATACAAATCGGAGCAAGATCTCTAGTAGAAAAGTTGTCCATAGAAACAAAAAAATAAATATCTTTGTAAAACTATAAGTGTTTTCGCTCCACTCAGAATCTAAAATGTTGAAGGTATTTGAATTTAAAATATCTAAAATATTTTAGATACCTACTGATGTTTGCTATCTCAAAACTTGAAAAAAGTTTACTGCTTATTATATAGGTACCTTATATTTTTTATATAAATCCGTGCAAAATTTTGAAATTGTTTTCATTAGTTACCTTACTAGTTATTAATAACAACTAGCGACTTTGTGGAATAATTAGCCCTTATACAAATATGTACCTATGTGTACCTATTACATAATACATTACCTAGGTATTAACTTTTCTCTGGATGTAAGTAGATATTTTAAGTTGATATTTTAAAATCATAGAATCAGAAACAGAATTTAAAGGGTAGACAGATAAATAGTACAGAGAATGAGTGCAGTTGAAAAGAGAATGCTTAAAACTGGTCATTATCTCTTAAAAAGAAAAATGAGACATAAGTGGTAAATAACTGGCTTACTAGATAAACAGATGATATTTATGATAATAAAATAATAATAAATAATCAAGATATGCTGGGCCTGGTCTTTTTAATTAATGAAGAAATAAGAGACTATCTCTTGAATTAAATCTATCAAATTATTTTATTACAAGGATTAAATCTATTACAACACTACACACGATAGGACTTATTAGAGGATTTAATCCACCGGAGACCAAATCCTTATAAAATCATCTCGTGTAAGACTATTAGATAATCTATTAAAGACTATTATAGGCGTTCTAGTCTCTAATGGCTACCTATAAGTCTACTGTAAAATAATGGATTAACATGATTCCATAGCTAATCACGTAACGGTTAATGCATTGTTGATTATGCAGATTATGCTTGTGAACGTGATAACATGACAGGTTATCAAACGAGTGATAAAATTATTGAACAATATCATTGAATTCTATGAACTCATATTAATGAACAACAAACATATTGTATTCTGTGGTTTAAAATGGATTGTTTAATTATTACTTATCCATTATATTATTTTAATCAGTTAAATAAACACCAATTTTTAAATAAGTAAAAATGACCATTTTTCTAAAAAGTTTGTTTATACCTATTATTATTACTTATCAATACTCATTGAGGATTTGTTGTTTGTAATAGTGTTCTGTATCGTGTTGTTTTAATGTTACCTACATTATTTTAGTCGAATTTTATTCGTACTGTAAAATTAATAAAATTATTTAGAATTGGATTTGATTTTAAAATAAGTGAAATTCTAATTTAACTCAAATAATATAATCTTTACGACCAATGGAAATGGCTAAACTTCAAATACACGAAGAATCTAGAACTTTATATTTGGCCCGAGCTCTGTACGATGCTGTTGATGATTGTAATATTCAGTAAGTAAAAATTATCAATATTTATTTGAATAATGTTTTTGGTTATTTTCACTTAGAAACTTTAGTTACTGAATTTGATTTGTATTTCTAGTAAGACCTTTTGAATACTTGACCTGAAATATTAAGTTTTGAATGTACTATAATTATGGTGACCAGATGTACTCTTTTTCATAGGACAGTACTTTTTTTTTTGTAGATTTTCCTATGTCCTTAATAATGGTGTTAAGTACATGCAATTGTACTCCTTTTTTTTGAAAATATTAATACATGTTTATATAATTTCGTATAGTTTGATTATTCATTAATATTTTATGGTTCAACCTAAACACCTGCAAGTGACTGACAACAGTAGCGGCAGCTGGAGAACAACTGAACTGTTTGACAAAAACATTATTAATATCATAACTATCAGTGTCCACTTTTCATTATTTCGACTATAGTAATAAAACATTGTGAGGCAGTGTGGTTAGTTTACATTTCAAAGTATTTTCATCATAAAAACACAAACCAAACGAGTTAACATTATGATTTCAAATAATTATTAGATAATAGAAAAAATAAAAATAATAATAGAGTAAAAATTGTTATATAGATGGAGATGAGCTATGGGCAAAATGGGTAGAATAATATACACATTGGCTAATCTTTCAAGGGAATGTTTTTTTTTTTATAATGGAGGATCTACATTTTAAAATTTCTTTTTTTGGATTTTTATATCTGGTGACCATAATTATAATAACAATAAAAAAAAATATATCATTATAATAATAGGCTTTGATGCTATTCTAACTGTATATCTCTATACTTATTTCAAAATACATCATTCAAATACTTTTGATCAATACTTCATAATATTCAAATTACCTAGTATAAATACTAAAAAAAAATTGAACTTGAACTCCACACAGCAACATTTATTAAATGTAATAATAGTTGTTGATTATAAATTTAACCAATGTAGTGTGCTTTACTTAACTTGTTAATAACACCAAACTCCCTGCATATTTTATTTTGTAGAACATTATTTTAGTTTCTATACGTATGTATTTTTTATAATATAATAATTCACTTGAGTAAATAAGTTTTATTGTACTTATTTTATTTAAATACAAAATTTAATTTGTTTAGGCAAGTCAATATGTTATTATGCCAAAACAAAGCAAATCCTAATGTTCTTATCATAGAAGAAGGTATGACAGCCTTTCATTTAGCTGCGGGACATGAAAATTTGGCATTTGGAAAAATTGTAACATCTTTAATTTTACATAATGGTGGTGATCCAAATACACCTTGTGTGGGTAACCGCACTGTTTTACATATTGCAATAGCATGGAATCGTTCATCGGTTGTTGAAATCTTGCTTAAAAATCCATATATTATTCCAAATCCATTTATGAAAGACGAAGATGGCCTCAATGCATTCAATTATGCTATGAAATTTAAGGCTTGGGAATCACTTGCAATTCTCCAAAATCATATGAATCATTCTAAACACATGAGTAAATACAAATATTTTGTAAATAAATGATTCCAACATATTATTCCTATTAAATATACAAATTCAAAATTTTGATAATCAAATTTCTATTAAATTAGATTTTTATTGTCCAACTTAATTCAAGTATTCAAGATATACTGAGTAATCCAACCAGTAAAACATTAAATTAATATTATTTTATTACCTATATAACAGTGTAAATCATGTTATTGTTATTTATTTATTTATTCACTGTTACTACAATGAACAATTTTTGTTTAATTTGAATAGATATATTCAAATTATGAACCAATATGATTGACACCACCATCAATGTATTTTTTTTTCTTTAGATGATCAGTTGAGGGTTAATATTTATTTATATTTATAATTGCATAATGATTACAATTATTTAATCAATTCTATTGTAATAACATATTATTTGAACTATTAAAATTGTTATTTTATATTTTTTTTTTTAGTAGGTAATTCGCACAACAAAGAATACTGTAGAATAGTACATTCGAAATCTATGGAAAAAGAAAATAGTTTGTCAAAAGAGGGCCCTGAAAAATGCACTAGTGTTGACACAATATTTAATAAATCAGATAAATTACATACAAGTAGTGGATATTTTAATAGTGGTGAAAGTTATGATACTAACAGTGTCAGATCAATCAAATATGATTCAGACTACCAAAAAAATGATAATTATAGTGAATCTATATTATCTGATACAGCTAACTCAATTAGCGATATTTTAAATGCAAATATTTCACCAGACATCCATTGTGAAGACTTTCCATCCAGAATTTGTTTTGATGGTTCTATTATAAGTTCCATTACAGATATCAGATCAGTAAATAATGATGATGAAGATGATTTAAAAAACATTTTTAGCAAAACAGTGCTTTCTGAGACCTCAAAATTAAAGGAAATTGAATTGTCTACTGAAAACAGTATATGTTCAAATGACAATGAATGGATGACAGAGATTTCTGGCTTATCTAGTCTTTTCAATAGCGAAGAATATTTTACATGTCCAGATACCAATACTGAAAAAAGCATTATTGATAATATATCAAATAAAAATGGTGTTAAAAATAATGAAATGTAAGTTTTTAACACTCAATTATGTAATTAATTATCTTAAAATTATTATTTAAATAAAAATGTCAAATAATACTGCTAATATTTAGGTAATGTAAGCAAATTTATTATAAACAACATTTTTTTTTCAGTATACCCTTTAACAAAATATTTGACATTAATCATTTAGAAGTTTCAAATTATCAAAGTAGTTCTTCAGGTATTGTTTTTTTTGTTTTAAATATAATTTAATAAATTACTTCTTTGATATTTTAGATAAATTTGTTTTTGGTTTTATTTTTTTTTTTAGATAGTGGTAGTTTAACTGACTTAACTGATGACTATGATACAGATTATCTTCGCCAAAATTTAAGAAGATATGGATATCATCCTGGACCATTATTACCTAGTACAAAACAAGTCTATGTGCGCAGACTTAATAGAATCTTAAAAACTCAGTCTGAATTCCAACATGATAAACCTATTAATAAATTAGATGGTATATTTTATTACAATTCTGTATCTTACAATACAGTTCATTATTATAATTTTTTTATTTTTGTTTTAACAGGTTTTTATAGTCGCCAACTGACTCAAATTTTGACTATTGACGAATCAGATACATGGATAAAAACTATTAAAAGTTGGAGCATTCTAGAAAAAGATATAATTTATCACAAAAGTGGTCCATCTTTCACATATCTTTTATTAGATCCTAGAATCACCAGAAATTTACCTGCCCGAGCTGATCAAATTAATAATCCAATTGTAATATGGCGAGCATTTATTAGCTCTATATTTTATGTTGGTAAAGGTACCAATTTTCGACCTAAAGACCATATGAATGAAGCATTTAAATCGTGGATAGAAAAAGTTGATAAAGGAATAAGTCCCAAAGTAAACATATATATATATATATATATATATATATAAATGTATTTTTTGATTATATAAATATTTTTAATTATATTATATGTATATTTCTAGTCAGAATACATTTTAAGCCTTTGGAAAGAAAATTTAGGAGTGGTGTGCGTTCAAGCATTCCATCATCTAGTATTAAAAGAAGCCCATATCCGTGAAGCTGCAATGATTGATGCATTAGGCTTGAACAAACTTACTAATGAAAAGCGTGGCACATATTATGATAACACTACACAGTGGAGAAATACCAAACGCTGTGAATTAGGTTGCTATTTACTTTACCGTGCCATGCTTGTTTTTTTAGCAGATGGTGAACGCCAACTTCAACCAATAGATTTGACATAAGACTTTGACTATATTTAAGATTTCCTTCAATGTTGACTATATATTATAATATTAAGTAAAATTTAAATAATGTTTATAGTGTACTTTTAGATTTTATAAATTTTACAGAAAGCCAGTTTTTATATTTTTATTTTTATATAAAAACTAAATATTGAATTGTTTACTCTTGTTTTTGAAAAATATTACAATTTTATTAATTTAAAATAAACAACATTGCACCCCCGATAAAAGTGTTTTGTGTATTAGATTCTGAATGTAGGGAAGAATGTATTGGTTTTACAAAGATATTTATTTTTTTTTATGTGAAAACTTTCTACCAGAAAGCTTACTCTGATATATACAATGTAAACCCATTTCTGAAAAGAAATATTCTTGATATGGTACTTTAGGGAGGTTATTTTTCGATTTTCTCAAAAGTTTTCTTATCATATGTGAAAAACTTGAAAATGTACGAATATATTAATAAAATATGATTTTTTTTTCTGTGGACAACTTTTCTACAAGATTTAAACCCAATTTACGAAGATAGCTCTTTTTTTGAAAGAAAATCTGATTAGGAAGGTACTTTAAAGAGGTTATTTTTTTCTAAGAATTTTCCCAGTAAATGTGAACAATTAGGAAAATTGATACAATGGAAACAAATATTATTAAAGAAAATATATACCAGCCTATATAATTATTTTAGCATAATATAACGTATATTGTTGATAAGGTACCATTATCAACGTAACATCATCCAGAATTGTTTTTTCCTTAACAATGGTTTGCTTACAGATTTACATTAAATTTCCTTCTATATCCTATCTTCCCAACTTCCCACCTACAACAGTGGCTGTACCCACATATGAAGTATGTTCATCTTTTTTTTCACTTTTGTTAAGATCTTTTCATTATTTGTTTATATTGCAATTATTTATACATCTTATATTACTACTGACCAACTAAATATTAATGAGCGATTTACTTCCATTGGACATTGATGAAAATAGTTTTGTTATTTGAAAATAAAACATGTTAAAATAAGTAAAGGTTTTTTTTTTTTCAACATTTATTTTTGTGTGATTGGAATAAAAGTATTTTTTCAACTTACTATTTCCACACATTTTTATATTATAAAATTATTAATTTGTTAATACTCACAATTAAATAAACAACAAAAATTTCTTTATCTATTTTATTTTTATATTTATTGAAACACAGTTTTAGAGTTGTTTTAAAATTATATCAGGAAGACATCTATATTTTGTCTATTATTTCAATTGAGAAAATTAATATTATTAAATATTTTAAAAAATTGGTGGTTATGGTGAAATAACCAAAAGCCTCAGAACTGGACTATTTTTACTATAAAAATAAGATAAATTTTAATATTTTTTCAAACGATAATTTCAATTTTGTAGGTACCAGTTGTTAAATTGTGGTCAAATGGCTTTTGGGTTAAAATAGCTGCGTCTACATGCATCCAACCACAATCTGACTACTGACTGCTTTTTAACTATTGTTACACAATTTTAATTTTAACACATATTTTTGTAGACAGAAAATAACTATTGTAGCAATGAGAATGCTTAAGTGTATGATTGGAGTGACAAGAAAGGATAAGAAATGAATACATAAGAGGTAACTTAGATATGGCCTCCAATTTTATTTTTGAATGAGGGTGGCCAACTCTAAATAATTGGAATTAAGATGAAGGGGAATAAGAAAAATATTCAACAATTTAAAACTTAAAGTAGTAAAAATGAAAAATGTTCAGTGGCTCACCCATTTTACGAAGTATATATTGTTTTAATAATTCAAAAAAAAAAAAAAAAACAAACTCTAAATCAGCTTCACATTTTTACAAGAATTTTTTTTTAAATTTATAAGGGCTTGGTAAAGCACACTGTTACTAAATAAATCTATGAAGTTTATTATACCTGAATTATAATTTATCAAAATGTTAAAATAAATTTGTTTTCATAATATATTACCTAAGTATATAGATAATTTTCAGAAAAATATACATAGGATGTTCCAAATTGTTTATTACAATTTCATCATGAAATACATAGTTTTGAAAAAAATGATCTAAGTGAAAATTGATTTGAATCAATTATGTTCTAATGTTATATTCCCATTAATCTTTATATCCTTATGTTTGAGGATGAAACCACTATTACATTTTTATTTTTAAATGTAATTCTATATTAAAAATTTCGTAAATAGATGCAGTTTTAGTTAAATACATATGGTTTGGAATGTTTCATTTACATAAACCCATTAATTTATGGAATTCTTAATATAGGTTGTTATTTATGAATCAAATTATTAATAAAGGTTTTACATTATTACTCACATAAACAATGATTCGGTTTTTTCTAAGTAGAAAATGTATTTATTTAATTATTTACCCTGCAAAAACAAAATTGCAATCATCTTGTGAAATAAAATACTATAGTCCATAAATTACATTACCGTAATGATACGGATTCTTTTTATCAATGCATGCAATTATAAATTAAATAATTCATGTCTTTGTGTATTCTATCTTCCCAATTCTCTACCTACAGCAGTCCAAATCCATGAGCATAGTCAGACCATTTTTATCTAAGTTACATACAAACTTATTCTTAAAATACTTTTTTGAAAATATTGAGAAAATTCAGTTGGGATATCACCAGTTATTCTTAAAAATAAAATGTTAACTAAAGTGGCTATAATATAAAATACCAATTAAAAGTAATTTACTTGTAAAATTATACCTACATAGTCAAGCCAATTATTTTTTTGATACTTAACATATTTATTTCATTATCTTAAAAACAATTTTGTTTAACTTACCTAATAATTAGTGTTAAAATTAAAGACACTTTTGTTAGTTTTTATCAATCATACTAATAGTATTAAGTTTTCTATCTGGAATTTTTCACAATTCCAGTCATCACTATCACCATCCCAAGAAAAATTTACAAAAGGTGGTTACAAAAATCAATTAATTCCAAATATATTGATGATGATTTAAATTTTTTTGATTATACTTAACTATAATTTTACTAGATACCATTATGATATAAACATTGCAATACAATTATAAAATAGGTACTCATCTCATAATATACATAAATCCCCCCTCAAAAAAAAAAAAAAAATATTTTTTAGAAAATATTAAATTATTGGATTTTTTTAATATAATATGTTATCAGCTCCCTCCAAAAAAATATCCTGAAAATATCAATGATAAATACATACAGTGGTGCACAGAAAAATTAAGACAGCACAAAAAGTTAACAAGAGTGTTAACAATATTTTACTTACATGTATGTATATTACACAGAGGTTTACTACCTCTCAAATTTTACTCAGTTGTGCCTATGATTTATGGTTCATAAGCCGGTTGTATTAATACTTAACAGGTTGAAAAAAATCACCTATGAATTCCTAACTGCATTTGATTAAATAAAATAGTTTTGTGAAATCTAAAAATTTAATTTCATTAATTAGGTACAATTATTATACAATATATGTGCAGGAAACAAATTATTTCACTTAAAAAAATTTAGAGTCAAGATAAATTTCCACTATTATCTAATAAAATGTACTTCATTGATTTTAGATCAAGTGTTTGTTTTGGTTTATTAAATTATGGGTGCATACAATTAGTAAAAAAAAAAAATTAATATAACACAATAGTTAAATACATAAAAAAAATTATTAAGCATGTCATCAACCCCACCCTTCCAAAAATACCTATTAAATAATAATATACCCATCTACTAAATAATCTAAATATTAAGAAATAATTAATTGACAACAATTGTACCTACACATTAGTGCATACTAGTTTTAATATTCGGTGACTGATTATTGTTCGGATACAGTTTTGAGAGTCAGTTATTACATACATTTATTTACTTAAATTTAAAACGTATCAAATTTGTTTTTGTTTTTCTGAAACCATGTGTTTTTTGATGCTGATTACGAAACTGTTTGAATTTTTATTGCGAAATCATTATTACAATAGTTATGGAAATTTGAAGTTCGTCGTTAATTCGGTTTTAACTTAAATACATATTTATTTTCGAATTAAACATTTAGAATTGACCGTGGCGTATTGAATAACGCGTTAGCCGTAAGGAATGTTGTATCGAATTCGATACTATTTCCTTTGTGCAGTTAAATTTTTTCACTTTTTTTTTTTGAAATAACCCTCCGTTTGTTGTGCAAAACCACGTCTGGTAGGTAATAGGGAAAAGTGAAAAAGCATTTTCGGCGAAATAAAAATGTTTAAATCACATACGGAAGTTGGACGTTTTTTCTTTTGCAAAAGTGTATTACTACTGCGCATTGGACATGGTATCGAACTCGATACTATAGTTACTATGAGTAACGCGTTACCCAATGGACCACGGTCGATTCTAAATGCACGATTGGAAAATAAATAGGTACTTAAGTTAAAATCGTATTAACGATGAACTTCTGTAATGATTTCCGCAAAAAAATTCAAACAGTTCCGAAATCAACGTCAAAAAAAAACATGGTTTCAAAAAATAAAAACTGAAAAACAAAGGGTGTTCGGTAAAGTAGATTTGTACCAAAATTGAATAAATAAATAACAATTTAATTTAAAATTAAATATTAATCAATGTATTTCCATATTTGATTCAGAGTAGGTATGTGTAGAGTATTTTCTAATGTCAGGAGTATCCTTAAACTATATTTGTTTTCAAAATGTATACAAATAATGAATTAATTAATTTTAATTATTCCAATAAAATGAGTAAATTACTAATGTCAACAGGATGTTATGCCAATTAACAAGAGGGCGGAACGAGAGCGACTGTGTAGAAGCATAGAAGTTGGTAAGTAGCCGTACCATAGACAATTAATTATACCTGTTTACATACAATAGATCGTGAAAAAATAAATTATTATTATTATTGTTATTATTATTATTATTAATATTATTATTATTATTATTATTATTATTATTATTATTATTGTTATTATTATTTATCATGTACAAGATGAACTTCCAACTCCCGTATGGCATATTGCCGTGTTAGCGATCATACAATTTTTGTATGATATTTTTCGGCAAAAGTAATATTTCTAGGTATTGGTACTCGAAATACTACAAAGTACTAATACAATCCGCTTTAACCCTTTGCTTATCTTTAGTGTTCGACAACTAATCTCTTTGAAAATATTTCATGGAATAATCTTATCAAATATTGTTGTCAAAGTTGTTTTAATAACTATTAACTTTAACATCATCGATTTTTTTATCTCTCAGTAGTCAGCAAAAACATTAAATATTGTAAAATTTTTGTAAAGTCGAAATACTATTCAGTGAATTTAGTTGAAGTTCTTGAGTTCATTAAACTTTTGGCTTCATGCAGTATACGAACGATTTACGAGTTTTATTTCAAAGTGTTCTTATTAATATCGTTAGTAGAAATGTTGTCAAGTAACAAAAAACTGTATAACATCGATAATATAACTGCGTTATACATCATAAATAAACAAATATTTTGAAAAACATTTTGGCTGTAGTAATTGGAAAAAAAACAATATGACTGACGAGTTTATCAGACAAGGATTGACAACTTCAGTAGCTCAAATATGTTCGAACATTGGTTGGCATTCTATGTCGAATTCGACCCTACAAATGATGACAGATATTCTATATGAATATTTCAAAGATCTAGCTCAATCAGTTAAAAAATTCTCAGAAATCTGTGAGTTATTAAAAATAGATAGTACCTAACATTTATAATAGGTATATAATCATTCTGTTGTATACCTACATCTATTAAGGATATTTTATTTTTTATTTAAAAATGGACAACATAATTCTACCCATTCAAATTAATTTGCTAACCATAGTCATTTATACTGGCATAGGTACATTAAACTTAATTAGGTATACTAAATGTTTTAATTAATTTTGTATTTTACATTTTTGAGAAATTATGTTTAATTTAACTACTTGTGGCTATATCATAGTTATTATTTTATTTTTGTTAGCTGATACTTTAAATCCAGATATTGATGATGTTAACATGGCATTTCGAGATAAAGATGTGGTCATACCAGATTTAGTAAAATATTTGAAACAAGTTGGATCTATAGAATTCCCTCATCGAGTGCCTAAGTTTCCCGTACCAACAAAATCCAATTTAAATATAATGAAACCAGGAAGTAGAGAAATTGTTACCAGGCCCGTTTATGTGCATGAAAATCTTCCAACAATTTACCCTGAACCATCTGGTAAGATTTTTGAACATCACTAAACCACTTTTTTTTTTTCAAATTTCTGATTCTTAATTAATACAATAAAAACAATAATAATAATAATAATAATAATAATAACAATAATAATAATTATCATTAAAATAAAAAAATAATTTTAAAAATTAATAAAATAGTTGTTATTATATATTAGGTACAGATGAAAAAACAATACAAAATGATAGAACCTTGAATCAAAGTCAGATACCACATACAAGTACATCTATAGAAATGAGTAACAATTCATTACTTGAAGAATCTCAGGCTAAGGCAATTGAAAGGTAGATATTATCAATAAATATAATTGTTAACATACAAATTACTATTTGTTCTTAATACAACCATTAAAATGTCCAGCTAGTTTTACAAATATGTGACACATTATAAATAATTGTTTAGGTAAGATTTGGGGCGTGGCACATTCATTGTTATAGTCTATTATTAAACAATTTAAATAAATAGCGAGTTAAACAGTCACAGGCAATTACATGTTAATACTCATCTTGCAAATATAAATGTATTATTTCTTAATGATATAGTAATTTAAAGAATATAATAATAAAACTATACTAAATTAATTTATGAACAAATATAAGAAAATATAATACAAATAAGCAAATTAGGTATCAAAAAAAATGTATAATGTATATTTTTAGTAGATATAATATACTTAGACTAGATAAATAATTTGAATTTGTTTTAAAAATTTAATTATTTTTAATCCAATCAAGTTATAAACAGTGTGCACATTTAACATTGTGACACAACCATTCTCATCCAGAAAATATTTCTAAAAATTAGGTGACCAAATCAGGAATTGAACTTAAATTTCACTTATTAGGTGATTGCTCTACCACTATTTCCACTGAACTTATACCATTTGGGTTTAGGCAGTTGGTGAAGTAGGTACAGTTGAGGGGATAATGTGGAGCGTGCAATGAGCTAAATATTGTAAAAGATATAAAATAGCTAAAAGATATAAAGATATCTTTTTCTTCTGCTAATAATGGCATAAACCAGAGTGTACATTTTTTTTTTTTTTAAACCCTTATTTAGTATGTAGTACAGTGGTTTTCAATCTTTTTTTTATGACCCCTTCTTAATTTAAATCTGTACAAATGGTCACTTACTATTACTTATTATTTTTGTTGTAAACTTAGTACTTTTTTTTGTATTTATTCAATTTTTTGCCAATCTTGTTTTTATTTTCTATCATTTTAACACCATGTTAATGCCACATGTCAATGTCATATATTATAAACTACTGTAAACCCATATAAATGTTATTAAAAATAAAAATACAGATTTACATCATTAAAAAGACAAACATAGTTTGTACAATGGGTAGGCCATTATTGTATATAAGAAGGTAGAATATAGAAGGGAATTTAATGTATATCTGTATGAAATGGTTAATCATTGCTGATAAAAATTGATTCTGAGAAGAATTCGGTTACACATATTTCAAAAGGCTGTAATATTTACGATTTTCTTCAAAATGTGATATTAAAATTATTATAAAAAAAAAAAACTATTAAACTAAATTTTCAAGCATTTCTGTTTGGTCTAACAATTTTATCTGCCAATTACCTACCAAATAAATATTATGTAAAAATCTCGCAAAATTAAAATGTCTATTACTTAAATAAACTACTATAAACTTAAATAGTTTGAAAATTGTATCATGTTTGTAAAGGCAAATATAATTTTTCAGTCCAAATTTCAAGTACTGAACATTTTAAACTGAATTATAACAAAATATAAAAATTAAAACTAATACATCATTATTTTTGTACATTTTCCCCTTTTTCCTACAGTTTTCCCAATTATTATAAAAACTGATTGGAATTGAATAAATGACCTCCATAAAATACCAACTAAATAAAATTCACTTTCAGAAAAATTGATACACTTGATATTTCAAAGAAAGATTTCTGGTAGATTTGTGTACATAGCAGGCAAGGATCCATGGGAGAGAGGATATCACCCCCTCATGCATTTTTTAAAATTATTACTAACGAAAAATACTTATAAAAATATGTTTTACATAAAATAGCAACATTTACTTTGTCTCGTAATTTCTAAATAAATAATTAGTCATTTTTAAATTTCAGGCTTGTTTTAAATATTTATCTGATTCTTATTATTCTGATTATCTGATTGGGTATTATTGGAAATTGTTCAATCGCTAATAATAAATTATTAATAGTCATAGAATATGTTGGGAAGAAGCAAAACACACATTATCTTATCTGTATTTCATATTCCTTTCATAGATCATTAATTGTATGAATTTATAGAAACAATATAAATAATTAGCTCCCAATACATGTTAAATAGAAAAAAAGGCAATTTAATTTTTGAAAATCCCCCCTCCCCCTTGGGTGACTTCTGGATCTGCTACTAGTACATAGTATATATATGTATAAAAGAAAAATATCTACTATGGATCTAGTAGGTGTAAATAAAACAAAAATATTATTAAAAATAATGGAGAATAATAATATTGTTTAAATCAAAAATAATGGTACAAAATTATAAAACTGCCATTAGCTGACTATATTTAAATAATGCTTTAGTGTACTTACTCTAAAAATTAAGTTAATTTGTCTAATTTATTTAATCTTATATTTACATACTATTACTGATACAATTTAAATTCAATATATGGCCCTACTAATTTATGGTAAAATACATTTTTATAAAAAAATTTGTTTTCAAGTCTTGGATTTTTCATAATAATATTGGATTTACTTCCCTCTTTTTTAATTTACTTACATGCTATAAAACTTTGATTATTTATATGAATAGGTACATTGAAGCAAAACATATTTCACAGTATTTATGATGTATTCTATTAGAGTCTAATTAACAAATATGAAATCACCATTGGTTACTGTAAATATTTAAAGTTATTTCAACATTTTGTTCTGTTTGTTATATCTTATATTTATTAAAATAATAATAGAACACTGAATAATATTATGAAATAACACAATGACTTCACGTACCAATCCCTTATACAATTTAAAAACTAATTATAATATGTTTTTCATTTTTTCAGACCATTAGATGACAACAAAGTAACTCATAGGCGACTTAGAGAAATTTCCAGTGTTGTTATGACAACATCTGGATTTCTTTCACCATCTCGAGAAGGAAAATTACCAGAATCAAGATTATTGCCATTTCCTAATTTTAAAGTAAACTCACTGAAACCTACATCTTCGGCTTATCCTATAATTCCACCTGAAGTTAAAGGTGAATCACATCGCCCCAAGAAGTTGTCTCAAAAACCCATAAATAATGTCAAAGAAAAGGGAAAAAATATTATTGAAAAAATCAATACACCACCTAACATTACTAAACCTAAAATAGATAATCCTAAAATTAAAAAATTGGCTAGTATGAAAGAAACATCAAAACTTAAAGTGTTGAAAACTGGAGCTATCCGTGAGTCTAATCAAGGACCTCGTCTCAAGAAACCTCCAAAGATCAAAGATAAATCAAAATTAAGTTTACTAAATACTATATTTGATAAACCTGTTCAAATGTCTTCACATTCTAAATATTTTCCAAATGCTATGTTGAACACTGAAAAACTAACAACAGAACCTGATAAACAAAAATTGAATATTTTCAAAAAAATACCCAAGGTAAAAGAAGACAACTTTGGACACCAGATTTCTAAATCTACGAATAGCTTAAATATTTCCAGATATAGTTCAACTATTGTCAGTTCAGACCTTTTGGTTAAACCAGAAATTGTTGAACAAAAATCAGTTTTACCAATATCTACAAAACCAATTTTACCAGTGTCTACAAAACCGATTTTACCAGTGCCCACCAAATTGATTGAAAAACCAATTGAACAAATTATTGAAGAAAAAAATGATGAATATGATAATTTACATAAATGTAAGGATGAATTGAAACCAGAATTGAATTCCAATGTACCTAAGAAACGAAAAAAAAAACAAAGCACAAAGGGTGATATTATTCCAATTATTGATGCGACAAATAATCATAATGAAAACAAAAAAAGTAAAACCAAACATTCTTCTGATAGTATGTATTCATCTCCAATGAAATTTTCATTTTTTGGACCACCTGGTATACTGCCAACTGAACCTAGTTTGTTACCTCCATCTTTGGCATCAAATCCATTGATTCCAAAATATATTCCTCCTATTAATGTTTTACCGAAATTGGAAAAAGAAAGTATCATACAGCCTTTGATGTATTTGCATTTGCCGGGCGAAGATGAAATTGTAAAATCTGAGTTTGATGAGTTATTATCGCCTAAAAAAAAGATATCAACAGAAATGATCAAAGTAAATTTTTAGGTGAAGTTTATTAATTATAATTTTTTTTAATATAATTTCATTATTTATTTTAGACAAAGAAAGAGCATAAAAAAATTAAAAAAAACAAGATAAAATCAAAAAAGAAAAAAGATAAAAAAGATAAATCAAAGCAAAAAGACCGTAGTGAAAGAAAAAAAGAAAAATTATTAAAAAAATTGAAAAACAAGGAAAAAGCAAAATCTGAAGAATCTAAACAGAGCCCTCCCAATTTAGAGGTTAAATAGTGACTTCTTAAAATCATTCAGAAATGATAGTTTTAATAAATTTAATTAAATTTAAAACTGTAATTCTATTCTAGTTTATTTATTTTTATATTAATACCATTCAGTAAATTTGGCAAAATTAAAAAATATATATATTTTTTAAGTATTGGCATTTAATTAATATAAATCAGTTAATATTTAGAGTTAATATATTTATTTAATTTGAAGTTTATGTTTTTAGGAAGAGAAGCCATCTGTAATCGACGAATCATTAATTCCAAAAATAAAGTTAAAGTTTGCTGGTTCAAAAGCTCAAAGTTCATCTCCATCTGTACAGCGTAAAATGTGAGTAAATCAATAATACAATATTTAAGTTGCAGTTTTATTTAGATGTGAAATATTCCATAAAGATACATAAATTGACATTTTTTTTTTAAACTGCTAGGTGTATAAATATGAAATAATATATAAACAATAAATATATATGTACATGAGCATGTTTGGGGTTGTACCAACAATGAGATAGCCCTGATCCTTAGCCTAAGTTATTTAAACTAAATCATACAACTTCAAGTGTTCGAGGCTCTTTATATCTTGTTAGTTATTAAGAAGTTTTTTTTAGTAGCTCCATTGGTGTGCACTTCTAGTCAATTTGCATGTTCCTTAGCAAACTTCTTTTTGTTCTGGATGGATAATATTTTCAGATCATGGTGTATAATTTCAGTCCTATTGAACATACATGCTGCTACACTTGTATGAAGAGCGATATTTTGACACACAACCCTACAGCTGTATGCCATAAGTCCAAATCAGTTTGATAAGAACAACATAAAGGAAATGTTCATGTTTGTTTTTGAAGTTTAGTGTTTAACTAGCTAGTACTATTTTCACATTTTTTTCTGCTGAATGTGATGTTTTCAATTCAGACGAGTTAAGGTGCATACCCAAGTTTTTAGCTGAATCTTGATGTGAAATTATTGTATGATCCAGTGATATTTGGATATTCACAGTTTTTAATAAAGTAATAAAGATTTGAATTTTCAAACATCTCCAATAAAACATTTTATCTGCAAGTTATTAGTTGCGAGTGTACTGATCCTTACTAGTTGTTAAAATAAAATGACAATCATCAAAAATCATACCAATTATTGAGTCCTTGTTAGTTGAGATAGTGTAGAGCAAGTAAAGTATAGGTCCTAGGACTACTATACAGTACTCTATTCACAGGTATTGAAATTTGTCCTGCTTCAACAATGTCATTAGTTGGATTTTGTACTGTCTCATTAATGTTACATGTTTTCAACCTTACTTACAATTTTTGTTATTAAACTTCGATTTACTAATTTTTGTTAAGACACTTAAGACTTCCATCCAGAACAGAAACATTTTTTAATATAATTTTATTAAATACATCAAGTCAATTAGAAACTGTACTGTGTATTGTTCTATAAACAAAACGCAATTTTATTTAAAAATAGGAAGTTATTGACATTTATTTCCATTATTATAAATGGTCTCAAAAGGATAAATCTTCATCAAAATAATAAACGATTTATAATGTTTTTTTAATTTGTTTATAGTGTCATCAAGCCAGTTATTAAAAACAAATCTCCCTTAAGTTTTTCTGATGAACCACCAGTTTTAACTAAAGAAAAATCGCCAGTGGAGCGTGTAAAATCTTCAGTTACAAAATCGAACAAAGAAAAAACGTCTGTTGGATCAATATCAACTGTTTCATTAACAACACCTAATGAAGAAAAAACAAAAACCCCATCAGAAAGTAAACCAAAGTCAAAAAAAAAATCTACAGTTTCTCCCAGTTCAGTCCCAAATATTGGCAATTCTTCTCCATCCACTAGTACTGTAACATCAAGTCATAAACATAAAGGAAAACCAATTAAAAAATCTAAAAAAACTACAGTTCAAAAGCATCCTGCTTTCTACTTTGTGAGTATATATATATATGATATTTATAACTGATTTTTTTTTGGGTTATTTATTCATATTTATGAATACAGTTTTATTTTATGGAATAATATATGAAATTACTATAAGGTCTTAAGATCTAAATGCCTATAAAAACTCAGTCACTATAATATTTTAAAAATTTGATCATATTAATAAAAAGATAATATAAGTACTCTGTAAACATTTTAATTCTGTAAGATCATTTTAAACTACATTACATTTTCCCATTTTTCAGATGTTTCTCAAATTTCTTCCTAATTATTAGGAAAATTGCATGGAAAATAAAAAACAATCCCAATGTTCCAACTATGGCTCTTGTATTTTTTTGATAGTAACAAGATTTCTGGTAGAAAAGTTGTTCACTGACAAAAAAAAAAACCTATAATAAAATATGATAATTATATAAAAAGTAATATAATCTATATCTACACATTCTTAAATCTTGGTGAAAAAATGATGTTATAATTTATTTCTGTTCTAAAAAATTGAATATTTTTTAGAACTGATGATAACTTATATGTAACACATCCTATGTAATGAAATAAATTATATGTGTTAAATAATAATGATAACCCCTACTTATCTTGTGATCAACTGTACATTAAGCGAGTTCAAAATCTATTTCTTTCTTTTGCAGCTTTCAATTAAAAATTGGACATCCACTACATGACTACATCCACATCTGCTCAATTCTTGATTTTCCCTTATTAGCTTCTTCATCCATTATTGCTGAAGTATTCATCTTCTTCCTTCTAAATAGTACTCTCGATGTCCTAATTTATTGACTTCTGCCTCTTTCCACAGTTCCTTCAAACTCTATGAGAAGCTATTTTTGGTTTTTCAATATGACCTGTCTTATCTTTTAAATACAATCAAGTAAATCAACCACTCTACAGAATTTGTTATTTTTCTAGGGAGGGGATATTGAATTTAGAAATTGTGTCAATTGTTTAACCTGTCCCCAGGCTAAATTAATAAAGATACATTTCAATTTATAATTTAATCTGTCTTCTGCTATACAATTATCATTGAAATTAAATAACTAGGTATACTATAACTAGGTTCATATTATTATTCATTTTTATATTAAATTTTAACCTAATGACTCAAGATATTTAATTATATCAAATAAATTAATAATTATTCCATTTATTTTTAATTTGAACGTAGGATGAATCTGGTAATCAAGTTTGGATATGTCCCACATGTGGTAAACAAGATGATGGAAGTCCAATGATTGGATGTGATGGATGTGATGCGTGGTACCATTGGTAGGTTAAAATCAATTTTAACAATCATTATAAAAAATGTAAAACTATTTTGTTATTTTTAAAATAAATTACAGGGTTTGTGTGGGCATACAATGCCCTCCAGATTGTGCTGTGTGGTACTGTCCAACATGTCTTTTGAAACGCTCTGAACGTAGTACAGTTTCTAATGTACCAGTTGAAAAGGCAAAGCGGGGAAGACCATTAAAAAAAAAATCAATTTCGTAAGACCTCCAACCTAATTTGATGTATCTTTTTTTTCAAACTAAATCGAATTAATTTTTTATTGAACTTAGAGTTTAAAAATTAATTTAAATTTAGAAAATTTGGTAGGAGGTGTAACCAAGAGTTTTTTTGTTGGTTATAAAAATGGAATATGATTTATATTGATTGATACACTTCATTTTATTCTGTTTTATTTTTTGAATTTTTTTGTACAATTTTCTTCGGTTGTTTCTTTACATATAAATATATAATATTACTTCAATACTTTAGCTGGTCTGAAGTGAGTATCCCTTCTTAAATATATATTTTATTTATAGACTAGTTATATTAATGTCATTAGTGAATTTTATTATTTGGTTGCCATGGCGAATCAATAAGCCAGTCATAATAATGGGTTATAGTGGATTTTATGGTTGGTTCCCATGATAAATCAACAAAGCCTTTGGAAGCCAAAGGCTTTTTTTTATGTACAAGATTAATAATATATTTACTAAATTTTTATCAAATTACCTCAGAACAAATTGTACCTTGTTGCTTATAGTCTTGAACAAAGGTAACTCCATTCCTAGTTTTAATTCAAATTATTTAAATCATCACCTATAATATTTTATTACCAATAAAATTTTACTTGTCAGTTATAACTAACAAATATATCTAAATATATATATATATATATAAATATATAAGTATATTATTTTACTTAAAAAAAAAAAACATTTTTTTAAACTATGCTTTGCTTATTAAAAATTACCAAAATGTTATCTGCTTGAATTTAATAATAGCTATTAAGCATTAATTTTATTTTTGCTTAGATAAATGTTTTAAAGGAGTTATTGAATTGTAATTCTATAACTCCTAGTTTAGATTTGCTTATACAACATAATACGAGGTGTGGCTATTTAAAAACGGGATTTTCGTTATAAAAATAATTTATTTGTAAAATTACAATTAATAATGTGATCCCCTTCTATATACTCCCCACTCATTACTATACATCGTTCCATACGTGTTCTCCATTGTTCAAAGCAGTGTTGCAATTCTTCAGATATCCAGCCCTTAAGTAGGTCTACCCCTTTAGTCTTCGCCTCTTCCATGGATTGAAAATGAGTCCCCTTCAACGCAGTTTTTATTTTTGGAAGTCGCAGGGTGCTAAATCTGGCGAATATGGAGGATCCTCCAGTACTGGAATGCGTTTATTGACTAAAAACTGCTTAACAGAAAAAGCATTGTGTGCAGGCGCATTGTCTTGATGCAGAATCCTCGTATTGTTCTTCCACAAACCTGACCTATTTTCCAAACTCTTTCCCTGAGCTTAATGAGAACCTCAATATAATATTTTTGATTAACTGTTTGACTTTGAGGAACCCATTCGATCATAATTATGCCCTTAATATCAAAAAAAACGATAAGCATCACCTTCAATTTGGACTTGCTTCTCACCCATCTTTAAATCTTTTATGCCATTCAAAAACTCGAGTATGTGACATTGTGTCCTTCCTGTACACCTCAGTCAACATCTTTAGACATTCTGTGGGCGATATTTTTAATTTAAAGAGAAATTTTAAATTAACACGCTGTTCGATTTTTAAATTAGGCATTATTCCGGCAGTTTCGTAGAATATTGTCCACTTTAAAGGCATGAATGCGAACTAATTAACCAAAAGAGATAAAACTGATATTATTTAATGCATTGGCTTGTGTAGATAATAATTATGATATAATTACCTACCAGAGAGTTGATTGCACTCTAATCAGAAGGAACTCCCTTTTTTAAATAGCCACATTTCGTATTTTATTGTATTTAAACCTATTACTGAGTCTTAAGAAACTTGGCCACTTTCAGCAAAGATTAGTTAGATTCATTTTTTTTCACAAGAAAGTGAGGAGAAGCACATTGCACCCACTTGATTCATAACACAGGAGTAGAACTATTTAGCACTACTTTACTTCCCAATGTTAAGTTATGTTAACCTAAGAGAATTTAAATATCTATTCATTGAAAATTGTGACTAATCTAGGGAAAATTAACCATTTTATCTTATACATTAAGAATAAAATAAATTATATTTCTTGTTTTAAAATTAAAATTTATATATTTGTTAAAAAAAGGAGGGGGCGAAATTTTTAAAAATCTACAAAGGGTCGTAGAATAAAATTATTTGAGAACCATTGGTATAATTAATATTAAACTATATATTACTATACAAATAATTTCTCAAATGATTATTTTGAAATAATGTTTCTCAATATTGTCTGTTTAGATAAATTATTAAGCAGAAGTAACTTTTTTTTTTTTACTCTTATTGAGGTATCTAAAATGTATAAACATCAGTTTTTATTAAATAAAAATGTTGACTTTTAGTATATTTTAACCTTGCCCATTAACCTTTTGCATTAAAAACTGAATTTATGGGCCATTTTTTATTATACTGTGACACCACTTGAGTGGTATGTTAATGATTTTCTTCTAGGGGAGAATGATGAACAGAAAAACAAAATTGTCAGAAAATCTATCTCCTTTATTTGTTACCTATCTTAACATTTATGAGAAGTCTTTCAAATACAAACCTTTTTCTTACTTATTTTTAAAAACTTATTTAATGATAAATAAATTATAAACAATTGTTTTTGAGCAATATAAATTACCTAATCACTCATATGTTATACTCCTGCTTCAGTGCCGTTTCTAGTGACAACTTCTGCATAAAATTTCAATATTATTTTATACATCATACAGTTATGCCTAGTTTATGAATTAAAGCAAATGCATTATAAGTATTTGTTGTGTGTTGAGTAAATATTAAATTTTAATTATTGATATTGCATACATGTACATAATTATATGTATGTGTATAATGATGCAAGTAAAGTAGGAAATTGGGCATGGTGCACAATGCCAAAGTTTAGTTATCAGTACAAGAAAAAAGTTAGACCATCCAGGCTTTGAAAACAGTCTGCTTCTCTATCCAGAAAATTGTATTTATTATTATATTTATTGCCTAGAATATTCCAACTTTGCTTGTAATTTTATAAAATATAATATAGCATTATATAGTTTAGCATTTTGAGGTATGATGGGACTAAATTACTATTTTGCTTTCAAAAAATACATAGATATTTTAATATAATATTGTGTATGTAAGAAAAATGTAACCTGGGAGTGTTTTGTTATTTCCATTTGTAAAAATCACCATTGGGTAATTTTATAATATTTTGGTGTTTACATTACTGGTCAATGTTATTCGCAGTCCTCGGTACATTTTTCTTATTTCATATTAATATTTAAAATAGATTAGGTATTTTATATTATTTTTTTTTCATTTTTGAAGTATTTTTTTTTTTTTTTTTGTATTAACTGCTAATACAAATGTTGGGTTAGTGGTTTTTTTTTTTTTTTTTTTTTTTTTTTTATATATATAATTTATTATAGATAAAAGATTATTTTAATATTGCTGAATTGAACACTGCATCCAAATATTTATGATAAAAATATCTCTGACACAAACAAAATAATATCTTCTAATAAATTATTTTTTAAAAAAAAAATAGTTTTTTATAAATTAAATTTTAATTATTAAAATGTATAAAATATCTACATTTAAAGCCTCTCAATCATATCTCCATGTAAAATTAATGGACATGGTTAAATTTTAATAGGATACTATTTCAATTATTAATATAGCAGAGTTCACTGTAATATAAATAAATCTATTAGCATAAATCAATTATTTATTTTAAAATAAATTTATTTAGAGATATTATTTTCTTGTTATATACAATATTTTATTACCATTATTATTATTATTTTTATTATTATTGTTATTGTTGTATTTATTATTATTATTATTATTGTTATTATTATTAGATTATAAATTACATTGTGAAATTCACGGCAATAACTAAATATTATTATAATAATCAATTAAGTTGTTTTGACACCTAGTTGTCTGAATACAATATTATATTGGAATACCCGGTATTTTTTGTTATAATATATTAGATAGTAATTGCACACATTCACAGTAGTGTTATTATTATATTAATCTATTTATAAGCAAAATATTTTACCAATTTTGTTTTTTAATTTTATATTACCGACTTTATATTTATAATACTTGTTTGAATTTATTTTATTTTATTAAATGGATTACTTACTAACAAAAATTATATTGATAGTTTATTTCATTGATATTTAAACACAATTATAATACCTATATTAGTAATTTTATTATTATATAGTGTAATATTAACTCTGTATAGAAGTTTTAAAGTTCTTTTATAATTTGTAATTAAGTATTGCGTAGAAATAATATTTTTTTAAAAAAATGTAATTTTATCGAAATTATATTTAATTATTATATGTATAACTAACCTATACTGTTTGGTTTATAATAATTAAGTATTTAATTATATTCCTATTTAAATGACTTAAAAAAAGCAAATAATTTAATACCAATAAACTTTACTTAAGCAATTAAACCATTGTAATATTTTTCTGTTTCTAGCAAATTCAAATTAATTGTAAATTATTTAGACAATTATATATTATTCTAAAAAACCTAACATGTATTTAATTTGTATGTGTGTATATAAAAACCTATTGAATTTTGCTCTTAGTGTATATTTGCTCGCATGCAATGGTGTGTTGGAATTGCATAGTTTTTATTAAACATTGAGTTCCAGGTAAACTTATCACCAAAGTAAAAAATAAATCAATGCTATTTTTGTAAGTATATTTGATTAAATTGTAAAAATATTAAAACGCTATTAATTTAAAAATTAGTATTCAGATTCTTGAATCCTGCGCGCATAATGGGTATTATAATTAACACCTATAAATTATATTAAAGAAATAATAAAATTATAATATTTAGTTCAAATCTTATTTATTGCTGAGCAGTTCCTTTGTGACTATTATGCGAGGGCGTCTATACACTTGATATTATCTTTTTTAATGCAATTCAGTTAAAAATATTCATAGTGACTTAAAAGTTTGAAAACTTATATTTGCTTTTTTACGATATTTTCAAAATTGTTGAACTATATATAGACATTTTAATTTTGAGTTTTTACCCAATTTTTATTTGGTAGGTACTCTGTGGATAAACTTAACAGAAATGCTTGAAAATTTGGTAAGATGTTCATTATCATACTTAGTGGTTAAAAAAATAATTTAGTTTAATGTAATACCTATTTTTATTTTTTTTTAAAAATCAAATTTTGACGAAAATCGTAAATATTACGGTCTTTTAAAACATGTATAACCGAATTTAACTCCAAATCATTTCTCGTTATTAATGATTTATCGTTGGTTATAGGTATAAATTAAATAATTTTATGTATCCCACATTCATTAGTACTCACCTACAACAGTGGCCGCACCCGTCTCCAGTATCAGCAATCATAGTGCTATAAACCCAAAGTGACCAGTTTGTAAGCACTATAGGCTATAGCGTCTAAAACGAACGCACCCTAAGTCTATCCATTGTATATGATCCAAGCGTATCATACCGATTCACCAACATCCAATAAAATTATTTTGTTCAAAATGAATTACTTAAACTTATAATTATATTTATATAATTTTACATGGATTTAAATTATTTATATGAATCATGAACATTGTTCAAGTCAAATATCATCTATACATTAAAATAGGTATCTAACCTTACAAGCGTATGTTTTTTAAATGAAAATGGAACATTTTTGCATCCAAGTACCTATTCCATAATACAAAACGTATTATTTTGTAGCCTAAAATTGTAATTTGTAACGTTATTGAAAAAAATAATGAATTATTATGTCATTCAATTGTATAAATCGGTAATATACCTTTCTTTTGTAAATGCTAACCTTTTTTTCTAATTTTCTATACTTCGTCTTCATCTTTTGTGGTCGCTATGTAGTCAAGGTTTAAAATTTAATATTATTAAACTACTAATGAGTAACGATGCAACGATTATTAACTGTCAACTGACAATAATATTGTGGTTAGTATAATTTTATCAACATTTTGATTGTAGATTGTAGTACTATATATATATATATATATATATAAAAAAAATAGATTTCCATGTAAAAACTATTTTTGTATTTCGTGAAACTACGACTTGTCAGTTGTCAGTGAATTGGTACCTACATTTTTTCGGAGGCCGGTTTTCACGTCGGCTAGTCGGGCCTATTTAATCGAACCTATCTAAAATAGACATATTATGTAATATACCCATGGGCGATCCTTGGGGGGGGGGTTGTAGTGAATCTTGACGACTGGTATTTATACCATGTCTGCCGACTGTTATCAGGTATCTAGTGAAATCACAGCCAAGGGTACCGACCAGGATTAATTTCTGGGTCTGTTCTCGGTGGTTTTCCAGAGGGGATTGCTTTCCCCCTACCCCGAGCATTTTAGATAGTACAGACCTCTTCGTGACACTAGATATTAGTAGTGCCGTGGATTTATCCCGTTGCGAAGCCAACATGTACAAAATTCTCGATGAGCGAGCGAGTGTCGGAACTTCTCCACCGAGGTTGTATACGTCGAGAGATTGAGACTACGGGCTCGTCTCCCCCCGTGATCGTTCCGGGGTCTTCTTGCATTCCGACCGTCTGGTCGCAGCGTTGAATGTTCTCGGACGGTCCACTTACCTCTGGCAACGGAAATTGTGTTATCACGCGCGTGTCGATAGACTCCCGGCTGCCTCCGGGGCAGACTGATCATCCGGGTGTCGATGTATGTCCAACTTTTGACATTTACGAAAAGTCTGGGCGGTCTTCGGGGCCTCGGCGACGAACGGAGACCCGGGTGTCGGCAGCGGTTTCGTGCCGTGATCGTTGCCTTGCGGTTGAATAGCGGACGGGCCTATGAGTTTCGTCAGGTAGTGGTTAATAATCCAGTGGCCACCTACTGACGTCGGCTAAGCCGTAGGCATACGGTATGCGAACTAGAAAGCGGATGTTGAGACAGCGCTTTGGTACGTTGATACGCACCCGGAGCTTCTCCGAACCTTTGTGCTTCCTGAATAGCCCAAGGCTTATAGAGGGTACGTAGTTGTACCATCACTTTATGCATAGATTAAATTTCAGATTCACCTGTTATCAGCTATTACAGCTTTAGTTGATTTACAACAATCGTTAGTTCAATGAAAATCTTATTAATAAAAAGACGTCCAAGGATAATGGAGACGGGTGCAGCCACTGTTATAAGTAATTCAATGTATACCTGTAAGGAACAATAAACCATTGCTTACGAAAAAACGATTCTGAGCGGAGTTCAGTTGATAGTGATGCTTAATCAACAATATATATATGCCATATTATAGTAAAATAATTAAAAATGCTTTTTATATTTTCTTTAATAATATTTATTTAATGTTGTACCGGATTTCCTACGTTTTTACCGGTTTTTCACATTTGCAGGGAAACGACCCAAGAAAATCGAAAAATGACCTCTCTAAAGTACCTCAGTCGGATTTCCTTTTAGAAACATTGCTATCATATTACCCACAGGGAAAAAAACGCCATAATATTTTTAACTAATACCTACCTATACACTTCTTACATTTTCCCGTTTTCCCTCAGGTTTTTTTCGGTTTTTCACGTTTGTTGAGAAAACTGGAGAAAATCAAAAAATTACCTCCCCAGTGAAATTTCCTTTTTAGAAAAATTGCTATAATTATAAACTGGAGCAAAATTGCTAGAAGAAAAGTTGTCCACAAAAAAAAAAATCGTAATATTATACAAATATATTTCGTACATTTTCCGTTTTTTTTTCTATTTTTCACACTTGATGAGAGAACTTGAGAAAATCGAAAAATAATCCCCTTAAAGTACCTCCCTACACCGATTTCCTTTTAGAAATGGTGCTACACTTAGAATCTAAAATATTAAAATTTTAGGTATTATAGGTCTTGTGATTAGCTATAATAAACAGGAACTTACAGTTACGACTTTAGAGGGGTGTCACACAAAAGACGCCGCTCAACCGAATTTTATATCTAATGGCTTTCAAAAAAAAAGTCTTATGCATTATTTTTTTTGTTTTAAATACTTCACAAAATATTATTCTCTATCAGTCTATTATTTTTTTTATGGGTGATTTTACAAAAATTAGAGATGATTTGCGGTGTTATACATCACAGCATAATTATTTTACAAAGGGCGTGAAGAAATGAAATTAACTGTTATTATTTTTCCATTATTAGACGTGATATTATCTGGAATTGATGATAGATTTAAACAAGAATCTCAGATTTAATAACTGTGATTAGTCAAATAATTAATTTAAAGTTGAATTGCAACTCATCTTGTTTATACACACTAAACAATGTGCTAAATATTGAAACTCAAGAGCTTTTTGTGGAAATTGGGCTTTTAAAAATTATTGCAGACACACCCAGATGAAAATCATATGAATAACAAGAGTTTGTTAACAATATCAATGTTTAAAATGTGATTGATGATTTCAAAAATGTTTCTGTAAAAAGAATACTTGTCCTTAGATATATGCGTCTTATAGGTACCTTCAGTGTTCTTATTATTATTATGCACATTAGGTATGTACTATTTAAAGAATTTTGTTGTTCTAAGTACACACATTATATATTTTGTTAATTACTTAATTACATAGCGGTGTAATCCAGTCTTGTACATAAATATTTCTATAGTTAAATTTAAAGGTACCTACTGAAAATACTGTACATTATTAATAGAATATTTTAATTAATACATAGACAATACAGACTTTTAAAATTATATAAATATTTAATTAGGGGGACTACCATCCCTCCCCTATTTAAAGGGAATTTGTTTTGGTTGATTAAGTGACACTGGTCATTAGCTAGACAACCACTTCAAGCTTTATAGTTAGCAATTTTGTTTATGTGAACCTACTAATTTACGGATAATATATGTACTTTAAAGATGTGTATTTATTAATCATTATTAGCGGTCTTTTGTTTGTGCTTAGTGTTTTATTCATAATTATTTCCGATACTATCTTAATATTATTTGTTTAATTATCTCTATAATATCTTTATATAATAAAAATAGTCTCAAGTAATTTGCCAAAGTTATAATTATCATTGGTTTGTTTATTATGGCTGTTTCATTATAAATTAGTGAACATAGTTTTGTCTTTATGAAAAGCTGCTGCTATACTAGTATAGTTTATTTATAATTATGAACCTGTAATGTTACATTTAGATATATCTAAATATTTAGTTAACATTGAATATCTGTATTATAACCATGTCTAATATACATCTAATCAACCTAGCGAATCTATTCTGTTCGCTGATTTCGTGAATTGTGTACACAAATTATTGAAACACCATCACCACGACCAGTGGGCACAACCAGGATTTAATTAGGAAGGGGTTTTATGAATTTGAAAAAAAAATCAATTTCGGATATTTGGTGGCGTAAATGAAGTAGAATTTAATTAGGTTTACGAGTAAAATCTTTAAATTGTTTAACTTTAATTTATAGACAACGCATATTGTAAAACAATTTAGACTCATATTAATTATTTATTTAAAATTGATATTTTACTCCAAGTACATGTACAGTAGCAGTAAAATAAATCATTTTTTATTTTTTAGTTAAAGCTGTTACTAAAAAAAAAAAATTTAAAAATATAATTAATCAAGCCAAAAGTGTTACCGCTGGGTAGCTTCTTTAAGTCAAGTCACTCATGTCATCTTTAAAAATATCAAACATGCTCATTGTAAACAATTTTACAGATTGCATGATTTCTAATAAATATTTAAAAAAAAAAAAAAAGCTATTACTCTATTACCTAGTTATTATAGTCTATATTGTCTTATGACAAAAATGTATCATAAATATAACGAAGTAGGTATCTATGCATACAATTTTAATTTAAGGCCATGTCGTTTCGTCTACAAAAATAGTGATGATGTTTAGATGAATAGATGAATCAACCAAATTTAATAAATTTTGAAATTTTATAATTTGGTTGCGAAATACATAATATAGGTAGATACTGTGGTTGGCAGAAGCGTAGTCAAGGGACTATTACCTTCTATGGGTCATGTTTATGTATATTATATACTATAGAATTGGGCAAGTTTTGGATTTTTAAAATCGAATCAAGTATATTTTTTTTTTCTAGCCAAGTCGATTTCTTCATTATAAAAATCATGATTTTTATATATTTCGTATACTATTAAAAGGTACATGATTATTATATGTTATTATTAAAAGTGCTAACATATTAGCCACCTATCTAGTCAAAGCTTAAACAAATTATAAACATTTTAGGTATTGCTTTGCCTACTTTATACTCGGGAAATTCTTACCATTTACCATGGGAATGCAGTACAACTTGGACAATTAAAACTTGGAATATCGATGTTTGGAAAGACAGAATTTTGACAGGCAAAACTTCGAATGGCGAAGTTTTGAAATGTAAAACTTGGAATTTGTATTGTAAGTATACTATTCATCCTTTTCTAGTTTTGCTAGTCGTCCTTAACCACCGTTACAAAAATTGGCGAAAAGGAAAATAATAAGTTAATACTCAATAAATGTTAGTTCTTTTTGGTACCTAACTGAGTCGTAAACGCCGTTTTTTTTAAATAGTATATAATAGTAATATACTATTAATGAGTACATATACATAAACATAGATAAATCTACCTCGTGAAAGGTACACTATATGTAAATATACCTACTATTTGGATAATATTATGTATTATTTTTCTTTTAAAATACGATTCAACGTAAATATTTTTCTGTTTACTTAGGTATTTATTTTTCGATAATTATGTTGTTCTAATAAAATATTATTCCAACAAAATATATTATGTACGCGTCTCCATTTTATTTCACTAGGATATATGTTTTTAAATTTTGTTACCTTCGAAAATATAATTATCTTATTGACTCTTTATATCTTATAGTAATTATTATTTTATATTCTATTTTTAGAAATGTAATAATAGTGATAATATTATTACATTAATAATTTACCTACCTACAAAATATTATATTGGATAAATATATATAATATTTATTTTAACATAAGTTTATGAATTGTAAATAAATAAATTATGTTCCTTAAAAAAATGAAAGGCATCAAAATAAGTCATTGAAAAAAATATATTGTTCATCATATTTTATCGCCACTTAATATATTTGTCCTATATCAATTTTTTTATTTAAGGTAGACCGCATCATATTTGAATTCAGACTATACTTATTTTGAACTTTATGTTTAATTAATTTAATTGGTCTTCTAAATTAATGTTCATTTAAAACATACAATCACTCAAAATGCATTAAAAGTAAGTAACTTAAGTATAAAATATGTAAACAAAAAAAAGAACTAAGTTACTGATAAATAAACTAAAAAAAAAAAATACTTTTAGTTATTAAAGGAAGAGGGAGAATTCAAAAATTAAAAAGCTAAGTACTAATTTTTTTTTATCCTTGGAACCAAATAACTGCCAGTTTTTTTATTAAATATATTTTTATATGCAACAAATATTTATTTATTAAATATATTTTTATATGCAACAAATATTTATTTATTTAATATTAAATGGGTTTAAACCCAACTGCATACAATTATTATATTAAATACAAAATATTCTTAAAATTAATTCAATGGTAAAAAAATAAAATATATGTGTAAAAGACAGACATTGATACTAAGAAAGTAAGTAGATTATAGAGGAAAAAGTGATTAACAATTAATCACTGATAAAGAAAAAAAAATTCTGAGTGGAGTTGGTTATACTTGTGATTTGAAAAGCAGTTATTAAAATTTTTATAAAAACAATACTACTCAATCGCTTTTTGAACTACAAAGTAAAACTTATAATGTGAACTTCCTGTTAAATTTTCAAGTTTGGTCTAACACATTTATCAATAGAGTAGATACTCTATTGATAAAAAAATAAAAAAATAAAAACCAAATAAAATTTATATAAAAAAGTCACAAAATTAAAATAGCTAAAAATTACTAAAAATGCTACAAATGTTTTGAAAATTGTATCACGTCTATAAAAGGCAAATATGAATTTTCTGTCTAAATCTTCAAGTTTATGCAAAAATTATCAAATTAATTACAATAAAAAAGATGAACATACTTCCTAAATGGGCGGGCCACTGTTGTAGATGAGAAGTTGGGAAGGTAGATGGGAAATTTAATATATATCTGTATACAATGATAAACCATTGCTAATGAAAAAGGATTCTGAGCGGAGTTTGTTTAATAGTGTTGCTTAATCAACAATATATATGTCGCATTATGGTAAAATAGTTACATACCTAATATTTCCTTTAATAATATTTGTTTAATATTGTACCTAGTTACTTGGTTTTCCTAAGTTTTCTCCATTTATTGGGGAAAAAACTGGAAAAATCAAGGAATGTCCTCCTTTAAGTCAGATTTCCTTTCAGAAAAAATGCTGTAATTGAAAATCTGAGCAAAATTGCTCGTGAAAAAGTTTTCAGAGATAAAAAAATAATAATAATAAACATCATTGTAAAACCAATACATTTCTTGCTTTGCTCAGTATTTAAAATGATTAATTTACAAGGCAATGGTTTTTTTAATGACAGAAAAGAAATTATCAACGGTTCAATTTCGTTAGTAGCATAATTAGTAGTTTGTGATTTTAAATAAAATAAGTTCATTTATCATTAAGTACTAGAGAAAGATTAAATGGCTTAAGAAATTAAGACAATCAATATAGCCATTTCATAATTTGTAAATAAAATATTAATCAGGCCTGATTCTGAGGTACTCTTTTATATAAAACAATAATTAAATATTTTTTAAAAAAAATAAACATAATATGTATTAATTTAATAAATTATAGTTATAATAATTACATATTTTTTAAAAAAAATAAACATAATATGTATTAATTTAATAAATTATAGTTAGTTCATTTAAAAGGATTATAGATTTAGATTGGTTTAAAATATGTTGAAATGCGTCTGTACTGTTTCTTAGGATTAGAACCAGATGTTTTTGAATCATTTTTACGTTTTTTCCCACCACTATTAACTTGTGTTATTAACTCTTTGGGGATTTTAACATTTGCTGGCTTTGTTAAATCACTAGAATTCAAACTTTTGCTTAACTCTATAGCCACATGATGATCTATGTGTTCCTCATACAAATTAATGTCAATAGTTTTATTACATTTTTCGCATAATAACATTGTTGGAATATCATTATCTTTAGAACATAAATCATTGATATTATCATCAGTAATGTTGATAGTAGTGTGTGGTTCAAAACATTTTTTTGACACTGAATTGTAATCAGTTTGGTGTTTTGAAGGTGATTGAATTTCAAGGTTATTATTTTGTACAATTTTTGAAGGAGATATTATTTCTAGTTTTCTATTGAAAAAACTATCAGTGTCTTGTATACTTTTTTTTTTAGCATTTATCTCATTCTTTGAAATTTTTATGTTTTTGACATAATTTGTGTTACAGGTACTACTATTAGGTTTTTGTTTATTAGAAAGGTCACAATTGACCCACTTTGGGTGATTTGAAGAAAATAAAGCATATTTAGAATTTAATTGTTCATTGGATATTGAACAGTTTTCATTTCTTGGGGTTTCATTGATTTTAGAATCAACTGATACATTTTCTTGAAGATTAGAATTGTTTTCTTCTTTAGCAATTTCTTTGTTGAAATATTTGTCAATTGATGATTTTACTTCCACATCTATAAATTTTCCAATAGCCACCCCAATAAAAGATACAGGATTTTTCCTATAAAAAAAAAAGTTGTTAAATTTCTATTATGGATATTTTCAAATATCTTCTTTATTGTTATTTATAATACTGGATCCTTAAAGATTTGGATGCGCTTAATTCAAATTTGAAATCAGTCTGTTCTTTATCGTGTCTATTTTTAAAATTAGTTGTGAAAAATTTATGATATATATAAAATAGCAGATTAATGCACATAGGTTTATAATATATTATCTACTTACTATCTGAAATATGTTTATTTTTAGATTTGAATTCAGCACATCAAAATTTATATTGATCAGGTATTATAATACAATTGACAAACAAAAAATATAGATATATCTTGTAGAAATGTTCTTGCTATACAATTAGTATTAAAATGTAACATAAATATACCAAGTCAATGATTTTTGTTGATTTTCACTCATAGTGCACAACATTGAATAAGCAGAATCAAACAATTTCTTAAAATTATATGTAGTTACTTCACCACATTGAGATGATGCTAAATTTGTGTCTTTATTTGAATACTTAACATTTACTTTAATTAAAGTGGCTTTTCTGTTGTTCTAATGAAAAATAATTAATACAAAAATGCAGTTTAATGGTTAATTTAATTTAATTCAAATTCATAATCATTAATCACGTACTATTTTATAATCAACTTCTAGTTTCTCAGTTATGTCATTAATTAATGTGCTTAACCAGTGTTGTATTTGATCTTTATCTTTCAAACCTAAAGGAAATGCTTTACAACTTCCAATAGATTTGTTTATAAGTCTAGATTCAACTGGTTCATTATCTATACCTCTGGATATTTGAAATAAAAAATTACTGAAACCAAAATCATAGACATTTCAATGAAAGTAATTAATTATATAAAATATTATCAAAACAAAATGTATAAACAATCACCATGTTTTGTTATCAAATTTTTTTTGTAAATCAATTAGTGGTATTGCTGCTAATTCAGACATGAATTCACATTTAAATTCTTTTTTAACTTTATTTCCAAGTTTGCCACCTAGATTTTTAACTTTTTTTATTGGTATGGTTTTAAACAAATTGCATACACTGAATGGTGGTAATATAGTTTGTTGATTAGGTTTATGTAATCCACAAGCAAGTTTAGCTAGAATCTGTAAAAAATTTTTAAAATAATTTTTGATATAAACTACAAATAAAAATAATAACAATGAAATAGAATTGCAATGATAATTACAAACTAAATAAAAATCTAATTTAAAATTATTTATTTGTGGAAATAAAATTATTACAAATACTAAACCTTATTGTTTGAAATTCCGGCTGAACAACAAAAACCAGTTTTTTTAAAGATTAAGTCTCTTAATTTTTCTATCATCACAGCACCAATAGTTAAATTGAGTAAGTAGCTGTCTTGTAACTCATTATTGTAAACATCATTAAGCCATAATTGCATACATTCATTTCTACATGCTTCATACATAATTAAAATTGCATTTAAATTTAAATAGATAAAATAATACATTCTAAAGTGATTTTTATTGAAATAATAATACAATTTTGCAATGGTATAGCCAATGGAGCAGCAAAGATAACTGTCCTTCCCTGCTCATAGAGGAGGACAAGGGGCTAACAAGTACACCTATTCAATTTTAAATTGAGAAGGAATAGACAAACATGTTTAACAAACTTAAAAATAATTTATTTTTCTTATATTTATCACAATGTTTAATCAGTATGGGACTAACTATTTTTTACTCGGGTATAAATTACATCTAAGATTTATTTTGCAAAATCAATATTTTCCTTCTTATTTTTCAGACTTAGGACTGACAATATAATTCTATTAATATTGGTATGGTTAAAAATATTGATTTTGCTGTTTTTGTTTATAATTAAAAAATGTTTAACTAAAGGACACCAAAAGGAAAAAATTATATTTGTTTTATATTTAAAAAAAAATAGTAGTTCATGTTAAAAAAAAATAATGGTCCAAATTAAGAATGTTTACATTTCGTTAGCTATATACAGGCATTTGAAGTTAAAGTGTGATGTCATAGAATATATTCTTGTGGCGTTCATACATGTATTATGTCTTCAACTTTATTCACCCATTATTATTATTATAAGCGTAATATTTAATATACTGGGTTTATGATTCAATTTTAATTGTAGTTTATACCTATATACCCAAGTATATTTAAAAATATACTTAAAATTAACACTAAAAATGTCTTTGATATTGGCTATATCCGTGTAATTTAGTACAGTATTAAACTAAAAATTACCATTTGATGATTGATCTGAATATCCTTCAACAAATGTATTGGGCAAATCAGTTACTGATACATTTTGGTTAGATGAAATATGATCATTTATTGCACTAGTTAAATCAATATAAGCTTCATCAATGCTTGCTCGTTGTACACATGGACTAAATTCACTTAGAACCTCAAACACTTTTTGACTGGCTGTGCGATATCTGTAAGAATCAATGTATAAATTATACATATTAAAACAATTTATATAATAATTACCTAGAAGTTATATAGGTATATACAGAGTGTAACAGAACATTATTTGACATTTTTACATTGTAGTTACATGTAGAAATGTCAAATAGTCCACTTACATCCTGTATATTTCAAGTGAATATTTTTTTTTTTTTTTTGATATTAACCAGCAAATAATATTTTGTAATATTGCACTAATGTATCACTTTGGTAAATTGCCTACAGTTTACAGCTAAGTTTACTTAGTAGAATACTAAGTACTAAACATAAATAGTTAGAACTAAAATTAAAGAAGACTTACTTAGATAGATCAGCTTTCCCGTGGAGTTCTTTTACGCGTACTAAATTTAGGTCTGGACATACCTGAACAGCATCATTACCTCTCATATGTCGATTAACTCCTTTTGCTCTAGCTTCATAATTTACAGCAATAATTCTGGAATAAAATAAAATACTCATGAACACATATCTATTGACCGTAAACTAATTGAAGACATACCCGCCGCCTTTCCAACTGTTGTATTGCACAACAGCAACTGGTTTCCCAGCCAAAGATTTATTGTGTTGCACTTCAACTTGACAATAAAAACAATCCATATCGATCAATGCCACTACACGTTCAGCTGGATTGCAGCTGTTGTTCATAATTAAAATTAAATATACGTCCACAGTAAACAGATTGCAATTTTAAACTTCCAATTGGTTTTTAGCAGTTGGCAGTTGAGTTATAATACTCTATGGCTGAGTTTATGGGAAAATCGGTCAATAAAGAATAAAAATTTCACATTGACTTCAGAATTATTGCAAACCATAACTATAACTTCATAATCACAAATTTACCGCCTTTATTAGGGCGTAGTCGTTAACGTCAATACTCAATAACAATAATGGCAAATTGATAAAAAAATATAACGTGAATAAAATGATAAAATAAATATTTGAGTTACTATCACTATGTAGAAGATGTGGGATGTTTATGAGTTTATGATAAGAACTGTTTACTTTATTAGTGATATAAAACGTTTTTTTTTTACTGTCTGATATAGATATTTGATAAGCTCACTGGTTGGCGGTTGCCCAACATTGAATAATGTTGCTACATCGCCCAACAGGCTATATTATAAGCGTTATCATATAGTAATTGAAATTGTTCCTAAAATAAAGTCGATATAGATATTTTACAGTTTATAATATAATACTTTTATGTATTACGAAATATGGAGTCTAGTGTTAATAATTGTAAATTTTGTAGTAAAATGTTAACATAAAGATAAAGTTTAAATGTTCATTGTAAGCAATTTCACGACACAGATATTTTACCGGTTAAATATTAACAATGCATGTTAAAAATGATCATTCAAATGATGCTGGATAAATCATATTTTATTGTATAAATAAAAAAAAAAACATAATTTGAAACACTGAATATTGATAATTTAATAATGTTATTACAAATACAATACAGCCAACGAGAGTTCTCGATTTCCAATGGGTCTTTGGTAATGTATAGTATGTATATATGCAGGGGTGCGTACTGAAACATTATCTACGGTTTCTGGAGAATTCGCCAGAGAAAGATTTAGCACCGCCCATGTCAATGAATCAAGTTATCCACCAAGTTGCCCAAGTTAACTTGTTTATAATTTTCTCAGAAATAGATTAGATTTTGGCGGCCACAAGGTAATAGATAAGGATACTACGCAGTGGCCAGTTAATATCAATCATTAATTATTATTATTTTTTTTTAAACCGCCCGAAAGCTTTTGCAACGATCAAAATAAATCTTTAACAATACATTATAAAAGGTGAACATAAATACTTGTGATGTGTTTATATACAAAAAAAAAAATAACATATGTGAAATCTCACTTCCAGTGGAGTGGCCCCGATCTATATCGATTAATTATTATACTACATTTTATATTAATTGGCCTTATAATAACGAAATTATAGCTTTGGCTGCAAGTTGCTCAAATAAATTTTTTTTTGATTGTGGATTGACTGAACTGTTCAGTATAGGTGATGATGAGGTTACATTAGAGAAGGAATATCTAATTTGAATTGAAAAGTATTTAGAATATGTCGTTATACATTATTCTAATAATGTTTTTCAAAGCTTCTGTAATTTAGGTTAAAATTAGTAATATTTTTTAATTATTGTAATTTATTAGTTTTTGTAATTAGTAATAGTATAGTTCATACACTTGCAACTACAACTTGAGAAAACCTTTTTAAAAAAATTAAATCAAATCAGACATTAACAGTAAACAGTCATACACCTTGCAAGGTGGATATCCTAGAGGATCACGAGAATAACGCGAGTTCATTTTTAGAGCCAATTATCACGGTTTTAACTTAAATACCTCTTAATTTTATTTTTATTGAAAAAAATGACCGTGGCATATTGGGAGACCCATTACTCTTAGGATCTGCGATATCGAGTTCGATGCCGTCCAACGCGCAGTAAATCTGTACTTTTTTTGTAAAAATAAACACGAGATTAATTTCCATATGTGATTTAAATATTTTCATTTTGCCCTGAGGCTCACTGCAATCGATTTCTTTCCTTGTACGTTACCAACGTGGTTTTGCACAACAAATCGAAGGTTATGTTCGATTAAAACAGTCTGAGCGAGCGCAGCGACCCAGTGACCCTGCTAGGTGTCTGGGTGCATCCAAAATGCATGTTTTCAAAAAAAAAAAAAATTAAAAAACAGAGTGTCCAGTAAAGTACTTATACCACTGTGGTACCAAGTGATAACAAATGTACGATAATAAGAAAAATGTCTATGGCTAACCATGATAACCGGCTCTGAAAATGTACTCGCGTTGCTTTTGTGATCCTCCCGTGGATATCCATCTTGACACCTTGTTATTTAATAAGCGTGATAGTAGGTCAAAATTTTATCAAACAATTGACGTAAAGTAAGAAGTGGTTTGAACCACACATACCACTGTCGTTCCACAGACTTCCTGAGTGTATTAAAGGGGGTGAACTATTCTGGTTTCTGAACGCAAAAGAGGCGTGTCGGTAAATTCCCCGACACACCCCAAATACTTTCTGAATGAATCTGTGGCACTACTCTGGAAAACGTTTCTAAACGCACCCCAGCCCATCGCTGTTAGAACATTGATTATTTAGTTGAGAGTTTTCTCGGTGTATACTGTACGGCGTACGCTAGACGCCAGTTATCAGTTCGCCTTTGGCGCCCGTTTGCTTTGTGGTTGCGTAATTTGCTGCCGTCATTGTCTTACCGGCTTATGTCCAAATTCAAAATTACTTCTCTCACAAATCGCAATTCTCTGCTCGTTTGTGTATTTTAACGATTTATCGTGTAATTTTGTGACCGTTGATGAAATTATTTTTTATTTATTTTATTTCGGCATTTAATATGGTATAATATTTTGTAACTGTAACATAACCTCTAAAAGTACTCTATACTTTTAAGTTACCTTCATTATACTCCATAAAGACTTATATAGACGTTTCATTTTTGTCGTCTCGTCTCATCTATTTCTTCATTGTCTGTGATTTAACCACAATGTCAGAATCTTCAAATCAACAAAATTGTTTGTCACTTCTCTCGCAAACTAACACGGAAAACAAATCTCCAAAGAGTTCAACACCTGACCTTTCAGATAACGAGACAATATCAAATGAAGAAGATGATCTAAAAGATTATTCTTGGTACGATTCAACATTCATTGAAAAATACTTGGACATTCTCATAAAATATAGAAATGTTTATTACGTCAGTACTTCATTCTTACACAAATATGTTGCTACTGGCGTCACTGGAATTCGCAGATGGATCAAGCAAGATATATTCAAAAAACGATATCTGTTTTTCCCTACTCACGTAAATCATAATCATTGGATTTTGATTGCAGTTAATCTACGAAAAAAGCAAATCTATCATTACAATAGCTATGGCTATTATTATGAAAGGCCAGTCAACGCCATTGTCGACTTTTTAAAAGATTGGCATATTGAAAAAGGCAAAGATCCTTCAGTTTATGAAATCGTGAATTGTCCAACACCGGCTCAAAAAACTAGCTATGATAGTGGTCCATGGATTTTGCAAATTGCAAAATGTTTAACATTTGGTAAACCAATTGATTTCTCTCAAAGCGATATGCAGATCTTTCGTCAAATTCACAAAATGGAAATGGATTTCAAAATAATAAGATCGTATTCTTCCAAAAATTTATTAAACATTAAAAAAACACTTACGTACATTCAAAAATTTGGATTAAAGCAGAATCCGGCAAAAGAATCTACAAAAAAGTAAGATTAATTGATTTTAAAAATAAGAGTTGATACTGAGGACAGGTGTGTCATTATAGGTAAAATTTTAAGGAGGTAGGATACATAAATTTAATTTATACCTGTTAGTAACAATAAAACATTGCTATTAAAAAACAATTCTTAGCTAAGTTAGATTTTACTAGGGTTGCCATACGTCCTGGAAAACTATATCATATCTAATATGATTCAATCATATTTTTAATCTAATTTTATTTGCTGTTTTTTCTTTTTGTACCGGATTTGCTTTATGAAAATAAGGCAACCCTAATTGTACACATTCAAATTTTATCTCAAAACTATTATAAAAAAAACTACTACTTTACACTTGACTTTTTTTGTTATGAGTCATAACTAATGACTATTAGGTACATTTAATGAACTGTTGAGAACCCTTGGTTTAAAACATAGTTTGTATTTAGCTAAGTAAGCAATATATTATTTTTGGTAACGTCTTCCGTCGCCGAGCGCATGAAATGCGAACAACGACGGCAGTCGAGTTAAAACAACGATTCCATATAGTTATACGTAGAACCTATTAAATGTCTTTTTAAATAAATTTAAATAATAGTAAACAATAAATTATTATTTCAAAACGGATGAGTTCAGTGTTTGATTAATCCTAAAAGTCGAACTCAAATAAACTAGTATCCGCCGTCATTTATGGAAGAAACCAAAATTGACGGTGAACCCGGCATCAACCGGATATAGGATACAACAGAACCTCATATAAATTTTTCCTACTTTCCTAACTTCCAATCTACAAATATTGACACACCTATTAGTAGTATCAGCTCTATTAATGTATTAATTAGTATACGTTTTCTTATTACTTATATTAGCTTTAATGAAAATTGTATTTATGTAAATTGTTATTCTATTCTTAAATCCATTATTCTTATTTATTGTTCCTATATACGTTATCTAATTAATATTGTACTAATATATATATGTATATATATATATATATGTATATATATATATATGTGTGTATATATGTGCGTACGTGCGAGTGTATGTTTAACTAAATATATTCATACAGCTCATTTGTTTTTAGAATTGATAAACGCTCCCCCAATAAAAAGGAGATGAAAAATAAAAAAACTAAAATTACGAAAAAACCCGACACGGACACCGAGAGAAGTAGTCATATAAATACCAACGTTAATGATGATACAACATCAATATAAGCCAAATTGCGAATAAGTATAGTATTTGATATATAATAGGTGGTAATGTCAACGTTAGGATAATATTAATAATTTAGAAATTTACTATTTGATTTTAAATGATATGGTAGTGATTTGTTTTTTAGATGATATACAATATGAGTCATAACTAACAAGTGTAAACTCCTCCAACATTAGCATAGTACCAATTGAGCATTGAGTACCAATGTACTCAATTAAACCAAGAATAATAAAAGTACTAACAAGACTCACATTTCGATTAAAATAGTACTAATGGATAAAAATAGGTGTTCAATGAAAGAACACATTTATTATTGTTGCTTTCATAATTTATATTTATTACTTGATTGATTCTATCATAGTATAAATGATATAGTTATCATTATAGAATTTTCATTATTTAGGATTTAATTTTGTACTTTACTGGCACTTGAACCATTTTTGATTGTGTTAACTTTCCATGTTTAATATGTTAGCACATTTATTGTCTGTTAAGTTAACACTTTCCATTTCATTAATAAAACTTGCATTAACCTTATTATAGAAAAAAGACAGTTACTTATGCATTCGTGGATATTATTATCACTATCATCACTACATAATCTATATCACTTTTGTTTAACTGGCATAACTGTTGAATAACTAATTACCAATAATTAAAATCATCAGTATCAGTGACACATATTCTTAATTTAAAAGCGATAATTACAATATTGTATTTTTTCTTAAACGAAATACAAACAATTTCTAAGAAACAATTAGTTAAAAAATAATAATCTGTATTTCTGTATTCTAGATTAATATGTTGATTTATTATTTTAGTTTTGAATCCTATTTTTTTTCACTTGATTATAATAATGTACTATGTAATAATTACACTATGCATAATTGTAATCAAATATTTTTTTTTTATTGATTTTATTTATACCCAAGACGAGTAATAGTTACAGAGTGTATATGCATTATTTAGATGACAAAAAATATAATAAACATAGATAATAATGAAAATAATCAAAATTTATGTAGTTAATTTAAAACATAAACATACAGTTTAATGGGTTATAGTAATTGTAATTCTGGGGGTGGTAAAAATAACAAAATTTGGAGTATATAATATTTGTTTTCAAAGAACATCTTGAGACTTGGATATTCCTTTGATTAATGAACATTTTTATTTTTCAGCTTAATAATTTATGTAAACCTTTGCTTTATGGAAACAATATTATTATTAAATATTTACCATTAAAATCATAATAATACACTACAGAGTTAATGATTTGAAGCACAGATTTTTGAAATCATAATGCATACCCAACAATTGACATTATTGTTACTTAAAAATTGAAAAAATAATTGTTCTCCATAGTAGTTTATTAGAAAATAGTTATTTATTATTTAATTTCAAAATTATGGAATGGTACAATCTGCATTTATCAAAAAACACTTTTGAAAGATTAGCAGACAATGAGTGATTTAGTCCTCAGAGCAGTAACCAAATCAGAGTAATACTACTCAAAGGACCATAGCTCATAACATCCATTCAGGCATCTTGCCTACAGTATAAAATATTAGCATTGATTTATAATCAATGGTATTAAACATGATCAGAGTTAGGGACTTAGGTATAGCACTAATATTCATCAAACTAAGTGCTTTAATATTTCAATATATACACTCAAATAATTAAAAAGAGCAAAAAAAAAAGGCGGATAATATGTAACTATGAATAGGTGAATGTTATTTTTTCAGATTTTTCCAAAGCTTCTGAACTAGTTGACCATAAAAACCTAATTGAGATTTTCTATAATGCTAGATATAAGGAACCTATCTTATCTGGGTTCAAATCATACTTATCTGATAGAGTCCAATTTGTTAAAAGCCTTTGGATGTAAATCTAAAATTGTCAGTTTCTTCAGGTATTCCTCAAAGTGGTCACTTATTCACTGTTGTTTTTTTTTAAGAGTAAAAGGCTCTCTATTAATTATTAAATTTTAGAGTTCCTTCTCACTCATTTAGGTCTGATTTTTCTTTTGTTCCTTTTTAACACACTATAATAGATTTTTTTATTAATTCTTAAAATGTGTATATTTTTACCTATATATGCACATAAACTATATTTAAAAATTGTATGTACTCAAAATGAACATTTTTGTTCTATTATTCATTTCCTAGGTTTTTATATTATGTATGTTTGTACTATTATTAGTTAGTATTATTATTATTCTTAGTTATGTATAAAGTCATACAAATTAACACAAATTATTATTATAGCATTGTTAGTCTTAATAAGTAGTATTATAATTGGAATATTATTCTATAAATAAATAAATATTGTTTTTGTGCACATTGATTTTATATAATTTTTATACCCATACAAAACCAGATATACAGCACTGTGGTATAATCTTGCCTACATTTTCTTAAATTTTTTATTTTTTAGTCTTTCTTAAAGTTCTATTGAGCTTAAAACACATATGTTATATTTTAAGACAATTTAAAATGATTAAGTAAAAATTCTTTAAGGGTGTTATAGCCATATCAAATTTATTTGGATTTACATCAACTAGTCTATAAAAAAGGGCACAATTGGGTTTTCACTTTTGACTTCAGTTTTCAAATATAAATTAATACATTATATTTATATAAATTGAAATATATTTACCTCTTGAAGCTAAGTTTGTTGTGGGGTAAACTAGTTCATATTTATCATACATTTCAAATGTTATAAGTAACATCAACCTGCAATGTCCTGTATACTGAATCTTAAAATAAATTATAAAATATATCATGTTTCCGACATGGATGATTATCAAATTTTGAATTATTTTATAGTTACATAATTATTGTAAATTTAGTTTTTACAATTATTCTAACTAATCATACCTATAGTAATTTTTTAATTGCTTCTTTTTAAATGTTCAAACTGATTTTAAAAATTATATCCTGTATCAATACATTTTAGATAATAAATAATAATTAAACAATTTATATTTCTTATCATATCTATGTCTAATAATAACTAATTTTAAATAATCTCTTTTATGATAATAAATTACTTTTATGTAAAATGACCAATTTGTATAATTTTTTCATGTTCAGTTGTGTTTTACTTTTTGATTTTAATTTATAAACAGTTATACAATACATATTTTATAATACTCCAGGAAATGCATTTATTTATATATATATAATTCTGTTGTTTTTTTTCTTACATAAAATATCAAATTCACTGTTTAGATAATATACAAAATTGGTTTCTACATTTTAGCCTTCAAATATAATTTTACTTGTGAGCCACATGCTTCTTCCTAGAAATTAATAAATTTGCTACACGTTGCTAGTTTATCAAAAAGAAAAAAAAGACATGACTTAATATTTTTATCTTAACTTGTAAATGGTTTTATTCATTTTCCAGAACTATTAAGTTCTCTCAATTTCAATGTTTTTCACTCTCAGTGTAGAACTAGGTATACTATTAACAATTTTTTTATTTTCACAAAGAACTAATTATAACTTTATAACTAATGTTCAGCCCCGATTTTTATTTGCATCATTATTTTTAAAACGATTTACCTAAGTTTAAAAAAAAAAAAAAATTGCTTGGTAGCTAAACTACACTTGTTCCACATCATTGTACACTTACTGTCATAGGCATGAATAACTAATTTTTTTTTAAGGGGCAACAATAAATAAACAATATATACATAATAGGTTGAGGTATACCTAAAAATATTACCTATTAGTTACAATATTAACTATGAAGACTTAGTCTGAAAATTTTACCCAATTGTATTTCCTATTTGGAATGTACATGTATTTTCAAAAAGTATAACTATGTCACCATGAACAATAGTATAATCATAGAATAAATTAAATAAGAATCGATACTTTCAAACAATTTACATTAACTCTTATGGGAACAGATAATTTGAGTTAAAGTGTAATCAATGTTAACAAAAAGGATGGTAAAAAAATGTTTATACAATTATCACAAACAAACCTTAAATAACTGTAGATTAGAGTAGCTGTATGCAACATAAATCATAATGACATGAATCATGTTTGTAGGCATGCGAAGTTCCAAAATTAAATTTATTTTAGCACATTTTGAGGATTTTATTTTTTAACTTCTAGCAATAAATAACAATTTAGTATATTCAAATGTAACATTGTTTAGTTATCCTAAAATGTTTCTTACTTCAAAGTTTTGATATTTTAAGGTAACAATATTAATAAATTATACTTCTAAAATGTACATTTTGGGTATGGGCCAATTGATCGATACCCATGATATTATTATTATAAAATTTAAAATGTATTTGCCAGAATGATTTGAAAGAGCCTTTTTCAGGTCCTTACAATTATTTTTAACTAAATCACTATAAAAAAAAGTAGAAAATAATGAAGTTCTTTCTATAAACTTTCCTTTTAGTTTTTCAGTTATTAAAAAAAATTGGGTATAAAGTTATTAAAATAACAACCTACTATTAATTTTGCACTGACTAGACAATATTTTCATTAAGAAGAAATGCTGCACTTAAAATTCTGAACAATATTTCTCGTAGAAAAAAAATGAAATCTCCTTAATGTATCAACTAAATCCAAAATATTAGAAATAAGTTCCAGTAATTTTGATTGAAGCAAGATTTCTAGTAGAAATGTTACTTACAGATAATAAAAAACACACATTCATAATAAAATCATTACATTCCTTGCTGTACTTTGATCTAAACCATAGATTGATTTTAACATGTAATTAAATCTCAATTTTTTACTAAGTTTCTATGTTGAGAGACTACCTATAGTAATTTATATTTCAATTTTACAAGATATACAATAGATTGTAAACAAATCTATCAGTTACTAAATTAAACTTTGTTTAAAATATTATTTTAAATTTTATTAAAAATAAAACATAAGTATCAATTATTTTTCATATAATCAACAATACTAAGACACAAAAAAAAATCTTTTTCTAACTCTTCCCAGGGATTATGTTTTGATATTTGATCCAAAATGTTTATTGCGTCTGGTCGTTGGGCTAATGCACATCCATTGTGTTTTAAAAAAACACCCAAATATGATTGTGATAATTCAAAATCTATATTATTTTCAGATACTTGTTTTAACAATTCCAAAAATTTCATCATTAATTCATAAGTTCCACCAGCTTCTGGTGACAAACACCGTACTTCATAGTTCAAAGCTGATGGTCCCATACATTTTAATTGATTAAATAAAGCTTGATAATCTTTTAAGTTCTCAGCTTTCAATAGCTGTTGAGCAAAAACAGTTTGCATCAATGTTTCAGGAAAAGATTTAATATTAGAATCATCATTTCTGAGAGCACTTTCTAAATCAAATCTGAAGTCTACTGATGCTATAGTCGGGATAAAAAATGGAGCAGTATCAGAAATTTTAGGAGGTTGCAATGGTTTATTTCGGTTTTTAATAGTGTCCAGATTCAATATGCTTTGCCACCTTGCTTCATCTAGGGTGCTCATAGTAATCATATTATCAATTTGTTTTTTAGAAATATATTCATCACTTTCATCCTCTATTGGACATTCAATAGACTCTGGATTCACTCCTGTTAATGGAAGAGATTCTGGTGTCTGAGCTTCTGTGACTGGACGTAAACTAATATGTGTGTATAGTGCTTTGTTAAACCATAGATAAATTCCCAATTTATCAGCATGTGCTGTAGCTAAATAATTACCAGTCGGAGAAAATGTTAATGAAACACATGGTGTATCAACCTAATAGTTTTAAATAAAATGTGTTAATATGTATGTTAAAATAATAATGTGTTTTAAATAGCTTACTTTAAGTATGTCAATTATTGATGCTGAAGGAATATCCCATGTACGAATAGTCAAATCCATGGCAGCTGAAACTATCCATCTAGAATCTGGACTGAATGTTATATCAGTTAGTGGGCCTAAATGTCCATTAAACTTTCTTATAACAATATGTGTATCTGTATCAATTATGTTTATATCAAAGTTGTCCAAAGCAACTGCTAGAAATGAGTTTTCTGCATGCCAGTTAAAGAATGATACAGTATCATCCAACTTTAATTTTAACAATAAATCTGTAAAATAAAATAACAGTTAAAATAACAGTCAAAATAAAATATATTTTCTTTAAACATACTTAATTTTTTAAAATGCCAAAACTGTAGAAATGTATCTGATCCCCCTGATACCATTATTTGATTGAGTGTATTAACATAAACACCTCGTACAAATTTATGAGCGATTGGTTTACCATAAGTTCCTCTATGCAGACCTGACTGTACATTAAATTTGTCTATATGACCAGAACTGTAACCGATGACTGCAAAATTACCACAATGTGTTAAAAATGCACAAGTAGCTGTAATACTTTTTTGTCCACTGACATTTTTTTTAAATCTTTCGTGACATAACTTATGCTCTCCCATTTTACTGTTATTAAATGACCATGTTGTTACTATTGGTATATCTTTATGGATAGCTATAATATTATCCCATTCCTTTTCTCTGGTAGTTTCTGAGGTAAATGCGGATATAGGTGGCATGATTAGAGGATCTGCCCATTTATTTCCACGTTTTTTAGAAATTTTACGATTATATGATGCCCGACCAAAACTTTTATTTGCAATTTCAGTGACAGTGTTGAAAACTCGTAAGGATGAATCATTTCCAGCACTCAAAATATTTGCACCACTTCCTCCATGAAAACGAATAGCAACTGGAGGCTTGAAATGTCCTTCGCGGATTTTAAATAGGCTTGCTGAACCATCAGACATATCAAAACGCCACATTTTAAGAGAATTATCAGAGGATGACGTTACAAAAAGTGGTTCATCTGGTAAACACTGAAGACCGCATATGGATCCAAAATGAGCTTTTATAATTAAACTATCAACTTTACCTTCTTCAAGATTCCATACTACAATAGTACCTTTTGGACTCCCTGTTATCATAAGTTGTCGTTTAATAAGAAAACTTATACGTGTAACTGATCCCCAATCTTGCACAAAAGACAATTTATTTATTCCATATTTTAAATTGTACAAAATTATTTTGCCATTTTCCAACCCTATAGCAACCATATCTTCGGCTGGGGCTGGTTCTAAACTAGTAACGCGACAATTCCAACCTGTGAATTCATGTATCATCACCCCTGTATTTATGTTCCATAATTGTAACTTTCCTTCAACTGAACCGATTAGTATTTTGTTTGTATAAGTGGGCGGATGGCATATAGCAGTTGCTGTGATGTTCAAAACAATTTCTTTGTGTATAGTCTCAGTCTTAACGTCCCAAACTTTAAGGATTCTCGAATCATCAATAGATACTAAATTTACAGCGAATGGAAACAGTAATTTGACATCCGATTTATGGCCTCTATAGGTGTGTTTAAGTTCAACACCACGACGCCATGCGTATATTTGTTTTCCACAACTTGTATATACAAGATAACTGTCTGCAGCCAAACACGTGATGTCAGTGTCATGTTGAGGACTTACAGAAAGAAGTTGAAATCTATCTGAACTGTATGTATGAAAGGCGCGTCCAACACAAGTGATTATAAGATTTTCCCGTCTAAGGTTTATATAACGAGTAACAAGGGGAATTTCATTACTCACAAAACCTGTAAGAAAAAAAAAAAACAACATTTAATAAATTTAGATAACGAGTATAATAAACGGATACAAAATTTATTTATTTTTGAAAATAAGAAGTATAAAATAGAATATAATTCTGATAAAAAAAAAGGCTGGATAAAAGATATTTCCAGTTAATAAGCCCAGTTTTTTCCCAAAGTTATCATGAACAGGTATATAATATATTTGACTATAAAAATGCATTGTTTATAATATTATGTTTTATAATCTAAAAAACATATAGTCAACAATACATTTAACTATAAAATGTGTAATAAGTACATAATAAATATTATATATAGCAATTTAATTAAGATATTAATATAATTGAAATATGTAAATAGAACTATTATACATGTTTAAACAATAAATGGGCAAATAATTAATAAATTGAAGAATAATTATTTTTTATACACAATAATCATACTCGTTCAAATTCCAAAAATATCATTTTATGTGGTAATTTTTAAGAAAAAATTAATACACAAAAGTTTTATTATTTGTATAAAAATCTGTGTGTAAGTCATCATCGGCGAAGACTTTATGTTGTGTATAACGAAAAAAGACTTTGTTTAAGAGTTTTTTGGAGTAGAAAATCATGAGTCACGTACCTACTTAAATAGTAATCAAAAGAGCATTCTACGGGATTAAAATCTAAACGAATAATATAAATGTTTAACTCACCTAGCGCTCGGTTCTGCAAGAATATTCTACTAGACGTCGTCATATTGCAGAACGTAATTGTTCACTTAGAAATTTACCAATTAAAATAATATTACAACATGACTACATGAAACAATACTTGAATTCGCGCATTACTCATTACGTACATCAACAAATTAATAACAATCAACAATCGTCGCACGTGTATTGCGCGTTGTTCACCCGGTAATCATCCACCAAACCTTATCAATAAAACGATAACAACACAGTTGATAAAGATAAATACAAAAAATGTCCAATGATTGATCAACTTCCAAATTATGTTTCCAACACATCGATAATACGGAAGCACGTAAAAAAACGAAAATATATCGGCCTAATCCTTTTAAGACGAATTATTTTATCCGACAATTGGGTAACATAACAAATTGATCCCGCGTTATCGGGACATCGGTAAATATTCTGATAAGAATTTATACAATCTCAGAAACCTTCTGATCTCAAGACAATACGATTCCGAGTCATTTAGATCTCGGTCTGTTGGAGATATCTCAGGGGCGTATTTATGGGTTGCGGCTGGATGGGTCATAGATCAATAATCTAAATATTATTTTAATGTCCTATAAAAGGCTCTGCAATGGTCTACAATTACATTTTATTGATTTTAAATTCGTATCTTTATTTTTTACCTATTTTATCTTATCATGTGGACAAATTTTCTACCGGGAATTTTGCTTTGATTTACAATAATATCACTTTTTCTAAAAGGATATTTGACTAGCGAAGTCATTTTTTGATTTTCTCAGGAGTTTTATATCCTACCTTCTCAACTTCTCAACAACCGTGGCACTACCTTGGAAAATAAAATTCTGGATACATGCCTAAGACATTTTAATCCATTTATTATAGGCGACATTTTCAAAATTTCGTATTTATTGGTATTAAGTACTTACTTATATTTCATATTAATTAAAATTTTTATATTCCTATGAATATTTCAAAAAATACCTTTCAATTAATTTTTACGATCTTTTAATTAAATAATGTAATAGGTATCCACCTATTTAAAATACAAAGTTAGATACATATATTAATATACTAATACTATCTGCCTGTTCACGTAATCATAGTCATGACTTATGAGGGTAATTTAGTGTTTTGTTTCAAGCATATGTAATTAAATCCTATAATATTTGAACATATTAAATATGCAATTTAATTATATACCTATTGGAATATATTATGTAATTAGTTACTTGAAAGTGTATATTATACAATCATGGGTATCCATAGAAATTCGCCACTGACAAATTTAACTTAAAAATGCACATGCCAAATTATTTACATCAATAGATCGTTTATAAATTACAAATACTGGGAGAGCCTTGTCTGTTCTTTCACTGATTAGTGATCAAAAATGTTTATAATTATTCATTGTTCATTTATATAATTATTATAATTCATATAATGGAATGTTACACTACCTACTTTTGATACATTAAAATAAACTACCTACTATAAATAATAGATACCTAACACATTTTATAATTAGGTATTATATTTATATTAAGTAGGTACATATTATCAATTAACACTAATTTGAATAAAAATTAGTTGAATGCAAAATATGAAAAATATGCTACATTTTATTATATGGTTACAATTTTACTTCAATACATATTTAATTTGTGTTTTTTTTTTTTTGTTCATTTATTTATACGAATACTTTTAAACACTGAAAATAAACATGATTATATCTTAATTTTTTTAAATTTTTATTGTAAAAGTCATTTTTTGGAAAATTGTTACAACTACAACCTAAGCATATCACACATTTCTTGTAATAATTTAACACACATAGTAGGTATTAAGTATTTATAAATATAGTGTTTATTTATCAATATGTTTGTAAATATACAATTACATAAAAGAAAAAAATTAGAATTTAGTAATAAATTATTAATATATATAATTAACTATTTGAAGTTAATTTTTCTATTAACTTTTTTTCATGTTCCAGCCTTTACTTTTTATATTGGAGCTCTAATTTTTCATTTTTAATTAAATGTAATATTTTAGTACATATGTTTTTTCTGTGACACTTGAGGCATATAAAAATAATAAACCACCATTTTGGGAATTATTATTCTCCAAAATTGTATTATAAATATATTTTTGATTAAATTTAAGTTGATTTTCAATTATTGACACATTTTCATTTTGTTCTTTTTCATAATAATACTTAGAACTATTTAAATTGACTATGTAAATACCTTTGTATTCGATAATGCTTGAGGTAATTTCCAAAGCAAATTATCAATTTGTTGTCTATTAGAATTGAAATTTTGTTGTAAATTAAATCATTACATTTATCATTTGGATTTACCAACTTTTCTTTGTATAAAACATTAGCTAAAAAATTGTTTGACTTAACTATAAGTTTAATGGGTCAGTTAGCTGACAATGCATTTACATAATTTTATTTGACATGTTATGTTTCATAATGATGCTTCATATAATATATTATCATAATTCCAATTATTTTCAAGTAATCATAATGCTTTGGAAGCAGATTGAAAATTAAGATAAACTATGTTTTTGATAAAATATAAACTTTAAAAGCTATTATAGGAGTGTAGTTGTGTAGTTGGGAAGGTAGTAGAAGGAAAATTGAATATATATTTATAAGTAACAATAAACAATTGCTAACGAAAAAAACAATTCTGAGTGGAGTTCAGTTGATACTGATGCTTTATCACAAAATATATTGTATATCAAATTATGGTAAAATAATTATATACCTAGACATTAATTGATACCTAGACTCTTTAATAATATTTGTTGGAGATAGTACAGATTTTTTCGGTTTTTCACATTTAAATAGAAAACTCCTGAGAAAATCAAAAATTGACCTTCCCCACCCCATGAAAATTTCCTTTTAGAAAAGATTCTACATTGTATATATCAAAGTAATCTTTCCTGTAAAAAAGATGTCCACATAAAATAATAAACAATTCTGTAAAACCAACACTTACATTCTTCATTACACTCAGAATCTAAAAAGTATCATCACTGTAAAACCAATACATTTCTCGCTTCATTCAGAATTTATATTCTTTTATAAGAACATTTAATATCTATAATAACAGTTAAATCTTATCAAACATATAAGTAAAATAAAAAAAAAAAAATTATATTTATATTCTATACTTTTCATATGTGATGTAATAACTAGAGTACAAATTTTGAAGGCATTTGCTATTTTTTTTTTTCTATTACTCTAAAATGAAGCTATGTCAGCTACAAATTTGATTTATACTACTTAGAATAAAATGCAAGATATTTTATTTTGCTTTTTTTTGGTTTTAAGTTACATTTTTTTAATATGTATTCTAAATAAACGTATATTTGAAATGTCAGTATTTATTTTTATATTATATAATGTGTTCCAAGGTCATGGCTGGCTCAATTGATTTTATCTTGTTATGTTTGATTTATAGATATATTTATCGTTGTAATTTATATAATGTGATTCACTTACCATATGGTATATAGTAGATAAATTTATTTTGATCTGACCATAAACACAAAAATATGCTCTTGCTCTGGAAATTATCTACTCAGAAGCAGGCTTGTGAATAAATTTGTTACAATACTTATTTTTTTTAAATAAAACCATTTTTAATGCTGTTTTTTAGTTTTTTATTGCTTTAAAATTCGTACTCTAGTAATAACTAATAAATTACTTATTGCGTACTTTATTTAGTCTGATAATTAAAAAAAAAAACATTTAAAATTAATAGAATGTATAGGTACATTGTTATTTTTCTATCAACCTGTCAACCATGTATTTAATAGGTTTAGTATAAGTTTTACTTAGTGATAAACAAAAAAAATATAGAGTTTATTATAGTATTTTTTTTTTTTTACATGAGTATTAATATCAAACTTTTTACTAAAATTGTAAATAATACAGCCTTTTAAAACATGTTGTGAACAGATAGGTATATAAATTAAATTCCTCTCTTTATCCTACCTTCCCAACTTTTTACCTATAACAGTGGCCCACCAATTAGAAATAATTAAATATAATTCACTAAATCAGATGAAAGGTTGAATACTGAATTTAAACATTATTAGAAATTTAAAATGATCTATTATATATAATTGATTTAGATGATATTAATGAATTTGACTCATCCAGAACTAAAAAAAAAATTAAATTTTTAAAATATAATAGGTAATTTGTTGTTTAAATTGTAAATTAATTTAATAACTTACAAAATACTTGTGCTTAATCTACTCCTATTTTTAATGGATAATATCTAAAAATGTGTTGTTTTAAAATCAATAAAAATTCTCTATATTTTTGCAGTTTTTATAATTTTTTCTTCTTCTTCTTTCTGGTTAAAGGCCTTTCAAGACCATCCCATCTCACACCCGTTCCTCCATTCTTCTCTATCCATTGCTCTTTCTTTCCAATTCATTCCTCCTCCTAGCGATTGTACATCCTTTTTAACTACGTCTTCCCATCTTGTTTTGGGTCTTCCCAGCGGTCTTTTTCTTCGCGGGTTTTGTTCTAATACTGCTCTTAATTAGAGCATTAATTAATGCTCTTAATTAGAGCTAATTGCTCATTTTGGCTTCTCCAAGCGTGGCCTGCCCATTGGAGTCTTCGTTTTTTTATCACTTCTGTTATGGTTGTATTTTGGAATAATATTTCTAGCTCTGTATTTTTTCTCCTTCTCCATTCACCGCTGTTATTATTCTCATGCAGGGACAGAGCAAATAATTTATTTAATTATCAACATCAAGGGTAATACTCAAACCATATTTTCAAATAATTTTTGATGCCAAGAAAACTTAAAAACCAATGTAAAACCATTTAAGAGGTTAAGCAATTTATTTTTTACTCTTTTATTACTGTAACATTTAATAATTCTATTACAAACATTGCTATCATTTATTATTGTATTCTTTGTTTTAGTTATAATTTGTTTGCCGCATGTAACCCAAATACACATAAAATAATATTATTTACTTATTAATATTAATTTACATTTATTCAAAATAATCTAGACATAATTTTACAAATAAATATGCTCAATAAACATATCTACATTATTTATTTGCCATTATAGCAATAAATTTGTAAAAGTTAATGGTAGATAAGCAGACCATTTTTTAAATTAATTTGTGTTACTATATCAAATTCCATTATTTAGATCAGAACTTACTAGCAGAATCTGAATTAATTCTAGATGCTGCTACTTGTGACCAGCTACCCGGAGCTGCGCCAATATCTATTACACATTGGCCAGGTTTCAATATAGTAAATCTATCATCTATTTGCAATAGTTTAAATGCACTTCTACACCTGTAATTAAAATGTAAAAATAAATATATTCTGTATGTATGTTCTTATTGAGCATTATATTTTACTATATTATTATTATATGAACAAAATAATTTTCAATTTAAACAATTTCTAACATACCTATAATTATTTAATTTGGCTTTTTCTACATAAATATCAGTTTTTTGTCTTAATAACCATTCTTTTGAACTTTGTTCTCTGATTATGTTTTTAATAATTAACCAATTTTTATATACTTTAATAATTTTTCTCATATTAATAATACTAAATAAAACAAATAATATAACTAGACATAAATGTCAGTAAATTTGAATAATATATTAAAATATACAGCCAATTTTCAATATAAATTACTAAACTTTATATTATAACTGTATAACTAAGATAATCCACAAAGGTTATTAGGATAAAATAAAAATAACTATTTAATTCATGGTTTGTGGATAAACTATGGAATGTAGATTAGATCAATTTATCAATATTTCGTTGTTGTGGGTATCACGATTATTAATGAAGATATAATGTGTGTAAAAACTAGCACAAATAACAGTGATAAAAATTACGGTTTAGACCATAGATAATATTATCTAAAACTTCGGTTTGTAGATAATATACTACTAAACACGGATTAAGATATAATTTAGTATAAATATCTTAGTCCGCGCTACTAATCATGAATCTATAAACATTTATTATCAGGTGTTTGCTACTTACCGTGATAGATATATTCTAAGACTCTGATAAAGAACTACTATTATCTATGATTTTTTATAATAAAATTTAATAAAGCTGAAAAAATAAAAATAATATAAAGATTAAATTAAAATATTAATTTCATAAAACATGATGGAATTTCGGAACAGTGTGTTACGTAATATATACTAATATTATTGCAATAATTAATACCAATCGCCTTTACAATTTTCTCTTCATATATTTCATTGGTTATAGAATGCTACAGCACCATTAATGTTATCAAACATCAATGAACAATACATTTAATAGATTTACGGTATATAATTTTAACACGATTTTGTCATTGTAAGTATATAGGTACTTATATTTGTATATAATACATTTCTTATACATTTAAATTAGAACTTTTATTTTTAGGTGTTAATACAGTTTTCTAATGGATCATAATTATGATGAGGATGTTTTGTTTAATCAATTTTTGATAGCTCTTTGCAAATCTTCAGCAGAAACATTTTATAAAGCTGTTGAAAATGGATGGCCCATTTGTGTTCCTAGAGTTGGTTCCTTCTCTAAAAATAAGTATTCTGAAAAAGATTTTAATGATCATATTTTAACTCCCAGTAAGTGTTCAGATTTAAAATTCAACACATTAAGTGGCCATGATGTATATGTAGATAAAGATAACCATGTAATCAAATGTCAATATGATGGTAAAACTAACACAGTAGACATATTATTTACTGAAACTTGTTATACAGAAAATGATCAAGGTTATAAGATAATTTGTACAGATGGCCCATTAACAAGTACCAGCATGTTGGAAGATATTATTGTAATCAAATCTGTTCAAGACTGTTTAAACTTTTTGTATTCAAAAAACAACAAATTATTATTAAAAGACTTAAGAAGTTTAATTGATGATTTTTTATCATCTAATGATTACATAAATATGTCTGTTGATGTTAAAAAAAAAGCTATGGAAAATTTGTATAATAAATGTTTAAAAAAAACAAATTATCATATTAAACTGTCAAATAATTTTTTTCAGAACAATATTAAACTTGCAATAGAATATTATATCCAAAATAAATTGTATAATGCCTTAATAAATTCAATCAATATTTTATTAGCTAAGGAAGATGCTAAATTAAATAAACTTATAAGAAATTGCTCTAGTGCCATGATTGATATGGAAGTGGACCAAGAAGTAGAAAATGCAATACCAAATGCCAGATGTGAACTATCCAAGTTATATGTACATAAAACTGTAATTGGGAAATTTAAGTGTTTAAAAGATACATTTTTAAAATTGTCTAATGGAAATAAACATTTTACAGTGGATAACCTTCTGAGTGCTCTAGTTCATTTAGTCATACATTGTAAAATTCCAAATTGGAATGCTCAAATATATTTTATGAAGCATTTTATTATAAATAATGTTAAAGACTTTGATGACAACTTCTATTTAACTTCTTTAGAGGCAGCAGTTGAACATATCAAAATTAATAACTTTAACCTTGAACTGTCTACTAATTTCCATGATCCAAAATGTGGTAACTTTTATAATTATATTCGTAAAGGAGAGTATTATAAAGTTAAAGAAACTTTAGAATTTGTTAAAATTCAACAATGTAGTTCAAAATGTCATCCTTTATGTGAATGTGATACTTGTATGAAAGAAGTATTAAAAGAACCAACAGTTTGTGTGAAGTATAAAGATGAACAGGGCCTTACTCCTCTACATGTAGCAGCATTTTATGGCTATCCACTTATCATTGAATTACTCTTGGAGTATGGATCAGATATAAATGCTTTGGATAATTTTTCACGCACACCAGCACATTACGCTGCACTAAGAGGACAACAGAATGCATTATTATTTTTGTTACATAACAAAGCATTAATGATTAGTGACAATGAAGGTAATTCTCCTTTGCATTTGTGCTGTTCAAATGGGCATGATGCTTGTGTCAAAGCATTATTATACTTTATGGAGTTTTCAGATTCAAAATTAAATATAAATGTACAAAACAATCAAGGTGACACACCTCTTCATCTATGTTTTAAATGGGGTTACTCTAGTATAGTACAAATACTTATCGAACAAGATGGAGATCCATTAGTGTGTAATCGAAGAGGACAAACTTGTTTTGACTGTGCTTTTAATTCCAGAATGGTTGAGATATTTTCCATTTATAAGAAAAATAATATAGAACGAGTGAGAAGAAGCAGTGTTGAAATAACATCACAGCAAAAAATGATTGAAAAAATTATAACTGCTATATCTGATGGTGATATACGTTTAGTGCAACACTATTTGAACATTGATGATGAAAATCAAAATGTAAACAAATCTGTCAATGTCAATAGTTATAGTTATAAAGGATATACACCTTTGCATGTAGCAGTAAATAGTGGTAAAATTGATATTGTTAAAATGTTGATTGAATATGGAGCAGATGTTAATTTAGTGACTACTTCTGAACAACGTACTGCATTACATTTGGCTGTACAGAATAAATTAAGTGAAATTGTTGATATTCTATTAGATTCTAAAAAATGTGATATCAATAAACAGGACAATTGTGGTAATAGTGAGTTGCACTATGCATGTTCAGTTGGTGATGCTAATATAATAAGTAAATTACTCAAACACGGTGCTGACTTTGGATTAATCAACAAACAATTTATAAGTCCTTTAAATATTTTAAACGAAAGTACAGAATTAAGGTAAATTAAATCATATTATTTATTGTTATGTTCTATCATGTAGGTAATTTTTTGTTTCCCAGTTCAATTATTATTAATTTTCAAAGAATGTGTACCTATACTTAATGTATCACATCAAGTATAGGTACATACTTTAACCATTTTGCGTTCTTTATAATTCTGACTGCACCCAAAATCTTACATACTCATCTACATCTTACATCATACATCTTACTCACTTCATAGTTTTTGATAGTTAGTACAAAATAGAAATTGTATGTGAAAAATAACCACTATGTTAATTTATTTAAGGAATAGGTACCTATTTGAATAAATTAAATTTATTAACTCTTCTTCTCATTCGTCTTCATACCAACTATTTGGGTTCTGTCACCCTCGTCCAAAACTTCTACTTGACCTGATTGCTACATTATCCTTGTATTGTAAATAATTTGAGAATGTCTATTTAATTTCAGACATTTGATTTCAATGAAGAAAAAGACACTTTGATATCAACTGCTTGCAATAAAATACTTGAATCTTTACAATTAAAATTAAAAAATCTATTTACTGTTATAAAATGATAAAGATCTATTGAATTTAATATTGATTTTTGACTGAAATTATATTATTATGTGTTTACAAACAATATAAAACAAAAATTGTTGTATTTTCTAAGAAAATTAGAACTTAATTATTAAACTAATCAAAAACCAAATGTTTGTACACTTTGTTATCAATAACTTTATAATTATATTTATGTATATTAAAGTATATGAAATATTTTTATAAATTTATTTAATCAATAATTTTGTATGTGTTTTATTAAATATATAAATACCTTATCTATTTAGATATCTAATTTAACAAAGACAATATTTTAGAAAATTGTAAATAGTTATCAGTTCTTGTTTGTATATTGTCAAAATTATGAAACATACAGCCTATAGTCAAGATATTTATAAGTGCCTGCCAATCTACTCTTTTCAAAAGTTGATGGTACAAAATTGTTAATCAAGATTTAAATTTAAACATTAAATGTTCAACATTTTCAATAACTTTACATTAAATTGTGGATAACAATTTCAAATATTACTTCTTATTAGATTTTTAATTTATTATGAAGACACATTTTGGGATCATTCATAGTTATTAAAAAACACTTAAATGTTCAATAATAAAGATATTAATACATTCATCCGGTGAGATTGAATCTAGAATGAAAAACAATTTTCAAAAAAATACCCAGGATAAAAATGCCACAAAATATGCTATTCAGGTGTCTCTTCGTTAAATTTTGTTTTTTATTTTTTCTTGTAATAAAAGTAAAAATAATTGTAGACCTGAAATTTATAAAAATATAGCATTTCACGAAGTTCATTACAATTACAGTTATACAGTTAGGTATAAAAAAAAAATGCTTAAATGTAATGTATAATTTTTTTTCTTTTATAAGCTTTTTAAATTTTAAAAATAATAGCATTTCAAAATATGTATTCCTGAAGCTCCTAAATCGTTTTTCGTTAGCAAAGGTTTGTCTTTGGGTATAGATATAAATTAAATAAATTCATATATATTACTTTCCAAACTTTCTACTTATAACAGAGGCACACCCGTCCCTAGTTCACATGAATGAATGGTAAACAATTAAGTAATAAGTAGCGATAAATTTATCTGGTTTATCATAGTCACTAGTAATATTAAGGGAATTTTCCAATTTACTATATCATAGTAATAATTTATAAAATAAATAGTAATATTATTGATCAATGGTAATCAAGTACATGGTATTAAATTGTTCCAATAATGAAAAAACGGTATCTAATTACTGGGGAAAGGTGTGATTTTGTTAGGAAGTGGGAAGTTGAGAAGGTAGGGTACATGGAGTTACATAATTTACATCATTATGCAACGACAAACCATTATTAGCAATATTAGCAATGGTTATTGCTAATAAAAAAACGATTCAGAGTGAAATTATATATTTTTAAATGCGGTATATTAGATTTCTGAGCGGAGCGAGGAATGTATTGGTTACACAGTGATGTTTATTTTTTTTTTTATCTATTAAGTTTTCTACCACAAATTTCGCTTTGATTTTCAAGTGAAGCATTTTTTTTTTAAGAAAATCTGACTGGTGTGATACTTTAAGCTGTTAATTTTTTTGATTATTTCAAAGGTTTTCATAGTGGGGAAAGTGAGGAAAACGAGAAAAAATTATGAAAAGTATTTTTTCAAATCGTAAATCTAATGGCCTTTAAAAACATGTATAACTGAACTCCACTCAGAATCGTTTTTCGTTAGCAATGATAAATTTGCAGTCAGATATACATTTAACATTAAATTTTCCCAACTTCTCACAGCAGTGTCTCACCGATCGATTATCGAGCGAAATATTTCCATTGGCATTTAAAATTTAAAACGCTTAAATAAAAAAAATTATATTAAAGCTATAGATTATACATGCATTATCTATTATTAAAACACTGTTTTTTTTTTTATATATATATATCACCAAGTATAATTTGAATCTAGGTCAAAATATCCAGCTGTTCAAATATTCACGGACGATATATCCAAATAAATCCGTTTTTACGAAAATTAGTAGATTACACTTTTATAATACAATCAATATCAAATTATTTAATTATAAAAATATATCTAATATATAATACTAGCTTGTATTACCCGGCTTAGATTTATTTTTGTGACCAGACGTTGTCTGTATATTACAAATTTATATGCAAATAGGCTTTGTCCATTTATATTTTTTAATTTAATTTTAGATTATTTAAATGGTTACCAACCAAAAATTTGTTTGTTTTTTTATTTTTCATTAGTATCAAAGCTTTCAATAATTAAAAGCTCAACTCAGGGATGGATTGGTGGAGATATAGAAATATATAGAAACCGGATTAGTTCTTATATCCTTTTATAATGTATTATACATTTTTTTATTTTTATAATTTTATTGGTTAGGTCACAATACTTGAAATTACTTAAATTTTTTTTATCTATTTGACTAACGTTTGTGCAGTATATTTTATGATATTATTGCTACAAACGCAATTTATTTTATTACTTTTACGAGATAATTAAATAATTTGATATTTGAGATAATTTTATTAGAAAGTAAAGTGTAATCTAATTTTCGTAAAAACGGATTAATTTGGATATTTTGACCAATTACCGTATAACTTATATTTCATGAACCTCGTGAAAAGATGTATTGTGTGCAAATTTCAGATTTTTACGATTATTTTGACATGTTTTATAACCTACAACCACAAATAAAAATAAATCTTAATCCATGACTACAACAAAAAACAAAATCGAACATCAAAACAACTGTATACATTATTTTGTGTCTTTTTTTTATCCGATTGCAAATGAGATGATAAGAATCCAATATGATAATTTACCAATATTGTCTTATCTTTAATTTTCATTATCTAGCCCAAATAAAGATTAAACATATATGTGATTGATAATAGATAGCATAAACATATTGTATTCATGTATAATGTAGTGTTAGTAATAAATATTGCCATAATTGAATGACAAATTTTTTTTCGCCATTCTCTTTTCAATATTGTTTTAATTTTTTGATGTTTAGATTTTAGGTATTTTAATATAAAAAAGTCTTGATGGCTATAGTGATCTCATGTTTTAAAAGATGCTTCAATAGCATCAAATACACAGAACATGTATCATTTCCACAAATCAATCCTATATGTTTGGACACGAGTCGAATGGGTAAAATAATATCATTCATTTTTTATTTTTGTTTTTATTAGCTTTTAAAATATGTCAGCATAATTTATAGCATATTTTTATAAGTTTGTTAAATTATTACATAATATATACAATAACATTATAAATGTAATTATTATTTATTAATATTTCTATTCACAGGTAATGAAGTGGTAATTGTAAAAAATGGAACCAGGATATGTGGTAGTGGCGGTGTTTTATGTACTGCACCCATCGTACAAAATAAATGTTATTTTGAAGTAAAAGTACAACAATCTGGTAAGTGAACAGCTGTGTTTATAATATTGTAAATATTTGGTATTTATCCGTCAAATTCAAAATAGGAATCTGGGGAGTAGGTTTAGCTTTAAATGATGTAGATCTGTGTAAAGCACCTGGTGGTCATGATCAATATTCATGGGTGTTATGCAATGATGGGGCTCAACGACATAACCAGCAAGTGTTGAAAGCAATAGATAATAACATTGAAGAAGGGGATATAATTGTAAGTATTTAAATAAATATGGTTCGAGACATTTTGGATTGTAAATCAAACATAATCGTGAATTTATTTCTATAGGGTGTTTATTATGATCATGTTGAATTAAATTATTCAATAAATGGCCAACCAGTTAATGAACCTATTACAGGAATAAGAGGAACTGTTTTTCCAGCTCTTTTTGGTTTGTAAATTAATATTATTTATTTATTTAACTTTAGCATCTTAAATATGTACTAACAATAATTATTTACATCTTATTCACTATTTTGAACTACAAAACAAATTTAGCCAGGTGAATCCATGATTTGTGTTCTCTTCATATAGGCAAACTTATATCTAATAGGTTCTTTTGTAAGTGATATTATACTATCCTATTTAAAAATCTACAATAATAATATAATTGATTGTTTTTAAAAATGTATCAACTAGAAAACAAATAATTCAACAATTTAATGTGATATGTACATATAAACTATAAAAGTATTTGTGTACATTTACTTATACATATTTCGAAATCTTAAACATTTTTCATAATTAATATGTAATTTTTTTTTCAGTGGATGACGGTGCAATACTAGATATTGTGTTGGACAAATTTTCATATTCACCATCTAATGGTTATGATAAAATCATGTTGGAGCAATCTATACTTTAACCTAAAATAAATTGCTTTAAAAAAAAATTAAGAATAACTAATCATTCCATTGATAATAAATCAACATTTATTTTTTCTATACATTTATTTTTATGTAAATAATAAACCCATTAATTTTAAATTAATTAAATAAGAGTAGCTAATCCTAATTGTGGTGGATAAAGAAAATGAGGAAAAAGATATTAATATTAACTATAATCTCAAAACAATGGAAAAATAAATATTTATTTCATTAGTTAGTAAAATATTTATTTAATATATAAGTGTATAAACTTCTTTACATAATTAATAGATTTATCATTAAAATGAAATGCTTGTTATAAAAAAAGATTTTCGTACACTTATAAACAAAACAATGTACAATTTGTGCCTTTTAAAGTTCTTATTATTCTATGCCATTTTAGGACAACATTTTCCAACTTAATGTCAACGATAAGTCACTTAATTAAATATAATATTTAATTTATATAAATTTTACATTTTACATTAACAGAAATAGCTTTTATGAACACAATTTGTTTATTACCTGTTTTAGTATTTATTTTTTACTTTTTTATGTACAAGTTTTATTTAAAAAGTAATTAAGCAATATTTAAAAAGTTTTGTTTAAATATGTATATTATGAGTTAATTTAATTGTGTATCAGACACAAGAAACTTATTTTATGTTTTATGTCTTTAATGATAAAGACTGATTAAATGAACAAATTATTATTTATTTATTTTTTATTATTATTAAAAATTGAAATATATTTTAGGAATACTTTGCCATTCCAATGTTAAAAAAGAGATAACATTTTTTTAGTAGAAAATATAATAAATTGTAACACCTTCTTAAAAAAAAAAGGTATATTAAATTATTCCTATTAATCATACTATGTAATATGTATAATTATATTTAATATATATGTATATGAACCATGTTTAAACTATCAAAGTAATCTTTAATTATGTTTCTTAAACTAAACTAGATATTTAATTCTTTAATTAATATTGTAAAACAAAGAATAATTTATATATTAATATGTTGATGATAATTTTCTACAAATGAGCTTTGATTATTAACAAATTTAAAATTAAAGTTTGATAGCCTCTTAGAAAATTGTTTATACTTAACCAATATTTTATTATATATATATTATTTATTCTAAAGTTATATTTTTGTTTCAAATATTTCTTTGAAATTTGGGTTACCAAAATTATAAAAGTATTTTATATTCATAATGAAATATTAATCAATGATATTATTCAAAAATAATTTGAAATATGATTTGTGATGAGATAGAATGGAATAGAAATTGGATAGGTTTTGAATTCAAATGCTAAATGTTGAACACAATAAAATTGTAATGCATAATATTATAAATAAATAAAATTTATTTCATTATTTGTCATCAATTTACACTTAAACAATAATAACATTCTATATTTATACTTAATTATATTTACATACATATGGGCACATAATATATTCACATTTTTAATTTGATTAACTAACTATTGTATACATGTTTTTTGTTTTAAACTAATTGCGAAAATATATTCATGTTTGCGATATTAATTATTAAGATTGTCAACTTACTATAAAAATAATAATAACAAATAGATACAATTTGATTTAATGTGCAAGTATTTATGTATCTATCTAAACTATATAAAAACAAAATATAAAATTAGACATAGGTATAAGTAACAACATATAAGAAAACTATTATTTAAAAATATTTATAGTTGTTTATATTTGTTAAGATGCCTAACAAGACAATTAATAATAAATTTAAGTATATAGGTAATCAAGTTATGCTTAATTAAAAAAAAAAAAAAATTGAATTACTGGAATTTCTTTTTTGTTTGGCTATAAATACAGTCTTGTAAAATGTTATTTGATGATAATGATAATGACAAATTCAAAATAATTCAAATGGTAACTCCAATTGAGATGTAATTGCAATTAAATGACACAAATTTATTATTTGATATGTATAATGAATAATTGTAATGATAAATGCCGGGATAGGTTAGGATTCTGGGATTTTTATTTAAATCATTATTGGACAGTATTGTTAAAATAATTTATAATACATTTTTTCTTGGAATCATGTTTTTTTGTTTATATTGAAATTAAAAATTTCTAAAAATAAGAAATATATTGTAGCCTTGCATGTTAATAAATTTAAATGTTATACCTTCATATTATTGTATAGCTATCCTTACAATATAATAGAAATACTTGAAACATTATCAATTCCAAATCTGATATGGTATTTATTTTATTACAATTTTTTTTGATTTATATAGAATGTATTTATTGTTGACAATAAAAATAACATAAAATATTAGTATCATGTCAATTGTTTGCCGAAAAATAGTTTGTGCAAAAATTATCTGAATACAATAATAATTTGTACATAAAATTTTTTTTAGGTAAATGTATGTATCTATTATCTATTCAAATACGTTCAACCAGTATAGGTGCTTTTAAGTTTAATATTTAACTACCACATTTATATTTTTTGTCCATATAAAATTTCCAGTAAACTTGTTTTTCTCGGTAAAACATAATTTTCATGTATGGGTATATCTGTACCCCAGTCACTATATATTTCAAAGCAATAGTAATTTAATATATGTAAAATGAAACGGAAAAAAATACTGGTGGGTTTGTGTGATGTATTAGTATTAGTAATACTATCGCATAATCAATAAGATTTTAATTTAATATTGTTGCTGACAGATTATATTCTAATAATTTTTGGGCAAACAATAGATGTACATCCAAAATATTAACGACCTTTTAATTTAACTCAGAAAAATAATATTATATAAATAAACATTTTAAATATCTGATATATTCTTTTTTCAAATAGTCTCTTGTTAGATTATTTTTTTTTTCCAACAATTTTGTTTTATCGGGAAGTTGATATTTTAATCTTTAAAAATTATTTAATTTGTTTAATTTATCCCAATAATTTAACAAAGTTGTATTATAACTACAATAAGTAAAATAACTTATCTATAAATACCAATTCATTAATTTAACCCTTTTAGAATATTGCATTCAGAATTTTAAATAATACTTTAAATTTAATTTTCAGTTTTAAAAGATAGAAAATTGATATCAGATTTAATTGTGTCCTTGATATAGGATATATGCATTTGTTGTAAAAAAAAAAAAAATTGAATAACTGACATTATAATTTATTATAAAAAAAAAAGATAGAAAATGTATGATGTTTTTCTACAAACTAATTAAAAACATATTTGTTATTAAAATTCCTAAAAATTAAAAGTTGTTTTAGTGGTAATACTCAAAAATTATATTATATTATTTTAGAAAAAAAAATTTAGATTTATAATATATTAACTTGTGTAAAAATAATATAATACTTTTAGTCAACATTGATATATTATACGTAGATAAATTCTTCGTAAAATGCTACTAACCTAAAGGTTCTTACTTTGGAGCGCGAGCATTACTAGAGAGGCGTAAACTTTTTTAAAAACCCCAAAGAACAAATATACCTACCAATTTTATAGTAGTGAGTGAGGAATGATCTCATACAATAATTTAAAAAGGGGCCCAGATCTAAAAACATTGAGAACCTATGTCAACTCAAATTAAATTAAAGTTTACATATTTGAAATATATTGAACTACTTGATTATTTCTTTTTATCTTTATCGTTTTATAAATACTTATATTATAGACCTGGATAATTTATTACCTTAGCCCATGATTTATATTTATAATTATCCAACTAATAATTTTTAAAGGAATGCAATTTTTTTTTTTTTAAATTGTTGATTATAATTACAAATGTTTACTTTATTTAAAATGCATACATGTAGAATAAATAAAGGAGAGTAACATTACAGTGGTTATCTGAATATTATTATTTTAAGTTAATAAGTTAAGATTCTAAGCTTTTTAAAAATGTACATTCATTTTTTTTTTAAACCTTAATATTGCTTTACACTTTTTTGATATGAGAATAAAATGATTATTTAGAGATTGTTTCACCAATGCAACAATCACACAATTTTGTATATAATTAATAACATGGAAACAATAATTATTTTTTAAAATTGAATAAATCATATTCAGTTGTAATATTTTGGTATGGCAGGAACAAACTTGGGAAATGATTTAAGCACAGTTTTATTAATTTATATAGCTGCTGCACACACATTTTCAAACAATCAAAAGATCAATTTTATTTTTCATGTTACGTATAGTTTACCTCGTTATCAGCAGCTTCAGTCTCTACTTCCTTTTCCCAGTCAAATGCTGTCTGAATTGGCAATTGGCCTAAATGTGTCCATCGTTCTTTAAAATTTGAGTTTTTGGTTCGTAATTTTTCAAAACGACTATTACAAATAAAATAATAATAATAAAAAAAATTACACTAAATTTTAAATAACATATATAATACCGAAATAAGTAATGCTTTGCAAACTCATATAGTTCAATGTCTAAAGCATTTATTCTTTTTACTTTTTCTAACTCTTCTTTATTTAATAGTGATTTATAAACAGCTGAAAGAGTTGCATTGTGTTGTGTAAATGTGACTGCAAATCTTAAATTAAAAGTTTCTTCAAATATGTACTGATTTAACTGAAAACAATATATCTTTTTAAATTTGTTTCCAAAAGAATGCATTTTATTGTTTAAGTACTTTTTGAAATTCAGTAAGTCCAAAGAACGCAATTGATAATAAATTTCTTTTAGCACTGGCTAGCATAACCCTGTTTCGTTCTTCTTGATTCATATATGATGAGTTATAACAACCAATTAAAGATAGATCTGCTAACATTCTTGTTTGTCTAAAAAATATGTATTTTAATACTTTTTTTAAAATATTAAATATTCTAATTACCGATTGGCAGCCAAATTATATGGACAATCTGCAAATGAATTTAGTGTTACATCTGTCCAAAATGTACCATTATAACACATTGGTAATTCTTCGAGTGATGCTGGTCGACCTCCACACCAATGTCTAGACATTCGCCATGTAGCACCTCTCTGTACATGTTTATATTCAGAGAGGTAACGGCTAACTGGATCTCTTAGTAAAGTGAGATAGAAATATCTATAAGTAAAACATATTAGAACAATTTCATTTATTTAGTTAAAATTATTAAACTACCTTCGTTTTATAGACTTTCCTTCATTTTTATCGAGTTCAGAATCAACACACCCAGTTAATTCAGTAAAATCAGCATGAAGTCCACATTTCCAACCAGTAGAATATCGACTAAAAAGCCAGTTTTCATTTCGGCTAGGTCTAAAACAATAACATAACTTTCTTTTCCTTTGACATGTACATGGCCGTTGTAAGTCTAAATCTTGAACAAGATGACGTCCAAATGATGTGCCTCCAGTTTTTTGTATATGTAGAAAAACCATAACATCATGTGCATTCATGTCAAATCGTAATTGGTTTTCACTCTGCATATCCTTGTAACTAACTCCTGTATCTGTGTTTTTGGCACTTTTAAAGTCTAAAATAAAATCAATATTTTATTGGAAATAAAGTGGACAAATATATATTATTTAAAATATTTACCTGTCATATTGGTTGAAAGTAAATTCATTATGGTCCATTCTGAATAAATTGCTGGTTTAGGATTGTATGACAATGAGCAACGGTTATCCGAACAAAAATATCCAAAATATATAATACCAAATAATGTTAGCAATGCAAAGAACATTACCAATTTTCTTAGTGTAATACGATGTTCTAGTTTTCTTCTCATTTGAAAATCTTTCAAAAATTGTTCACAGTCAGATTCCTCTACTACATTGGTGTAGTTCATTTTTTAGAAATCATTTCATGTAGTCCATATGATTATATGGACTTCCATTGAATAGTACTAGAAGTCATCAATAGTGAACAACTTGCGTAAAAGATATCTTCCTAACATAACTGCGGACCTTTTCTTCTACTTCCTTTTATCCCCTACAAATGTGGTCTACTCCTCTGCACTTAATTGTGGTTCTGCGGATAAATATATAATTATATTAACTTAGGTATTTTGTTGATGGTACACGATATTTCAAATATTTCCATCTTTAGATATTTGATAAAGCAGATGGACTGTTATCAATTGATAACTTGATGCAGTGTGTGTTCTGTTTTAACGTTTCATACACTGCCCAATGTCCATGTACTACACAAGTTTTATGTTTGAGCGCAATTTGCATTAATATTTTGAATTTAGTAGCACGTAGCCTGTTACTGTATCAATACAGCGCAACACAATTTTGTTAAAATTAATGTTTTATTTCAAATTAAAAGATTTATTTAGATACTTAATTTAAATTGTAATTTGAATGTGAAATGTATTATTATTTATGTATTAACTAAAAGTAATTTAATTATTTAGTATTAGTGTTTAGTGTTGATACTTTGATATTACGCAATGAAGATAATATGGACTATTCCAATATTAATTTTACACATTTATCGTGAGTAGTAGAAATTAAAATTATTGTTATTAGTCTTAATTTATATTTATTCAAATTATTCATAATGATGTAGTTAGATATATATAAATATATATTGTAGTCTAGTAGCTATAGTAGATATACCAATTAATACTAATTTTAAATTAAATAGGTACCTACTTACTAATTAATGGTTCCCTAATGGCTAATACTTCCAACTTTTAGTCTAACCTAACCTAGCTACTTTTTAATTTTACTTAAACTTGTCTAAGTATCTTATAAATAATTAGGTAGGTATATTGTCATTATTATAATTTGTTAAGAATGGTCAAAAAATAATACACCTATTTGTTCAATAATATTTTGTTTAATACGCAAGTAGATAAATAGGTACAAAAAACCAGGTACCTACTTATACTTCAATAAATTAAGTGTCCAATGGATAAAGTACCAAGTACTAAGTATCCAGGTACCTATATGGATAAAACAAGATTGTATTTTGGATTAAAATGGTTAAAATTAATATGGTTTACAGTGGATGGGAGGTAATCGCGTAAAATATTAGACCTACTCTAGGTATCTTATGTTTGAGTCTTACAGAATTCAGAATAGACAATGTACCCTAGGTTCATTTATTTGTTACGTATTAAAATTCAATATAAACGTATCTAGGTATAAATTTCTGGAAACTTAATCAATTTAATGATTTAATAATATAATATGGTTATATTAATTTGTATTACCTACACACTTTTTAACCTACCGCAAAACCTATGTCTACAAAAATATAATATTATGATTTGTTTTATTTTGAGCGTAGGTTAGGCGATGTATTTTTTATTTTTTTTTGTGTGTGTCTGAACAACTTTAATTCATGTAAAGATTAGTGAATTTTGGTAGGTAGTTTTTTTATAAACGTTTTAAATTCATATTTTTATAAAAATCGTAAAATTAAGTCATTTCGCATACTTCTAGATTTATGACGATATAATTTTTTTTAAATGTTTGAAAATTGATCACGAGATTCATTGTAATTTGTATTTGTTGGAAAAAGTGGTTGAGCATCATGTGGTAGTTTTTTTATAAGCGTGATTAATGGTCATTTTTTAAAGTAGTTTTCATAAAAATTTGGAAAAAACGTAGGAAAAATGGGAAAATTGAAGTACCAAATGTATAATTTTCAATTTTTTTTTTTGTTATAATTCAGTTTAAAATGTTCGTAGAAATTTCAAAATTAGATAGAAAATTTATAATTGCAAAACATTTTAGTAATTTTTAAACTATTTATAGACTATTTATTTATATTTTGCGAGTTTTTACGTAATTTTTATTTGGTGGGTACTCTGTGGATTAAATAATTGTTAGACCAAACAGAAATGCTTGAAAATCTAACAGGATGTTCATTTTAAGTCTTATTTGTAGTAAAAAAAAATTGACTGTAATGCACAATTTTTTTTATAAGAAATTTTATATCAGTTTTGGCGAAAATCGTAAATATTATGGCCTTTCAAAATATGTATAACCGAACTCCGCTCAGAATCGTTTGTTATTAGTAATTACTAATCTATGCATATAAATATACATATAATTCCGTTTCCACATCCTACCCTCTCAACTTCTGACTGACAATTAATATAGGGGCTTATTCACCGTGCGAAGTATATCCGTCTTTTTTAACACTGGAATCGTATGCACGATATTGAGGGTTGAAATAGTTTTTATGACTAAGGTATACTCTATCAAATTAATACGAGCATTATGAATATTGAATACACAAACAACTTATAGTTGCAAATTTGCTATAAATTTAGTACAGGTTTATACTTAAATTACGCGTAAATTAAATAAATTATAATATAATATATTATTAGGGATTTATTATTTTAAATTCTATTTTCAGGTATAACCGGTTCCCATTTAAAAGATGAATACAATCAATATTCATTTTACCAGAAGAGACCTTTAAGTCCTAGACCGTTGGACGCAATGACAGATTTAACTAATGACCTTGGAGTTTGCGTCTTGCGGGTACGCAGTAATTTAACACGTGACGGTTCGCTTGGCAACCGGAACTAACAATAATAATATAAAAATCATCTTTTTCTCTATAAGTTGTATAAAAAATGTTTACTTTTTGTAAATAATTTAAGTAATTTTATTAAATTATTATTAATAATACATAAATATTAAAAAATAAAATTTGAATTAATTTAATGTTCTTACTAATATTATAAATTTAAAAGTTTGTTTGGATGGATGTTTGCATCCCTTCACGTCAGAACTAAAGAAAAATTTAGCTGAAATTTTATTTCTAGACTAACTTTTTTAACCCTTAAATGGGAGGGGACTAGAGGATAATTGCTATATTTGGTACGAAAATCGAATTATTTTCGTCGGCTTATGGATTATCTTTGATGATATTTTATTACTGGTTTTGGCAAAACCTCTACACTCTACAGTTTACATCATTAATTCTTCCATTTTAGCTGTATGCTGTACCTATATTTAATACGCAAATAAAATTATAAAAAAAGTACAAGATAATATACTAAAATATTATTTTTAAAAAGTCTACATTTCGTTAAAAATATAGGTTTCGTTATATTGCTGTATATATGTACAATAACATAGGTATTTATGGATATAGCATATGTTTAAATTTTAAACTATACCCATAATGATACTAGTCATTTAATATTTCAATGAAACAGATAATAGCTGCTGGTGGTACAGTTGGAAATATTGCGTTTTCCCCTTTTGGTTTAATGGCAGTATCGGTTCTTCTTTATGAAGGCTCGAGTGGATATAGTGCCCTGCAAATAAAACAATCCCTTAATTTACCATGGGAAATCCTTGCTGTCAGAATTGGAGTTCGTGATTTAAATCGCTATCTCAAAGTAAATATTATAATTTTTGTTATAATGTTTTTTATTATAGATTGAAATTATTTAAATGTTGTTCTGTAGACATATTTCAAAAGTGATGGATTTTTGAATGGCCTAACTATGAATAGGGAAGAAGTTTGCCTTAGACCGCAATTTAAACGAGTACTTCGACTTTATGGTTTTGATAACCCCAATAACTTTTTAGTTGATTCGTGTCCTGAAAGTTCTACAACAACAACAACAACAACGCAACCAATGCCACCTATGTCTGTTACTACGCAAGGCACTGTACTTACAGAAATGACTCCAACTAGCCAAGTCATTCAAATATCAACTAACATTACGAATGGATCAGCTAGTGAAATATCCACAGTAGCAACCGAGTTTCCAGCTAAAGTAACTTATTTGGGTGATGCGAGTTTCACCATTTCTAATATCAATACAAACGTTACAAGTACGAGTCCATCGATGAATTCTCAGACAGACACTATGGTGGTTGATATCGAAACGCAACCTCATATAAAGCCAATAGAATCGTCAACAAACCAACAAAGGATTACAGATTCAATCAACGAAGAAGAATCTAAATCATCAAATGAAAAAGAATTCATAAGTAAAAAACCAAACGAGTCAATTACAAATATCAGCCCACCGATGAATTTCCAGACAGACACGATGATGGTTGATATTGAAACACAGTCTTATACAAGGCCAATCGAATCTTCGACAGACCAACCAGGGATTACAGCTTCGATTGGCATTGAAGAACCTAAATCCTCAAATAATAAAATAAAAGTCATCAATGAAAAATTAAATAATTCATTTATCTCTGAGACATTTGTTGATAGTACAACTCCGATAATTTCAAATACAATGACGGCTGCAGCTACTGTGACTCAAGTTATGAGTACGGACTATAACAGAAACACAATAAATTCTAAAGCCGAAAAGATAATCGATATGACAAGTGTGTTAGATACTAACCCTATAGAAACTACTACTTCTACAACACAGTTGTACAAAAAGACAACTGACATTACATTTAATACAACTTCAAATGTAGACATTTTAGACGCCGGAAATGCAACTATTTTACCAAGTAATTCGTATGTTACGTCTACGAAAAACGAACCTGATAATACTATCGTGCCGTCTACAGAAAACACTCTACAAACCATTTCTGACGAAACTACGAACATGATGAATGATCAATACGCTCTTCTCGAAAATATGGTGGAAACTATGATGTCTACAACTAATAAACTAACCACAGGTACAGATGAAACAACACAAAGTATGGATACCAGTAGTACAATAGAAATAATTCCGTCTACAAAAACCATATTTAACGACGATAGCTCTGCAACTAAAGAATTTCAAACTAACATAATTCCTATAACAAGCACTGATCAAACAACGTCGTTCACTAAATTTGAATTGAATAATAATGATATAATAACAGTTAATGAAAATGTTTTATCTACGACCGTAAATTCGACTAATGTGACTGAAAATGAAATCATAAATGAAGCGGAATCCAATCAACATTTTCAAATAGCGTTTTTAGACAAAAAGACCGCACGATCTATGGCATCTAATGATTTACCTAATTTCAACGTAGAATTTGTGGTAAGAAAAGAAGATACTCAAATTGACTGCAATCGAACTCAAAAAAAAAATGTTATTAAACCTGATAGGATTTTAACGGAATATCCGAATAATTCTGGTATTTCAGTTAAGCTAAGAGAATCGAAGAAACGCAGGAGAAGATACTTGGAACAGTGTAATTTTTAAAAAAAACTTTATTAGATACGTGTATAACTATGTTTAAAACTTATTTTGATCATTTTTACATTAATCAAATTTTGTAGATCATGGATATAACTCAAATTTATTTACCGGATATAGAACCGAGTATGGACCTCCATCTGGATGGATCGACAGGTCATCTGACCCGTTTTTTGAGTCGAAGAATTTTTTTAATGCTGGATACCGACGTATCCCATATTTTACGTATACAGCTGTATTGCCTTTTGGATTTATTTTCGAATTGAAGTCACGAGTTATTGAAATACCTTTAGATGTAAGTTTATAATTGTTCTTAAATATTTAACAAGTAATTTGATTTTTAATTATTTTGAGATAGATAGATAGTATACGTATCTAACCTCAATGGGCCATAATATGATGTTTAGTTGAAAAAATGTGATACACCAAGCTCATACTGGTGGAAAGTCCAGATGGGTAATTCTAATAGGCATATGGTATTGTTTCTGATAGATGGAAGAACTCACCTTATAATTGACAATATTATTATCTCTGTGAAAGGGGATCAGAATACTTCCATTGTACCTTTCCACGGTTCATCTGTCGTAAAAGACGAAAAATGAGGTTGCGTTATATCGGTAACCGATGTAAAATTCTATCAAACAGTATGAAGAGTTCTAAGCAAGATTTGGGATAGATAATCTCATCTCAGATATGCGCGTAGAGTATAGGCGAGAAGAGGTACCATAGTGCATGATGTTGGCAGATAATATAACTTTAATAGGAAAAAATCTGGAAGACGTTAGTAATAGGCTTGAATAATGGAGAGTAGCACTTAATGAAAAGAGGTAAGAGACTAAGGATAATTATAAGTAAAATAGAGTATATAGAGTATGAGTTTGGAAGAACAGGACAAGACAGCTAACTACAATAAGCGTTGACGTAATTGGAGAGGTTAAGAGTTTTAAGTACTTAGGATCTTTTGTATAAAAGAGCGGTGGCTTTGACGAGGATATGAAACATAGGATTAAGTGTTGTTGGATAAAATGGAGAGAAGTGTCAGGTATTTTATGGAACAAGAGAATTCGAGATATAAAGATAAGTTGTACAAAAGTGTGGTAATATTGACTATATAGTGACTTTTTATTATGTATCAGCAATTTTCTCAGAGGATTTTAAGTGAATTTGATTTCAGTTTTTTCTAAATAATTGGGAAACGTTTAAGTTTTATTTTACAACCATTTTTAAATTTTGACCTTTACTACAAATTATATCTTAAACGAATAAATACTTTTATTTTTCAAATCGTTTATAGCTTATAAACGAAAAATCTAATATAAGTGTCATAATATAACCTAATATAATCTAATATAGTCTAATATAAGTGTTAGGCGTATCAAAATGTCTAGAAAAATTTTATCTATTATAATCTATGTTCAAAAAGGAGGTTCATATTTGAAAAATAAAAGTATATAAATGGAGACTTATATGTACTTATATGGAGATATATGAAGTAGGGGTACAAATTTGAAAATGGTTTTAAAAGTTAAACGATACCACAATGATTAAAAAAAAAAAAACCGAAATCGAATTTACTTAAAATCTTCCGAGAAAATTATTGGTTCATGATAAAAAAAAAATTCCCTCTATTGAATAGTTCGGAATATAGATTGGTAGACAGAAAAATAGAAAAGATAATAATGAGAATGTTTAGGTAGATGAGTGGAGTGACGAGAGAAAATAGGACAAGGAATGACAGTACATAAGAGATAGTTTAGGCATGACTTTGATAGTAAACAAAACGAGAGAAAATAAACTGAGATGATTTCGGGCATGTCATGAGATCAGAGAAATTAAAAGCAGTAAGAGTAATTTTTACAATTATTATAATTAAAATAAACGTAGGAGAAAAGAGAGGGGGAGGAAGACCGACAAAAAAAAGGTGGTTGGATACGATTGAGAACGATATGAGGATAGTCAGAGTGTGCGAGGTGGGAGATTGGGTCAAGTGGAAATTTAGGATGAAGGTGAATGAGCCCAAATAATTGTGATAAAGGTGAAGAAGAAGAAGAAATGATTGGTATATGTATTACGCATACTGTACATAAATATAAGTATTGGTATACCTATACTTTATAGATAGGTACATAATAATATTGAATTAGCCTATATTCTACATGGATATGTATATTTATTTTTAATTATAGAAATAATATGGCAGTGTAGTTTACTAGTGTTAAAGTTAAAAATATTACTATAACATTTATAATTATGTAGTACAAATTGGTATATTCAAACTAATTTTGTAATTTCCTGTCACCATATTGTTAAGCAAGAATGGATATGAATTTTGAAGTAATTGTTATTGGTGTAGGAGATAGTGAGGTATATTTATAAATGTTAGTTAGCAGATAAAAAAATCAAAAATATGCAAGTATTTAAACTTTTGAAGACTAATATTTACTAGAAAATCAACTAGCAAATATATAGACATGTATTAGAAAACGAATATTAAATTAAAATCATTACCTATCTACTTTTTTTAATAGAATATAAATAATTAGTTATAAATAATTAAAAAAATAAATAATTTTTGATAAAATTGTTTCGTTTAATATAAAGGATCCCAAATACACATTGATGATATTGATGCCAAACCATCCAGATGGTTTATCCGAGCTGCTGTTGCTGTTACCGACTATGTCTTTGCGTAATATACACAATTCTCTAAAACCGACAGCTGTTCACGCGACCATACCTACGTTCAGATACACGGCCAAAGTGGATTTGACTTCAGCTTTACAACAGGTGATTGACCATCTCGAAACGATGTAGAAAAAAAAAATCATTCAGTTCACACAATAAAATATAATATTTTAATATAGACACACATCATACATATTAATATTGTGAGTAATAGGTACGCAAATTTTTTTTATGGCAGCATTCATTATTACACCCGGGCAAGCAGACCGTGCAATTTAGTAGGTATACGTATTTACTTGGGTATCTTCCTTAACCGGTGACTGGTGAATAGGTTCAAGGGCACAATCACGTCAAAGACCCCCAGCAGTTTAATATAATACATAATCATCGCGTTATTGTTATGAGTGTTATGACCACAATATTTTATTTGGTATGATCCAAAATAATATTATACGGCCGTTGTCCCGTATAGGTACCTAATTTAAGTCAGATAACATGTAACCAATCGTATTTATCTATGTTCGGCTGTATACCTAGCTAACTTCTTATTACAACCCTTTTCGATTTTCAGATTGGAATCCAAGACGTATTCTACAGATACAGGGCAGATCTTTCTTTCATGTCACCCGACGCCAGGTTGTTCGTCAATTCGCTCCATCAAGTGGTGTCAGTGACGGCTAAAAAGTACAATACGCCCCCGAGTAAGTGATAAAGTGGTGATATGAGGTACCCGTACTCCACCAAGTACCATACCTATACCTATATAGTATATATAAAATTGTTATTTAAGAGGAGAGTAAATTTGGATTCTGAGGGAAGCGAGATTTTGATTTTGGTTTTACAATGATTTTTTTGATCAGTAAACAACATTTCTACCAGAAATCGTGTTCTGATTTTTAAATGTTGTACCTTTTCTGAATGGAAATTTTATCTGCGTGGTACTGGGTGGTATCTGGGAGAATTTTGACTATAATCGGTTTTCATAACAATTGGGATAAACCAAAAAAAAACTTGGGGAAACGGGAAAACTTACGAAATGTATTATTATCAATTTTGTTTTTTGTCTTGTGATTCAATTAAAAATATTCATACAGACTTGGAATTTGGACAGGAAAATCATATTTGTCTTTTCTATACGTGGTAAATCTTTCAAAATACTTATTTGAACCATTTTTGAGCTATTTATAGATATTTTAATTTTGTGAGTTGTTTTACGAAATTTTTATTCGGAAAATACTCTGTGGATAAAATAATTTTTAGACCCAATAGAAGTGCTTGAAAATTGTACAGAAAGTTCATAATAAGTCGTACTTTGTGGTTAAAAAAAAATCTAAGTGTAGAATTTTTTTATAAGAATTTTAATATCAAATTTGAAGAAAATCGTAGCGTACAGATATACATTAAATTCTCTTCTATATCCTACATTTCCAACTTCTCACCTATAACAATAGCCCACACATCGTGCGAAGTATGTCCGTATTTTTATTACTATATAACTATTCACTATTTAACCAGCCATACTTATTATGATTATAACCGTGTGAAAACAGTAATGCTGCTCTATCTATAAGTACACAAGTGGGAAAATAAATGACCATGAAATAAAAAATATTGTGTTTATAATAATATCCTGCATCGCCGCCGCCCGTTCAAAATCTGATCGCGGACGCGGGTATCCGCCGCGGTCGGAAATTGCCGGAAAAACTCTTCACGGCTAATCGCCATCGTCCTTCGGCCACGAGTCGTTGGTACGTATAGAATATTAAAAAATATGGCCCCGTTGCTGAAACCTCGTCCTATAGATAAATTTTCCGCACGATTATCTTCCTCGCGTACATAATTTTTGATTTAATATTCCACACTTTGAGGAAACTATTATGTATAGACCTCCGAGTAAAGGCCAAGTATACAGGTCGGTAAAAAATTGAAAGTTATTGCAACACGAGAATGATTGACATAGATGCACATACATTTAGTTATACCCGAATTATTATGTGTACGAATGATTTATTTTTAGATTTTGAGTGGAGCTAGGAATATATCAGTTTTACAATATTTTTTTTTCTTCTATGGACAACTTTTCCTCCAGAAATTTTGCTACAATATTAACCGAACTCCGCTAAGAATCGTTTTTCGTTAGCAATAGTTAATTGTTGCGTATGTACAGATATACATTAAATGTCTCCTCTACTACCATCCTAACTTCTCACCTAAAACCCACGCGTGAAGTATATCCTTAATATAATATACATAATTAATAAATCCTTTTTTTCATAGATCTCTTGATATAAAATATGTTTATACGAGTAAAGTAGGACATAGGTGTACAATATAATATAATATAATAATACAATTATTATAATGTAGAAACGACAATTATTGCACGCGATTTTATGCCGTGGGCACAATTATTTTATAATTGGACCTACCTACATCGGACCCTTATAGGTATTAACTACTGTACCTACAATATTTTCTTTTCGGTTGATCGGTAAACCGAAACGTAGTAAACATACGCGCGTATTGTCTTCATATGCGACACATGCAAATCATGCAATATTGGTCTTAAGCAATAGATTGGCCGACCGTTTTTTTTTTCGCCAACCTCACATAGAAATAAACGTAAGATATTCGTGTCTGGATTGCAAAATTCACTGTGCCTTGTGTATAGGTGCACACAAGGCTGGGCACTAACTTATTAGAAACTAAAGGTTACTTGTATCGGTAACTTTCAACTTGACTTAGTAGGTAGGTAACTTAACTAGTTTATATTAGTTAATATTAACATGATAAAATTTTATCAACGAATAATTACCTGCCTTAATGACATTAGATTAAAAAAAAATCAAAGTTGCTTATAAAAATTTATAGGTATTTTAGATTCTGAGCAAAGCGAGGAATGTATTGGTTTTGTACTGATGTTTATTTTTTATTTTAATTTTATCTGTGAATAACTTTTCTACCAGATATTTTGCTCCAATTTTCACGTGTAACACTTTTTCTGAAAAAATCTGATTAAGGTGGTACTTTAAGGAGGAATTTTTTTGATTTTTTCCAGTACACTCAGAATCGTTTTTCGTTAGCAAAGATTAATCTTTACGTACAAATATTCATTAAATTTCACTTCCTACTTACAAGAATAGTCCACCTACGTGTGAACTATGTCGGTTCTTTTTTTTTTTAATTGACAACGTATCCGTACTATATTATATATTTTATTAAGCAACCGTAATTGCACTTTTTCCCTAAAATAAGCGGTCGAACTACACTTAGGTTTAAAACAGGTAACCGCAATTTTTTATTACCAGTTCAATTACCATTTTAAAAATATATTTTCGAATTAATCTACTATCTGATACCCATTTAAGGAGAAAAGTTCATTTTTACTGACGAAAATGAGTGCGAGAATTTTACGATCATAAAAACCAATATTTGGTTTAAAATTATTTGTTAAATACCTTTGATTAAAGCGTGGGTTCAAAACTTACTGATGCCATTTTAGCATCTTAATAGGTAATTCTATCACTTAGATTTGGATTTATTGCAGGATTTAATGCGTGTTTTTTTTTTTTTTTTAAACATTTTTCTTCTATCTCATAGATTAACTTTTCAAAAAATAATTTGCTCCGATGTTTCGAGTATAGTACCTTTTTTGAAAGACTAGTTTATCTATAGATAAATTATAGTTGATGCACTAGAGATACTATTATTTGATTTTCCAAAGGGTTTTCATAATAATCGGGAAAACCCAAAAAAGTACAAAATGATTAACAAATGAATTGACGACGTACGATTTAATTATTTTGAATTTTTACGCACGATGTTTACTACCGGACATATGACAACAGTAGAAAAACGACAAGTGATCTTTTTTATTTAGTTGATGAATATGAAAGTCGTTTATTGATTTTCTTTGTAGTTTTTTTAATCATTGAGCAAACACCAAAAAAAAAAAAAAAAACAGGAAAATCTACGAAAAACAATTCCTTTAATATTTTATTATATTTTTTTTTTTCGGTGGACAGTTTTTTTACCGTCAATTTTGTTCCGATTTACATTGATAGCAGTTTTATTAAAAGTAAATATGACTGCGGAGGCATTTAAGAGAGGTCATTTTTCGATTTCCCTAGTTTTTAGAACAATTATGAAAAACCGGGAAAATCGGTTACTTATAAATTATAATTAAGTACATATAAATGTAGATTTTTATAATAATACATTTTATAAGTAACTTAATATATTTAATAATATATAAATGTTACTTAGTCATGTGATACAATAGGTAGGTAGGTTAATATTTAGGTCATCAGTGAATTTCGAATAGGGTCATATTATACAATAGACCAAACTTTTTACATTGAAATTCTGCAAATAATCATGAATTCCTATTATACCTATTTGTATATAATTATTTTAAAATTCGAAAAGCGAAAAACGTCCTTAGTTTCAGTTATGCACCATAAAGGATTAAAATAATAATCCGAGTTTTGGACATTCATTTAACATAATATTATCTAGATATTCACCTATTTACATGAAAGGCAGATAATGTTTGATTTGTTTTTTTTTTGTCTGAGGTCAGATTTAAGTAACCGTGATAAATAAAATATCAGTCTCATAAAAAACTAACAGCTTCCATTTAAAAAATATACATTTTCCATTGAATTCCTACGAGATATTTTATTAAATTATTACGGACCATTAGGAATAAATGTACGTACATTTAATATGCTACCTGTATGCTGTGTCTAATGTGCGGAACATTAATCAAACGTCTATATAGTATTTGTATAGGTACCTAGTTGTCTTAATCTAATAAAATATTTATATACAGGCATGGTTTAATTGTTGCAATTCAGACAAAATATTGTGATTAACCATTAGTTTATTTAAATTAATATTATAGATTTTTTTACAATCTTATTGGGCTTGGAAGTTATAGGAGTAGCATATTTTTCTGTATGCACTGGATTTATAGCAGACCAATCTAGTAATTCTTTCTATACAATGGGCAGTTCAAAAATCGATTATTAAAAATGCATATTTTATTAATTTTAGAGCTAAATTGCATATTTATCAATTTTCATTTATGTTCACATTGTTTTTACACATTTTATGTTTTACAAATACACTCTAATAAAATCAACTGATATTTAACTTCACAAATACTGAAAAATAGTTTTTCAGTTCAATAAAATATCATAAGTGCCAACTAGTTTCGTGTAATATTTTATTTATCTATAATATAGTTTAGTTAATACTTTTTTTGAGCATATTAATATTATGTTTTTGATTATTTAACATTTTTTAAATGCATATTTTGCCTTTTTAGCTCCTATAACTTCCAAACCTTGGTAATGTGTATAGTTAAAAGTAGATTATTTATAGTTTACTAAGGATTTATAAAGTTATGCTTATCAGATATCTATTGATTTAGATAATGGGAAACTACAGATAATGTTCAATTATTACTAAACATAGTATAATAATTCTGTAAAATTTAAATAATAATATAGATGTTGAATCAATCATAAATTAGATTTAATTTTCTACTGGTCACTAGGGGGGTAAATCTCTTAGCACAAATATATGTAGTGAACAATTTTTCAAGATAACACACACCTGCCAGATATTTTGTATAGTCATTTACATAAATTTATCAGTGAATCAATACTTGTTAGATGGAATCAGTGATCAGAAAGTAGATTTTGTTATTTACTTATTCACTTTTTGTTGTGAAGAATTTATTAACTACATATTGAAAAGCTATTAGATTAATCTAGAACCAAGTTAATACAATTTAACTTGTTTTATTGATAGAATTAGAAATTTAGGTGGGTTATGTTAATTATGTTGTACTATCTATTGAACATTTATCTAATTATCCAAGATAGTAATTAATGCAAGATGAATAACATTACTTTAAAAATACTAAGTGTTGTTTTGAAATTACAAAAATCGAGGATAAATACTTGTTAATAAATAAGAAATAATTTGCGTATGGTCTAATGTTTGTACAGCAGAGCAGAAGTTTAAAAGAAGGTTAATAAAAACGTATTTATTTTTCAGTTTATGAAATCCAACGAAAGTATGTGGAGCATAATTTCGTAGTATCAAAACCATTTGTTTATTTTGTGATTGACCTGCATACCAAAGTCAGTCTTATTGCTGGAGTTATAACTGATCCATTAGCATCGCCGATTTGGATTTGATATTACCAAAATACGATACATATCAGGCATACACATTTTAAGCTCAACATACTAAGGTTAACTATAGAATAAATTTTTATACCGATTTGTATAAAAAAAATAAAATAAATTGTGTAAAAATAATCATATAAAGAAACATTTGTTATTTAATAATGTCATAAAAATAATTTTAATGACAAACAAAATAACATTTATTTATTTGCCTTTCTTGGCCTTGATCTTCCTATGGTAAAATTCCAACTCTTTACCTTCTAAGATATAACCATCTGCACGCCCACATTGACCAGGTCTGCTGCCCAAGCATGCTAAAAAAAAAAAAATTTTTAGTTGTCCGATTTGTATTAAGAAAACACTTTTTAAAAAGATAAAAGCAATATTCAGAAAATATAATTTCATTTCATAGAAAAATCATATTAACGAGATTATTTAAACATCATAATATTGCTCAATATTAAAAAATTAAAACATTACAAATTCAGGGTAACTATGAAAACATCATAAGAGGGATAATGTATCCCATCTAAATTAACAATTTATCATCATTATATTATATTTATGTAAAAAAACAAACTTTCAAACTAGAAATATAAAACACTCAGTGTAACTATGACATAATATGTTCATACTATTGGCAGATATTTATCAAAACGATAAATATCCCAAGTTCAATATCACAATTCAAATAAAATTGAAAATCATCATGGTGTTCATAAACAATTAGATATTGAGATCAATACAATTGTAGTTACCTAAAAGACGTGATGTTTGGAACTGTTCATCGATTGCCGGTTCTACTTTAGCAAAACGTTGTCTCTTTTTGTATTTAGCCTCAGCATCTTTTGATCGCTTTTTATTCAATACAGCATCTTCAGCTTCAGTCTACAAAATTGTGAATAATGAAAAATTTAAGATTACACCATAAATATTTTTTTTTTTTATTCACTAATATAATTTCTATATACTAAATAACCCTCATTACATTTAACCCAAAATATTATATAATAACGAAAAATAAAATTTTGTTTTCCGATGATTCTATCCTACATTTCTGCTCTTAGATATATTGCATAGTCATTAATTATCAGATAACAATTCCTATCAGAAAGGTTCATCACAGCAGATGTAAAGTGTTGTATTGTAAACTAAATATCAGAGCGCTGCGGAATAAAGAATATCCTCATAAGAAATTATCAGGAACCGATATATTACTCATCATTTAAATATGTTAATTAGATTATTATACAATTACGAGAAATACAATTTTACGTTATGCTGTTACTACTCTACATTTCTGCACTCAGACATAACACAGTCATCAATTATCAGACGGCAATTCCTATCAGAAAAATTCATCACAGCAAATGTAAAGTGTATTATTATAAACTAAATATCAGAGCGCTGCGGAATAAAGAATGTCCTCATAAGAAACTATCAGGAACCGAAAAATTACTCATCATTTAAATAATGTATTTATGTTAATATTATATTATAATGACAAAAAACATAATGTAAGGTTTTTTTAATCCTACATTTTCTGCTCTTAGATAGTACACAACCATCAATCATCAGAAAAAGGTATATTAAAATAAGTACTATTATTATAAAATAATTTCAGAGCGCTGCGGAATAAAGAATGTCCTCATATGAAATTATCAGGAACCGAAATATTACTCATCATTTTTATACTTTATCTAAATTGTCATTACATAATTGTAAAAAAAACACATTTCTGCACTCAGCCATTACACGGTCATCAATTATCAGACGGCAATTCCTATCAGAAAGGTTCATCATAGCAGATGTAAAATACAGTATTTTTAAAAAGTAAATATCAGAGCGCTGCGGAATAAAGAATGTCCTCATAAGAAATTATCAGGAACCGAAATATTACTCATCATAAGAAAGTTTAGAAAATATAGTTTTATGTCAATTTATATTAATTTCTATTTATGCTCTCAGATAGTACATGGTCATCAAATTATCAGACGGCAATTCCTATCAACAATGAAGGTTCATCATAGAGCTATAAGAATTAAGTTACCAATAATTTAAATATTATACGTAAAACTAGTTATAATACTAGATAATAGATACTAACATCCATCATTAACTAATTAGGTATGTCCGCAGTATTAAGCATCATGCCTAAGCATCAACCGCCAAAGATTTGTAATCAGTATTAACAATTGCATATCACAAAACACACAATGTGGATTTATAGTTGTATAAAATATCTAGAGAGCAAACTTGTATCTATTTTAATAATAGATACAAGATATAATAGATGGTGTCCGACTTAAATAGTCAGACAACATTTATAGATTGGACAAAAACAATAGTGTATTATTGATAGTTAACGGTTATTTTTATTACACATTGCGTCAATTATGAGATAATAAACAACAAATTGACATAAAAATCGATAATACTTTGCAATCGTTTTTTTGCCACAGCTGTCAATGAATGATGACTTCAAATTGTTGTCAAGCCAGTATACAGTTATACTATCTAATTATTTTATAAATCTATGAATGGATTTGATACTATCTAAGTATATTCCAAACTCCCGCCAAAAATATTGAATCGTTGATGGCTGACACCACATTTTCATACAATAATCAAGTTATAACTGTTTCTTCCATAGCTGCGCAAATTAATACTAAAAATCGATAAAGTTGCTGACATAACTAATTAGTTAATCATACTAACATTCTAAACAAATAATAAAAGATAATAAAGAAGAGAAAAAAATAAATTGATACATACTAATTTAGTAGTCCTCTTTCTCCCAATAGGTAAAGCGTAATGGCCTTCATACCACTGTCGGAATGGTGTAGCATCAATGACTACAATAGCATTCTTTACTAAAGTTTTGGTCCTGACTAACTCGTTGTTGGAAGCATTGTAAACAACATCAATAATACGAGTTTTTGCAGAAATTCCTGTTTATAAACAAAAGAAAAAAAACTATAAATAAATTTCAAAGGTGAAAAATATAACACATACCTTCGGAACCCCATGCAAAGTTTCCTTGATCTAATCTGAGAGCTCTGTATTTTTTGTTACCTCCTCTGGTACGGACAACATGTACACGACGAGTTCCAAGCTTAAAATTTAAAAAATTATGATTAATAATACTTTAAACAAGTTTTATGTTTAAGAATTTCAATACACTTAATTATTTTATACAAGACCAATTTCAGGATATTAATAAGCAGATAATTTTACCAATCATTTAATTTCATAATAGATTTTAATCATCATAAATAAGTCGTTTAATAAACAATATTTTTTTTAATATTTAGAATAATTAAAACTACTATTAGTACTATGCATGTAAATAAGAGAAAAAAAATTAAACAGTCGTAATAAAAATATTAAAATAAAAGAATAGGTATATTTTGGGAAGTTTGCTTTTATAATTATGTACATAAAAATAATATAAAGGGAATATTTCTAAGTATATTATATGTCCATTTCAGGATATTAATAAGCGGATATATTGAATTAATCACAATATCTTCATAGTATTATAGTAAATCTCATCATAAATAGACTTTAATAAAACTTTGGCAATTAATAAAAATAAACTAGTTAATATGATCTGTTCAAAATCTAAAGGAAATATTACAATTTAGGAGTAAATTTATCAGAGAAAACTTATTTTAGTAAAATAATGTTTATAACTTTTTTTTATTTATTATCTAATAACTAAATGCTTATCAGAACGTTAGAGGTGAAAAAAGTTAATAAAAGATCGTCATTTATTATTCAGCAATACATCTCATCATAATTTCATTCTAGTTATTAGATATAAATATGTTATGTATATATAATACCTTAAATAAAATAGGAAAATCAGAACGTTAGAGGTGAAAAATGATAAATATCTTCATCATCAATTCAGACACAGACCTCATCATAAATGTTTTAATACTACAGGTACTATGTAGAAATTATATTCAATATATTTTTCTTGATAATTAATCAAAAATAGTATGTTAAGTCAAAATTAAATTGAGCATATCTTCAGGACGTTAGAAGTGAAAAATATTAAATATCGTCATATAATATTCAGTACTTCGTCTCATCATTGATGCAATTTAAATTAACCTATATTTATATCTGTTTTTTTGGAAATAAAGTAAACCCCTAATAAATTAAGCTACACTAATAATAATATATAAAAATAACAGCAAGATTATTTTACTTACGTTAAAAGAGAGAACGTTTCTTAGTTTAATTTAATAAATTATTAACTTACAACACGCCATCACAACAACCAACATTCACAACCAATATTTGGTTATGAATTATAACAAATAGAAATATCATACCTTTGTGTTTGCTGCTGGACGTCCTAATTCATACTTCCTCTTCTTACGAAGGGGTTTACGTTTGCCTCCGGTCTTCCTACGTTTATGCCAGGTATCACGGGATATACCTTAAACGAAAATGTTACTAGTATAAAAAAAAATAGTTTGTTCAAATCAAATTTTATAGAAATCGAATATGTTGCAACCATATAAATTAAATAAAAGTATTTTAAACGAATAAAGCAAATAATTAAGCCGATGTGATCGGATGAAAATGACTTACCCATCTTGTATCATAAACGATGATGTTACACCAGTAAAAAAAGGAAAAGAATGACTATGGATGAAGACTTCTAAAATGTAAACAAACTATACGTCTGGAACAAATTTAAGGTTACGTTTGAATGATGCAAGGAGGGGGAATTGAACAAGTGTTACCACTTGCATTTTCGATTACAATAAAATTAATATTCCATGCCTTAAAAAAAAATGGTTTTAAGAAAAATGAATGGTAATATTCTATAGATGTATATTGTTCTACACCAAGAACTTAGATTTTCTTAGTTTGTGTTTTTAAAACGAACTTGAATTTTACATAATTAAATAGGAACTAATATTTTATAGAAATGAACTCAGAGACGATAATTAATTAAAATTTTTGATAACAATATTTTTGATTATGATTATAGATAGTAGGTGTACTAATGAGAATCAGTTATCAGATTACTGATTTATCTAAAATCCACAATTCTACAATCTTAAAAGCACATTATTATGTAGTAACGTACAATTATCTTGTAGTTGGTTTATGATCTGCTCATGTTATATTTGGTATTATAATTACTACTTCATTCTAGTTGTGCAATTATACATTTTGAAAATTTAATATATGTTCTAATTTAAAATGCCTGTAAGTATATTATATACATGAAAAAATACATATCTCATTCGCTTAGTGTTTTAAATTGTGTTCAAAAATATATTTTCAAATAACTCGGTTTTACTTTAAAAAAAAAATATTAAGTTTTATTTTATTTAAATACTAAAAAATAACCAATTTGGTAATTATGAGATGATATTGTTAGAAAAATGTATGAATTAAGAAATACTACAGTATTATTTATTATATACAAAAATAGTATAAATTGTTAGGTATAATTATGAGTATTAAATAAAGATTTTTGGATTAATGAATTCTTTTATTTGGATTGACTTATAAAACATTTAAAAGTGTTATGCATAAAATTAATGGTTCCATACTGCTCTCTCCATACTATTATAATCATCTATTATAGTCATCTAACTGACTTAATTGACTGTATGTTTCCAACCACTCGATCTATTCAACCACTGTTCTCTCAAAGAGTTCAAATTAAACACCTTTTTTCATAAAATATCATTTACATGCATTGTATATATTTAATTTTACAAATTATTTAAATACTTAAATGTAAAAAAAAAAAAAAAAAAAAATGAAATAGAATTATCAATTAATAAATTTAATTCCAGTGGTATTTTTATGAAAAAATATTAATAGCAATTATTTATATAGTTAGCTAAAAGTTTACTTCATCCATCTGCAATTGAAGATTTGCGAACTCATAAATTGAAGCGTCTTGTTCCGCGTCCCAATTCATATTTTATGGATATCAAGTGTCCAGGTAACTAATATAATTAATTTGTTTTTAATTTTGCATTTATATGAAACATATTACTCTAAATTTCAGGATGCTATAAGATAACAACTGTGTTTAGTCATGTACAAGATAAAGTAAGATGTGGTGGTTGTCAAATAGTATTGTGCAGACCAACTGGTGGCAAAGGAAAATTGTCAGATGGTAGATATATTAGAAATTATATAACATTTTAAACTTGTGTACAATCAATAATATGATAAAATACTCGTGACCAACAGAGTAAAATTTCTTTTCATCTATTTTATTTTATACAATGCACAAAATAAATAATAAAACAGTTCTATACATTTAATATGTAGACAAATTGTTTTAAGGTCCCCATATATGATCAAACAATTTGCGCAACTACTAGGCACAAACATTTTAATGATGTATAGAATGGATTGAATAGTTGTGCAACAGTTTAAAATCAAGCTTATGGTTCTTGGTTAAGACTGAAATATTTTGCCCAAGAAACTTTTATGTCTGACATTTTGTCTACGGAACATACAAAAATGTACCGAGGTTTACACAAGTCATTTGTACGAATGTAGGAAAAAAAGCCAATTTATTTATTATATTACAATTAGTTGCATTAAGTATTATTAATTCTACAGCAATAGCATTTTATACTTCTATAATAGTAATGAATATATTATTATTATTGTTTTCTGATGCCTTATATAGAACAATTTTTTAATATTGATTGTATAATGTATATTTTTTATTTTTATTTTTATTTTTATTAAAAACTTTATTCAACTTATTTTTAACTTTAATAACTTTTCTAATAAAAAATTAATGATTGGTCAAAAAAAAAAAATTAATAGTACAAAGTATACACATTGTTTTTTTCTGTAGCTTTATTCGTGACTTTTTTTCCTTGGCTTTATTTTCTAATTACCCTTTTGAACATGTATTTACTGAAGTTAGCACAAACAGTGGTTGCGCAAATTGTTTGATTGTGTATGGGACCTTTAGTGGAATAATGTAAAAAAAATTACTGTTCACTGTTGTAGATGAATTACCCACCTACAATAGTGGAAAGAAATGATATACAACATAATTTAGTCTTGCAAATTCTAAGTGGAATATTAGTTATGATTTTTCTTTTGTTATAAAGGAAACCCAGAAATCAATATAAATAAACTACTATCTAGCAAAAGAAATTGCATCTTTTAAGTTACAACATGAACAATAAAAGTGTTTTCCAAGTAAAAGAAAACACATATCTCAATGAATATGTAATACTATATTTACTCTCACAGTCAAATTAATAGGGAATATAGTAAAAATCAGACTGAGTAGAACTCAAATAATTTTAACTTAAAAGTAAAAACACTTATTATAAAACTAAAATAGGACAATATTCTAAAGAGCACTTCACCGCGTGTTTTTGACTTTGTTCCTAGTATAATATTTAGTATGTCATTCAGAAAAAACCAAAAATCTCAATATTTTAACAAATTAATTTTTGTCTTTTCAGAAAACATTTTTTTGGTTATTAAAAATCTATTACCTATTTGTATTTATACATATTGTACAGGATGTCCCACGAAGCAACCCATTGCAATATCTCTTGAGGTAATAAAGATATTTATATTCTGATTTTTTTTTTTTATAAATTACTCAAAGAGATAAGAACAACGAATATTTATATTTGAATTAAATTTGTATGTTTTAAATGTAGAGTAAAAAACTAAAAATATAACTCTGTTTTATAATTTTTAAAAAAAGTTTAGATACATAAATATAGCCATTTTATAGTATTTATTCTTCTAAAAATTTTAATGTTCAACTTCTTTTTTATCATTAAATTCGCCATTTTTATAATTTTAAGTTCATAGAAAAGTACCTATAATTACGCAGCAGGCAGTCAGTAATCACGTTCACTAATTGATTATTATTATTATGACTAATTGACAGCATAATTTTTTCTCTGAATATTAAATTTAATGAAAATAAAAAGTTAATATATAACATTTTCAAAAGAATAAACTATAAAATTAATTTTCATACATTTTTTACTCAAACAAAAAATCAATTGAAATGTAAATATATGTAGTCCTTAACTCCGTAAGTGATATAAAAAAAAAAAATCAGAATTTGATTATCTTTATTAATCTGAGATATTACAATTATATTATTATATCTGTGGGACATTCTGGATAATATGTTTTTTATACAAAGGGATTCTTTTGTTGTTGAACACTCATTATTTTCCAAAGTATTTACTTTTGTCTAAAAAAAATTAACTGACAATTTAAGAAACAAACAGCTTTAAAATGTTACAAAATTAATAGAGAATTAGCTTAAATAAATTTTGGTCTTGAAATTTTTGATTTCCATTAATCCATTCACACAATATTTCAATTTTAAGTTTGAGTATCATATCTATGGCAGCACGAGGCATGGTATTTGAATAGTACTACACTAAAAGTTATTTTAACTAGTACCCCCCTTTATTCATGGTCTTTTTAATATAACTTACTTTTTTAAAATCATAAGTAAGAAGTCGATTCACTTTCATAAATAAGGATGACAAAAAATGATTGAAATTTAACATTTTAAATCTGCTTGTTTCTTAAATTGCTTAAAAAAATTTGTTTGAAAAAAGTCAATACTATGCTATACTAATGTTCAACAATAAAACAATCACTGTGTGTTATACCTAATTATGAAAACTAAGTAAAATATCTATATGACTGTATATATTTTTGTTTATTAATGTAATTTTTAAAATAGACATTACATTGATATATTTTTGAAATTTGCTCAGTTATTACATAATTGATGTAATTCAATTGTATTATTATTTATGACAGTTATAACTTATTTTTAAATATTATTTGAACGTTGATATTTAACATATTTTTATTTTGATTTACAGGATGTTCATACCGTAAAAAATAGTAAGGCATTATTTATTATTCATTTAAGATTGTAATGTTTAAAACTATTGATTTTCCAATAAATACCATTTTGTCTATATGCTGCATTTTTTCTTTTAATTATCTTATTTTGATTTATTAATTATATAAAATATGAACTAGATTTACTTACAAATTTAAATAATTAATAGTAGAATAAATGAGTTTTATATGTTAATATTATATATTTATTATAAATTGTATATTTACAATGTATTTAAAATAAATTGAATGTTTATAGTTTATTACAAATAAGTTTAAATTTACTCATAGAATAATATAGTTTTATAGTATTAATATTATTATTAATTATAATTTTCAGGAGCTTTGTTTTGATTTTTACAAATATTCTTATGAAATATATATTTGGTAACAAAATAATATAATGTAGAGTCCATAACAGTGAGGTTAGTAATGTTCACACAGATCCTCCACCGCTGTTGGTTAAAACAAAGGAAAAAACGGACTGTTCATAACACTTGTAATAAAGTTTAAAAGGCAAGTTGAGACAGAATAAAGAATCGGATGATGTCGGAAGAATGGTTCATTTATTTTAGCAAAAATACCTCTCTTTGGTAAATAAAACCATGTGGCGGTGATTACCTACATGACAAGTAGTTATGTAAGATACATTGTCTTGTACTAATGTAACTCTTCAATGTAATATAAATAACTTTTCATTTTTTACCTGTTATTAAAATATTCATTGTCTTCAGACCAAATTAGATTTATTTAAAAAAAAATGTGTATTGTCTAAGTTGCAATGTTTTTATACTTATTGAAACTTGGTTGCAAACAGATAAATATTTTTCAGTTAAACTGTAACTCTTACAGATACTAATAACCTAGTCAGGAGGTTAAGTCTTAATCAGTCTAAATAATACATTTAAATCTAGTTGCATTGATATGACACATAATTATGTTGAACTACTATAAGTATGTAAAAGTTAATCTCAATAAGTATCATGTTTTAATTATTTGTACTTGTTATATAGCTCCTCATAGTTTTTTAGAGTTATTCTCATTATGTTGAATATTTTCAACACGTTTTATTTAAATACAGCAATAGTTCCATAAATTATTTATTTTATATGATTTTAATTTACCACGGATGTTTTTCTTATACGGGAATAATGGTTTTAAAGTTTAATGAAGTAATAACTCCCAAATCTGAAGTTATTTATAATGTTATAGCATTTTTAATGATTTTCAAAAATTTAACTGTTAAAAATGTTTCCGGATCTCAGGCATAATATTTTCCAACATTTTAAATTTAATGATGAGTAATTCTTACAAGTATTGTAATCCAATAGTAAAATATATACCTGAAGATTATGATTATGATTTTAAAAAATGATAACTATGAGATAATCTCTAGAATGTTATATAATATTGACTGGGGTTGTTTGTACTTTATATAGTAGAAGTGTTTGAAATTATTCAGATATAAACAGAGTGATTTATTCAACTGGAAATACTTTTTATCTTTGGAAGTATTATATTCAGAAATTTTTTTTTTTTTAAACTTAAAAAACAAATGTTACATTTTAATATTTTTTGGGGTGAAACAACTAGGGACCTACTTTTGATTGTCAAATGGCAATCTATATTAAAAATTCTATAAATAGATTGGGTATTACTTATTGATTAAAATAAATTTTGGTGTTGAAATTTTTTATTTCCGTCTATCTATTTACAAGATATTTTTACTTATAAGTTTGAGTCGCGAGTAAGTAGTGGTATATTATCAAAACGCCGCGGGACGTGCCGCCATACAAATCATGTTTATTTATCTTTTATAAAGAGAAATTCTTGAAATAATTAAAAAGTTGAGGTATACTACTTGTACAATGAATATTATACGTTGAGAATCCTGTTCTTTTTGTCCGTGTGAACAACATTGTTAGATTATTATAATCGAGGTACCTAGGTAACTATAATAATTATCCAGAAACCTTGGAAGACATGGAAAAATGTTCTTTAGGAAATTGAGTAGAATTGTAAAACTGAACTGATATTAAATTGGATAAAATTGTTTTTGGTAATAGATTCATAGAAATAATAATATATGAATAAATAAACTTCTCAATTTCTGTATTAAAATAATAAGTGACCGCGTTTCGGAATATGGTTAAGAGACAGACTGTTTATAACGTGCTCACTCTAGCAGATAGAGTAATGTTCCAGCAAGGGATTTTATCATTTCACAATGATAACAAATCGACGTAATTTTATTTGAACTTTAGTTTATCAAAACAATTTCAAATTTTAACACAATTTGTTTTAGTATAAATGTATAATATTATAAAATTAAATACAATTTTCTTTTTATATGTGATTTATATGTATTGTTTGTTTTGTAACTTCTAAATTGAGTGTAGACAGTGTATTATTTCGTTTGTAAGTATTATTTATCCTAATTATTAACTTACTTAATCTACTTGAATTTATCTAGGTACCTGTGTATAAAATATAAATATTGTTTTAGATTCTGAGTGGAGGAGAAAGGAAAGTAATGGTTTTGTAATGTTTTTTGTTTTTCTGGATAATTTGTCTACCAGTAATATTTTGTTCCGATTTACAATAATTACATTTTTTCTAAATGGGAATATGACTGGGGAGGTCATTTTTGGATTTTTCCAGTTTTGGAAAATAGGTAAAATATTAAAAAATATATTTAAAGAAAACTTTTAATGCATATTAAGTTATTATTTTACCATAATATAATGGTATATTATTAATTGTTGACAAAGCAATACTACCCATTGAATTCCGCTAAGAATCTTTTATTCATAGCAATAGTTAATCGTTGCGTACCTTAAATATATAGATATATATATAGATACCTTAAAGATGCATTAAATTCCCGTTTATATTCTATCTATTTACCTTCCCACCTATAAAAGCTGCACTCGTTCTCATTATCCTAGGACAGCTTTTTAAGATTCTGAATGTAGTAATTAGATTTACAAAGATATTTTTTTTTTACAGTAAAAAAAATTTCTACCGCAAATCTTGCTCCGATATGGACATGTCACACCATTTCTAATAGGAAATATAGTCTAGATCAGTGGTTCTTAACGGGGGCGATACCGCCCCCTTGGGGGCATTTCGTTTTCTCTGGGGGAGGGCGGTGTGCTTTTTGAAACTCGGAGATTAAAAATAATACAATTTATTAATATTATATAACAACACTACAAATAATTGGACAATCACGGAAATATATTTTTCGGCGGACACCTATTTGTAAATAACTACATTTATAAATTGTACTTATACAGTATTATCTAAATTTAAAAATTATGGGGAAACGGCTAACGGCGATAATGCTACGTGTTTAGACGATAAAACGGTAATGACTCGATACCGACTACCACTACATATAATTGTTCTGGATATTTCATATAGGAATAACCCAAATAAATTCATATTATGCTATACAATGTATGTATTTTTTGTAATTATTTATATATATATATATATATACTCGCATGTATATATCTAATCGCATTTTACGTATCGGGGACGTAAAAGGTCTTGTTTATAATAGATTAATTTTTACATTTTCAACCATTACTAGACTATTGTATACTGTATCTTGCAGTGCGTGATTGATATCGCTACGGTGTACGTCGCGTTTTCGAATAAACGACTGTGTTTGACAAAATTAACAGACTTAATTTTAACTAAATAATTTGAAATATAAATATTTTTATAATGAGTGATCACAGTGCAAAAAAGAAGTGCCGTCAGAATTTTGTAGAGTACCTAAAGTTTGGTTTTATCGCGTCACCACTTCATGTACAGTTACCGTTTTGCCTTATATGTGAAAAAACATTTTCTAATGAGGCAATGAAGCCATCAAGATTGAAAGATCATTTATTTTTCATTTATCAAAAATTCATTCCGATAAACTGGAGAAACCACTTTCGTTTTTTCAGGCTCCTAAAGCAAAAATTGAAAAACGGTCTACTGTGAATAGTTTATTTAAAAAACAAACATCTGATCTTGATAAAGGATTTCTCGCTTCGTACAAGGTGTCTTTATTGATAGCAAAAAAGTTGTTGTTGCTCAGCTTTTGACCAAACAAAGAAATCGGTTGGACATTTGCAACAAAGGTGATCTACGATTAGCTTTGACCAATATCAAATCAGACATCGCCAAATTAGCAGCAACTCATCAAACTCAGGGCAGTCGTTGATTGGTATAATTTTTATATTTTATAATTTTTTTTTTCATAGTTAAGTAAATCTTTTTGTATAGTAAAGTAAAATAAGTAACTTGTTTTGTTAAGTGATGTAAAATATACTATCTATCCATTACTATCTAAAAGTAAGAGTTTTTACTTTAATTAATAATGTTATATATACATATATACCGATGAATAAATAAATATATATATATTTATAAAAAGAAAATTTGATTTTACATGAGGGGGCGTTAGCAGTTAATTATTACGATAAAGGGGGCGCTGAACTAAAAAAGTTAAGAACCACTGGTCTAGATGATACAAGGAAGGCCATTTTATGATTTTCCAAGCGGTTTTAATAAAATCTGAGAAAAACCGGGATAAAACTTAAGAAAAACGAAAAATGTACGAAAATAATGGCTTTTATTTTGTTATTTGTTGTAATTCAGTTAAATATTAGCAGGAGCGTGTCCAGGGTAAAAAAAATCAAGACTGACTCAATTATAAGAATAATTTGTATAAGACACAATTTTTTTAAAAGAAACTTTAATTTATTTTTTAAGTTGTACTTATTACTTTGTAGTCATATATATAATGTATTCTTATAAAGTAACTTTTTATAATATTTATTTAGTAAATTTAATTCTTCTGTTTTTCATTTTGGCAGACTTGTCAATAATCTTTGTAGGATCTCGTAATAACTCCGAACTGAACTCCCTTTCAATTGATATCAATGCCAAATTATGAAAACGCGTAGTTGTCATAGATGTCCTTGAATATGTCTTGATTCTTCTCATCGTCGAAAAACTTCTTTCGGCTGTTACCGAACTTACTGGTATAACCAACACGCGTTCTACAACTAACTTAATTTTCTCAAATGACTTTCCCATAACGGACATATATGTATACTAACATATACGTGTACCTACGCAGTACGCCGATGTATTCGTGCTTTACATTCAGTGTTCGGTGTGTTTAATACGAAAAATAAATTATTTGGGTTTATTTAAAAGCTAAAAATCAGGGTGGGCCAGCATGCCCACCCGCTGGACACGCCCCTGAATATTAGTAGAGACTTGAAATTTGGACAGAAAACTTCTATTCGCTCTTTTTATAAACGTAGTAAAATTTTCAAATAATTTAGCTACTCTTGAACTATTTATAGACTTTTTAATTTTGCGAGTTTTGTACGCAATTTTTATTCGGTAGGTACTCTGTGGTAAGATTGTTAGAATACACAGAAATGATTGAAAATTGAACAGAATGTTAATTATAAGTTGTACATTGTGATCAAAATAAACAAAATTTAATTTATTGTAGTATATTCTTTTATACGAATTTTAATAACAAATTTTGAAGAAATTCGTTTTAGTAAAAAATTATTTGGAACAAATTTAGTTTCTGATCCATACACATTGTTTCAATATACATTTATTTTACTTTAATATGATATATGATATATATTGTTGAAAAAGCAATACTATTAACCGAGCTCCGCTCAGAATTGTTTTTCGTTAGCAATGATTAATCTTTGCTATAATTTCAGAAAAATACTAAAAACATTTGCTGTTCATCGCTGTGAGAATATTTTTGAATAATTATTCAATTATCAAGATATTTTTAATATTTATATGTATGTAAAATATTAATTAAAATTATTTAAGCATAGTTACAGGACTATTGATTATTTTGAATCAAGTTTACAACTTGAGAAGCTTACTACTGAGAACGATCCCTTATAACCTCAAATTATAAAAATGTTCGTTCTCTAGTGATAAACTCCCATGGCCTCCATTCTTATATTATCTATGTATATATGTAACATTAATCCATGATATAGTTTTTATGCATATATTAATGGATATTTTGTTAACTTTTTCCGCGGAAAATTTAGTAAGTGTTAAAACCGGTAGGTTTTCTCATAGTTTGTGTATAGCGTGGCTATAGACGGCGGTGGTAGATAATAAATTGGATAGATACTACGAATTTGATAAATTAATGTTAACTAAATTAACTTAATTAACTAAATTAATGTTTATTAATTATGTTTTACTAGATACAAAATATAATACAATACCTATTACCTATTTAATTATGATTTGTTATTTTATCACGTATTTTATTAATAATTGTATAATTAATTAAAATATCAATGTATTTATTATGATTTAGTTGTAAAGTATTCACTTAGAAAGATTTATTAAAACAATTGATTGGGAATGAAGCGACGACGAATGTCAGCCGAATGTGAAATGGATCATTCATATGCTATGCCTAATGTTGTAAGTTACATTTGAGATTTTAAATTTACAATATTTTATATTTTTATTAATTTATTATTTTATGTTTAGAATGATAATTCAAATGTTCTTTTGAAAAAAATTAATAATGTATATTCCAACCAACAACTGAATGATATTACTCTTGTAGTGGGTGGAATATCATATCCCGCTCATCGCTTCATGTTATGTATATCCAGTGATGTATTTGAGGTGATATTTTTTAATTATCTACCTGTTTTGTTGAATAGATAAATTAATTTTATTTACTTAAAGACAATGTTGATGAGTTCAAAATGGAGTGACTCTCACCAAGAAGTCATTGAGTTACAAGAAGTTCAACAGTGTATTGAAATATTTCCAATTTTTTTACAATATTTTTATACAGGTGTAATATCACTTGAACAAAGTAATATTATGCCAATAATTGTTTTAGCTGATAAGTATAATGTCAAGGTATAAACAATACTAAACAGATTTATATAAATATAATAATAAAATCTACTTATATTAATTTAAAATGTTGAAGGATCTCACTGTACTATGTGTTGAATATATGTGTGAACATATAGCTGATGCTGCTAATCAGGGCCAGTTGGTAACATGGTTTCAATATGTGTTGTCATTGAACCAACCAACTACAATGAATGTAAGTATTTAGTAATAATAATATTTGATTTCAATAAAAGGATAGTTTTAAATTAGATTGTAGAATATATTTATTTATATGGAAAGATATTATAATGAAATTAATTATATAATATCTGAAAGTAAAAATTGTTGCTAATTATAGCTAATGTTATAATAATGTTATTATTTATGTAAGTATGCCAGTATTAAAAACAATTTATCAAAATATAAATACTTAAAGAATCTTAAAATGTCCTATTAACTATTTGTCAACTAAGCCATTTTATTTATTTAGGTTTCTACACATAATCGTAGGGCTGTATTAACCATTAGGCTCAATGAGAAACATTAGGTCTAAAAAAAAAGGAGCTATAGCCAAAATAAAATAGTTTTAATTATATACAATTTATTATGGAATTTAAGCTCAACCGCTATCCTTACATAAGTCTTTTGGACAATGCGCCAATAATGTATTATTATTGTAATTGTTGATTAGTATCTTATTATATTATTATGTTAGGGAGCATGTAAAAACATCAAAAATAAATTAGCTGATTATTATAAATATGATTATTTAAGCAGACAAATATTTTTGCCAATCTGTATTTAAGCCAAAAAAAATTTGAGTAGATAGTATTTTATCCAAAAATATTACAGCCGATTCTAATAAAGAGATAAGGTCAGAACTTTAAAAAAATGATAATGCAAGATTAGAAATAAATTAAAAGGAGAGAAATTCTGTACATATTACTTTAAAATGAAAAACAAGTTAAATAGATGCCCCAAGTAATCCATTCTATGTTATTTGAATTTTTTAATCAATGAAGTTGATTTGAAAGTATATTGGTTTAGTTTTTATAAAAAATCTAATATGTGTAAGTGGATGTTTAACTACACATGAATAATTTAAATGCTTACAAATGGTTGAAATTTAAAACTTAAATTAATATTATATATTTGTATCATAGAAATATTCAAAATGTTGTTTTATCATTTTTTGTTTGTTCAAAATTGTGTCTGAATTATAACTTAAAATTTGTTCAAAATATCAACATTCAAACTTCAAAGCCTTCTAATTCAATATTTTCTAATTAAAAACAATGATAGGAAATGTACAAGTTGATAATAAGTAGTTTTGGACAGTTTAATTGAAATATTTTCAGCTAAAATACATTTCGGCTGTTTAAAAGTTGTAGTTTGTTATTAGTCATGTTGTCAATCAATTTTAAATGCTTTCATAATTAGTATTTATGAATAAATAGTAATTGGTACAGTTATGGAGATTAGTTCTAAAATTATTTCTAATCTATACTGTATCACAGGTGATCCATTTAAGTGGGTACACTTATTATCTCAGAAAGTAATAACTTTTTTATTTTCTAGAACATTTAAGAAACAAGAAGATCTGCAATTTTATATTTATGTTATTTTTTGTCACCCTTCTTTTGGAGTGTAAAACCACTAGCTTCTTTTAATTTTCAAATGGCAACCTATATTAAAAAGTCAATAAATAAATGGATTGTTAGTTAAAATAAATTTTAGTGTTGACATTTTTGATTTCTGACAATCCGTTGACAAGATATTGCACTTTTAAGTTAGGGTTGAAGGGGAGAGTAGTGGTGTATTATTAACATACCTCGCATTGTGCCGTTACGCAAATGATACTACACTACTCTCCTCCAACCCTAACTTAAAAGTACAATATCTTGTCAATGGACTGACAGAAATCAAAAATGTCAATACTAAAATTGATTTTAACTAATACTTCAACTATTTATGAAATTTTTAGTATAGATTGCCATTAGAAAATCAAAAGTAGGATGTGGTTTTACCCCCAAAAATAAAGGTTAAAAAAAATATCATAAATATAAAATTGTAGAGCTGGTTATTTCTTAAATATTCTAGAAAACAAATTCCAGAAAAAGTTAATACTTTCTGAGATAATGAGTGTACCTACTTAAATGGATTACCTGGTATATTATATAAAAAGTTGAAGTATAACATAAAATTTGATGTAAATTATTTTTATAAGTATGATATGAAAAAAAACTTTTTCAATCAGTGTCTTAGACGTATGTATGGATTAATCCAACCCTATATAAGCATAATATTCCATGTTACTAATTTCTTTTGAAACTATAGTAACTTAATTGTTCAAAATATTTTTAGAAACCGGGAACTTTGCATACTTGTAAAATTCTGGAAATAGACTCTAACTCGTTTTATAATTATTTTATTTTGTTTCAGGCTTTATATTATTGTAACATTTGGCAAGACACTGAATGTGTGAGCATCAAACCACCGTGGAATAAATTACTTAAAGTAAGAATATAATTTAAAATTGTATGTTAATAAATTACTTTTACCACTTCATAATAACTCTAAAAATGAGTACATAATATTGACAGAGCTGTTACTAAATTAAAAAAAACAATAAAAAATGATTTTTGAGTAACAATTGTTTAAAAAAAAAAGTGAATATATAGTGTATATTATTCTTAAAATAATATTTAATATATTATTATTACATAATAACATAAGAAGAATTATTACATTTTAATTCTTTTTTTTAAAAAATACTCACTTTTAAATTAGTTTGTTCATTTTAGTATAAATGCATTTAATTAATGACATAAAATAACTATCAAATAAATAAACGTATTAACAATAATAACAATTAAGCACAGACATACTTTGCACAATGGGTGAGCCACTGTTGCGGGTGAAAAGTTAGGAAGGTAAGATTTAAAGTGAAATTGAATGTATATCTAACCTAATGCAACAATTAACCATTACTTACAAAAAAAGATTCCAAGTGAAGTTCAATCAAGTGAAGCGAATATTTTGAAAGGCTGTAATATTTATGATTTTCGTCAAAATTTGATATTAAATTTTTCTTAAAATCAATTTTTTTTTTTTTACAACTTGTAATAAACAATCTGTTAAATTTTCAAGCATTTCTATTTGGTCTGGCAATTTTATTCACGGAGTACCTACTAAATAAAAATTAAATAGAGAAAAAACTACCAAATTTAAAATGCCAATTTATAGCTCAACAATTTTTTGAAAATTTGACCATATTTAGAAAAACAAATATAAATGTTCTATCTAAATTTCAAGTCTCTACAAATATATTTAACTGGAAAAAAAAATTAATTTTGTAAATATTCCCAATTTTGCTAAGTTTTTCCTAATTATTATGAAAACCAATTGAAAAATCTAAACACTCTCAGATACCACCTAGGTAAAATGTTCATTCAGAAAAAGTACTACACTTGAAAATCGGAGCAAGATTTTTAGTAGGTAAGTTGTTTTCATGTATAATAAAAACATCTGTAAAACCAATACATTCCTCATTTAAATCAAAATCTAGAATAAGTTTGTATATAAACTATTTAAATTATAATTAAAAAGAATAAATATTAACTCAATAAATGAAGAACAATTATATTCATCTTCAATTAACTTTGAGTTTTTAATAAAAATATTTATATGTTTAATTGTATGTTTTTCTCATAAATTATTTACTTCCTCTAATGATAATCACTAAAAAACAAAGAAAAAAAGAACAAAATATTTCTGGAAAAATTGTCTACACATAAGTTATATTAAAATTCATTACTATGAATCATAAATTATCACATTACACTTTGCAAATACTATATGCCCACTTTTATGTCAATAATAGCTAAAAAAAAAACTAGACTAGTATTCTACAATATTCACTAAATTAATTTAATATAGTGAATAATAGTGTGTAAGTGGCAGCCTTGTATAATAGAATAGTCAAATAAATTTTCCCCATAGTATTTTAATATAATAAAATTCATTTCCAACAAAATGATGACTTACATTATTATTTTTAATCATTAGGCTTGCAGAAATTATATTAAATGGAATCTGGACTCCTGTGAAAAATGTTTCAACACATTTCACTGTGATATTCTTGTTGGGTTATTAAAACAATCTGATATTGTTATATACGATGAAATGCAGTTGTTTGGGTAATGTTTCAAAATAAATTTTCCTATTACTAAACTTATAAAATACATTTTTTTTTTTTTCATCTTATATATAGTTGTGTTGCATCCTGGTTAAATTACCAGTCTGCAGAAAAATTGCTTGAATGTAATGATGCAGATGCAATTGAGGACTATATGAGTTCCTTGACACAGCATGTTATGTCATACATTAGATATCCAATGATTCTTCCTAGACAGTTGGCTCAGTTATTAATGGTACCAGTTGTTAAAAAGAATAAAGAATTTTTTGTTGATAAAATGGCGGCAGCAATGGAATTTAATTTAGTTAAAATGGGTATAGTATCTAGAATTAAACTGTTATTAATAACATTGAGTTTAATTTTTGTTTTTTATTTTTAGAAATACAACCAAATAATGACCATTCACGAGAATGTACTCCAAGATTATATACTAGCGAACGATGGGGGTGTTCCTTTAGGGTGCGCACAAAAAACATAAAAAACAACCAACCAATAAAACGAGAAATTGTGACTTGTGGCAATTTGTTTGATCGTGAAAAACAGTTGAATGCTGAATTAAATTGGGTTGGTAGAATTAAAATTGAAAAACAAATTATCATTTAAACCTTTAAAACAAGTTAAACGAAGTTAATAAGTAATGTAAACTGTAGACACCTTGTTGATTATTTACTAACTGTGAGGTTATCTACTTTGGTGACTCTTTAGTTCAAAAAGCTAATGGTTATCATCCTGTTGATTCATTCATAAAATTAAATTTTATTAATCTTTTAAATGATATACCAATCTATAGTTTTAATAAGTGTAAATATCATGTAATTTCTAACTTTTTTTTCTAATATTAACTTTGAGGTAAACCTAGAGGACCTATTTCTTGAAGATTCTATTAGTAAATTGCAGGGCTTGTTAATTTTCAAATAATTTTGATAATTATCGATATATATAATTATTAATTAATTCAAACAAAAAATAAAATGTATAAGGTGTTAAAGTATGTAAGTTATACTATGTATAGAATCAAAAAGCTTAGTGTTTATTGTTTGAAAAAATTATCCTACAAACAAATATTAATAAAAAACAATACAATTTCAATTGAATTTTAAATTTTTTGTTATAAATTAATTTCATCTATTTTTAGAAATAATGTTATCAGATATTTTTTTTAATATTATATTGTATAATAAGGATTGGATAGTTATCAGCAAACCCTGGTAAATTATATGATATAATTAATCACCCTTTCACCATTTTTGTGCAAATAATTATAATTCTATATAAAGTTATAAACCCCTTGAAAGATTAATAATTGATGAAAAAATGTGTTAATAGAAAATGTAAGATTAGTACTTTCTATTTAGATTATTTTATTTATTTTAATATACATAAAAATTTGAAAATTTACATTAAAATTTTTATTAGTAGGTACTCTGTAGATAAAATTGTTAGACCTAATGGAAAAGTTTGAAAATTTAACAGTAGGTTCATTATAAGTTGTAGCTTTGTAGTAAAAAAAAAAATTGAGTTAAATGTAGTATTTTTATTTTTTTACGAATTTTAAAATTAAATTTTGATGAAAATCATAAATATTACAGCCTTTTAAATCATATATATCTGAAGTCCACTCAGAATCGTTTTTCGTTAAGAATAATTAAATGTTGCGTACAGATAGGTATTAAATTTCTTTTTATATACTACCTTCCCAATACTAAGTATTCAGGAACCTAATAGTTTACCGCCTGTCTTCTTAAAGAACTATAGAAGTGTACTTTTTACACAATTACATTTAATTTTTAATAAGTTTCTAAAAATGAGTACATTTCCAGAATTTTGGAAAAAATCATTTGTAACCTAGATTTATAAGTTTGTGGATAAAGCAAAAGTTTGAAATTATAAACCTATTTTTAAATTATCAGCTATTCCAAAAAAAATATTATTACTAAAAAACTTTCATTTTTAATGTTATGTTACACAAATTAGGTAATAATCAACATGGTTGTTTTAGATAGAATGAATCAATACTTACTAATTTAGTTTTATATCAATGAATTATTATTTCTGGTTTGGGGGCAGTAAGTTGATTCAATATATACAGACTTTCGCAAGGTATTTGATAAAGTAGACAATCAACTTTTATTAGTGAAATTGGACTATTATGGTTTAAATAGCTAATTTTTTAATGTGAATAAATCATATTTTATTAATCGTTATCAAGTCGTAAAATTAAGTTCTGTAATCTACCGATATTAAAGTCCACTCTGGGATACTACAAGGATCCTACTTAGACCCTTTATTATACATTTTTTTTTTTTTGTAAATGACTTGTCTAGTATTTTTAATGTTTTTATAAGATTAACTAGTAAAATAGATGACCCTGAGTTACTTTCAATGGTTGTTTTTCACACTAATTATCAAAGTGATTAAAATGTTTAGTTTTTTGTTATGTATCATTAATTATAACATTTGACATTTAATTTTTCATAAATTAATTTTACTTAATAGTATAGAAAATAGTGTTGATCTTTTTCTTTGTCTTGGACATTTTTAAATCAAACATTTATAATACGTTAGCTAATTGTACTTTATAGTTTATTTTATTTGTTTATTATGTTTGTTATCTATGTCCTTTTTTGATTTATAGTTAAAGTTTATACCCGTTTACAAATTATAAAATAAAATTATTTATTTATTTATGTATATTTTTTTTTGGTTTAACAGGAAATAGCATTGTACTTAAAAGGCGTACATTTTGATAAAGGTTTATTGATGACTTGGCGTGGTTCTTATGAAGTACCAGATAAAGTAATCAAAACAGTACGTGCAACAATTCGGATGAAATCACGCCAAAATGAAGTAAAAGATACATCACGTCATGTTCGTATTGCCATTCTTGTGTATGCTGTTCAGAATAAAATCTCTCATGTCATAACTGTTGTACAAAAAGTTGCATTGTTCGACCAAAATCAAAGTGTTGTAACTATTGATGATTTAATGGTGTATAATGCATTTAACCAACCAACAATCAATGAAGAATTAAATAATATAAACGGCACAAATGTGTCATACTTTGGGTCTGATCGAATTCCATTAAAGTTCCATGTTATAATTACTCCTTTTATACCTGGATTGACTGATTCTCATATTGGCACCAGAATACAACATGTACACTTTTAAAAGTTTAATAAAGGCGTACTTATTTTAATTATTTAGTATGATTAAGACGTTATTTTTAAGTTTTATTATTAATTTCAATGTTTTTTAACAACATATAGTACTCAGCAATCCAGTTGGATTATTTATCCATTTATATAATAGGTAATTATTTATTTTTATTTTTCGAGGAATTAATTTGAAAAAAATTTGGCCATTGGGCAAATTAAAATCACTTTAATTTTTGGATGTCCAAGAACAGACTTTCTCATATTATATTAAAAATGATAAGGTTTATAAATAAAATATGATTTTAAATGTTCAAAATAATTGAGATTTCATTTTAATAGTGTTAAGGAATTAAATATTTATCCTTGGTTCAATAAATATATTTTTCACTTAATTTCTCAGAATATCCAGCTGCTTTAATTATTTTTTTTTTCAATCAGGAAATATATTGTACAGATAAGCACTACATTCCAAAATAGTATGGTTTTTGAGATTATCTTAAAAATGATGGTAACTTAAATGTAGTATTTATTATTCCATTTAAAATAAGCTAATTAGTAATTATTAAGGTATTTTAAATAAAAATTTTGTTTTTAAAAAGTTATAATAAACTATAATGGCTTAGCTGTGTAGAGTGATAACCATGTATTCACTAAAATTATAATTTGTTTATTATGCACACATTATTTTTCTTTTTTTTTAATATAATAATAATGTATCAACTAAAAAAAATATTCCTATAGTCAATTACCTATTGATGTTATTAAATTACATGCCTTTCTAAGTTTGTAATTAAATTTTAAAAACTATTCAGGTATGACTGATCATTTTTTTTTTTTTCATTTTTTAGTATACTACCCAATACATTGATGGATTAGTTGATACTTATGGGTGTTACTTTATATGTTATCTATTAAATTAATGAATGATATTCACTAAAATAAAAATAAGATTATCTTTAAATGTTGCTAAATATTTCCTTTATGGCACATATCTTGCAGGTAACACAATATTTAAAAAATCCAGTTTTACATAGGAAACAAAATGACTATGAATAATTATAATAATGGATAGAAAACATAGAAATTTTCTAATGATAATATTACTATTACATAGACTATAAATATTGTAATAATTTTACATTTAGAAAAAAATTAAAATTATTATAGGTAGTATTGATTTTTTTTTTGTCAATAATCCATAGATATCCTACATACTGCACATAAAAGTGTTTATAAACTTTGTATGTTTTTTATAACTATTGTTTGTAAAATTGATTATTACATAATATTTAAGTGTTATTATTTTTCAAAATAAACATGATATATCTTTGAAAATTGTAATTATTCACTTACATCATAGCAATGAAAATGTTTAAAAGTATGTTATTATTAAATATAATATTGTTTAAAGAGAGACACCAGAGAATAAAATTTTATAATGCACTTCTTACTTTTTTCATGAGCCCTCTAAATTTAACCAATTATGCCAAATGAACTATTTTGAATATTGACTAAATTGGTAGTTGAAAGAGCAAAAAAAATATTTTTTGTTAAGTCAGCCATATGTACTTCTTTACTAAAAAAACATACTTTACTGCATCCTTAGATAAGTCTGTTAAAATTAATTCACACGTGGTACGTAAATAAATTATCAACTATAGGTGCATTGGTCACACCAACCAAACAAGTAGGTATTAATATTTGTGATCACTACGGGCATGTTACATTTCAATAACTCCATTATCTAAGTTATACATTAGCAGTGATAATATATAAGATCATTCAAATTTCATGAGAGACCAATTTTCGAAGAAAATGTTATATTGGCTGTATTGACAAGATATTCTACTCATAATTTTGGACAAGTATATACATTTCATTTTTTAAAAAATAAGTAATTTATAATAAATTTGATTGCATTGTGAAATTAGATGAATGTACCCTTTTGTGTACTAATGGTGATTATTTACATTTCAAGATTATCTATTATTATTTTTGTTTATAATATCAGTCAATTATTTATTAACTTATCATGGATAAAAATGAGGTACAAAATATAAAGCAGGAATAACATACTATGAATAGTAAAAAAAATAAATGTATTAAATAAATACTATGTCATAATTTTTCTTTTATTAACAAATAATTTTGTTTGGTCATAATAAAAAATATATATATATATATATTTTTTTTCTGTAATAAGTAAAGTATAAATACTTCTTGTCATTGGGAAAAAATTTAACTTTTAATATACTTTAAAGCGTAATAAGGAAATTGAATAAATTAATAAACTAACTTTATAAGTCAAAAACAACTTAGTATTATACAAACATATTTTTAACCACAATTATCTAAACTTTACATATTTGAATTCAAATGGTAAACATATTTAAGAGAACAAACTTATAGTGTATAAAAAAACTAAATAAAACAAATTATTTTATAATAGTGTATTGTCTCATTTCTACAGTGCTAAAATTACCAATGAGTAGATCTCTCCTTTCAACAGGTGAGTGCACCTTAATTTGTCTCATATGTGTGTCTCTTCCATTTTGATGATTAGTTATAACAGCTATTTGTATCATATATGTTTTTAGTGGTAAATCGTTCATATCTTTTGTCATAATTCTTACCCAACCATATGGTTCACTTAATTCAACTACTTCAACTTCTTGTAAGTCATTAAAGTTTGTACCAGCACGTACTGATATACGGCCAGGTGTATAGCTTTCATCAAGTCTATAGTCAATATAGATGCATATATCTCGCACAACTGTTTTTCGTCTGAACTGAATATTAACTAAATGCGGAAGTTGGCCATCGGATTGCCAATATGTTTCCATACAATCGTCTCTTAGTTGGTCGACACCAAAACCTAAAATAAAATGATCCATTATAAAAAAATTTAAATACAAATACATAGCTTTAAGTTTAAATTAAATATTAACATTATAGTTAATAAAGATCAGACAATTTTTCAATGAATAATAATTCTATTGCACAAATCTTGTGAACGCTAAACACACTAAATAACATAATTCGCATATTACTATGGTTCATAATTTCATTACTATTGAAAAGCTTCCGACTATAATATAAACATAAAAGGAATATTATTATGGTTCGTAAAACTATATTCTATTATACATAATATGTATATTAAGCGTGCTATATTGCTATGCAAATATATTATACATTGGAGTTATAGACATATTTTAGTGTTTATATAATTTATGAAAATTAAATTTAAAAGGAACAAACATTAAATATATAAAATAGTTGAAGAAAACTATTTAGTTGGTTGCATTCAAAATTAATTAAACCAATAGAAAATCACAAAGAACAAGATTTTTTCTCAACTAAAAATCTATTTTCAAAACATAATAGTTCTGTATTGTACTCGGTCACACATCATGATAATTGTGGATAAATCTAAAATGTATACCTAATCTTGCATTTAAAGTAATTTATAATTTGGACGAAAAAATTGTAAATACATTTTTTTCTTTAAATTTTCATTTAATATAAATATCATCTATCTGAAAAAAATTAAATCTACCTGGTTTACATGAAGACAGGCTCCATATTGCTTGGTTTCCTACTTCGCGTACTAGTCCGGCCCGAACATCTTTCATTGGATCAATTTTCTTTTCTTCAAATGCGTTTAATAATGCATTGTTGTTATTTGGAGTTGCCATTGGTCGTAATTTAAAATTACTTTTAAACCTAAAGGCAATAAATAACTGGATGATAAACACATACAATTTATTCGGTTATTTTATTTAAATGTAAAATTCTAACAATTAAAATAGTTGATGGTGAAGATAGTTTAATAATTATTAAATAATAAATAGTCGATGTTATGCGGTTATTCGTTGGTGGTTTGAAGTATGCAACTATTTGGTTATTTGAACTTCTTGTTATCAGTTTCTTATTACTGCAATCACAGTCTCAGATAATGCACGTTTGGTAACCAAGGTGGATTAATCATAGATAATACAATGTACGAATTATCTTCGGGATTAATAATGTGTAATCATTTTCGCCAGCCCGCTTAAGATGATTTGATCGAAAACATTACTGCAGTTAAATGTTAAAACTGCCGTTAGGTTAATCTGCCTGGCGAACCTTATTTATGATTAATCCGCGTTGTTGTTAACATTTTTCGATAGAATGAATTCCGTTTACCTACTAAAACTGTTTAATGATAAAAAGCTACCTTTCTAGATTTTATATTCTGTCCACAGATATAATATAATAGGTATATTATTATACTGTACAGTATACATTATAATTAAAGACCGGATTTAATTGCATTTAAAACACACAAAAATTGCATATTAAATTATATAATTGCACCTAAACATACGTACGATTTTTATAATAAATTGCACTATACAAATACAAAATGTTACCTTTTTTGGATTAAAATTGATAATTAGATACATTTCAAAATTATGTTCATTAAAATTAAATATTTTATTACTTAAAATATGTTTGTACAAAGAAAAATGTTCCATCCATATGTTCTACGTCTACACTAGTTATTGGTGCATATTTAAAACAATTCAATAAGGTAGTCGTTATATCTAAATTAACTTTTATTTTACCTGACATAACTTCATAATGAGATATAATAGTTTTGTGCCCTTCATTTTTTTTTCAATTACATACATAAATTTGTCTTTAATTTTTTTTCATCCGGATCAGAAATATTTATTGAAATATCTTCAATTTTTCTTAACACATTCATACTTTCAATTAGTTCACTATTCGATGCTTCCAAGTTTGTAAGATTAATGGATTTATTCGGATAAGTGTAATCTTGTGAAAGCTATATCACATTTGACTGCATTATTTTGTACAAGCTGTCTCAGTTTTTCCACGCTGATAACATAGTCTTTTAAACTATCAATCATATTTTTAAATTTTTAAAAATTATTTGCATTGAAAAGTGCAGCATTTAGCCACGTGTCCCTCCTTGTAATAATACAACGCCTTTAACGCCAACCGGCTTTTATAGCGAGCATTCTAGTAAACTAAAATTATCCATATCGGATAATACCGAAGATAATAAAATGATGTATATATATTGATAATGGCTCTTAATAATAGCTAACTAACCTTATCTACTCATAACGAAAACTCGGTGTGTCATAATAGCATTTTGTATACAATAAATTTAGCTGAGTTAAATATTTTGTTCATTTAATCACACAAAATTGTAAACATTTCAAAAACTTCTATTATAAAATTAAATAGGCATAACACATAAAGTATACATCAACTATACATTTGATCAGATTTGGTTTATCTTAACTTCAGAAAAAAGTTGCAATATCAATTAAATCCGGTCTTTAATTATAATACAATACCTATAAAATATATTTGTCGTTCGGTCGCCAAAACCAATTTAGGTAATGATTGTTATTAATAGATAAGTAATAAGAATAATTTGTAAACAAATTATTTACAAACATTTTTTGAAAAAATTAATTTTATATTTAAAATTCTATTAATTACTTGGGCTGCATTCGAAAAATTACATAAACTAAAAAACAAACACCATTGTAAAACCTAACCTTTAAAATGAGTTTAATGAAGCATTTTTTTTTTTAAACGAATTTGAATATCAAATTTTACCGATAATTGTAAATATTACGGCCTTTCAAATGATGTACGGTGAACAGTTTCAGATTCTGAGCGGAGTGAGGATTGTATTGGTTTTACAATAATGTTCATTATTATTATTATAATTATTTTTTTTTTCTGTTGACAACTTTTTTACCAATAATTTTGTCCGATTTTCAATGATAGCACTTTTTCTGAAAGGAAATAGGACTGCGGAGGTAAGATTTACAGATAATATAGCTCGTCTCATAGTCATATAAGCAAAACCAAAACCCCCCCACACCGTACTTTATCTAGTGACTTTATTGTAGTATACAATTGCCGGGAAATATAGTGGCGTTCATAGGAATCGCATACAAATATGAAATAAATAACAAACAAAAAATTGTATTATGTTCGGAATTGAAATGTATGCTTTAATCTTTAGAATGAAATCTGCAGAGATCATGATCATTTTAGATACCAAGTGTAGTGATATTAAACATAATTTGAAATTGCCTAGTTGGCTTTTAAATGTATTTCAATAATTAACAGACTGTATTTAATTTATTAATATAAATCTAAACATAACAGGTATATTTATTATTATAATATAGCATACAGTGTATGCTCTATACACTACACACTATATATGTATTATACTAATATAAATACGAAATTATATACTACAATAACAATAATTTTACATATGTACCTGTGAAACGAATAAATGATGTATCGGATCTACCATCATTTTTTGTTTTACTATAGTTATTTATGCAAGTAGCAATAGTACAACATAAGCTCCCTTTTGGCTATAATATATTTGATTTCATATTCATACAAAACGTACAAACAAATAAGATGAAAAAAAAAAAAATAAATATTCAAATAATTAATAAAATAAAACAAAAGGAAATATGAAAATTTTTCGATGTACATAATAAAATGTTAAAAGTTGATACTACAATGACCTAAGCGGTTCAGTTCTCCCACTCCTACTTTTTTGAAATTTCCGTATGAGACAGCTTGTATTGTCTATAGATCTTGTTGGGGAGGTACTTTAGGGAGGTAATTTTTTGATTTTCCCAGGGGTTTTCTTAACAAATAGGAAAAACCAAGAAAAATGGGAAAATAGATAAATTATTAAGCAAATATTATTAAAGAAAATATATAATACCTATGTAATTATTTTACCATAATATGACATTGACATATTTTATATTGTTGACGCAGCAACACTATCAACCGACCTTCGCTCAGAGTCGTTTTTTCGTTAGCAATGGTTAATCGCTGCTTACAAATATACCTACCTACATTAAATTACCTATAACGGCTGCAGCCGTGCCCAATATATTAGGACAGTTCTTTTTGTAAGTGTACATTGTTCACATACCTTTAACCGAATTTCGCTCTTAATCGTTTTTCGTTAACAATGGTTTATTGTTGATTATTGATATAAATTAAATTCCTCTCTATAAACTACTTTCGCAAATTCTCACTTACAACAAAGGCCCATCAGTGTGCAAAGTATGTCCGTCTTTTTGTTTTTTAAGTTTAAAAACCACCTCAAAAATAAAAATAATTTCAAATTAAAATATTCCTATCAAATCACTTCTGATTTAAAACGATCGGTATGCTGCAATATTGTCTATTGGTCCAATAGTATTGGAAACAATTACCTACCTAATGTTATTGATTATACATAAATAATGAATGCTAATAGGTATTTTCGATTAGGTATATAATATTATAATGAATGCTATTAGGTACTTAAATTCACGAGACATTTAACAAATAATTGTTCTAGCGAGAGATACCTACTATGTATGCTCTGACTATCTCTGATAATCCATTATCCATTGGACTACATCTCCCCAGTTTGAGCATTGTATTGTATTGAATTCGAGTACTTTATTCGGCAAAGGTAAATGCCTAGATACCCAGGTATTGAGGTACCTAGGCACCTAAACTAACTACAGTTCTCGTTTTTTTCTATCAACTATCAAAAGGAAGACCATTAATCAAAATAGAGTACACACCAACCAAATTACTAAAACTAAATTGTATATCAATAATATACTTAGTTTTCGAAATGGGTAATTACTGAATAATTAAGTTTTTACAAAGTCTTCTTAAAAAAAAGTTACCAACGAGGTTAAAATTTATCTAAAATAGGTGCCTAGGTATAATAATAATACAATACCTAACTATCCATAATATAACACAATTTCGAAGAATCTATCCAAACTATGTATATTGTTTTTTAATTAATTATTTTTGATACATTCTTACCTTTCGAAACTGTAATGATATCCGTGTAATCCGATTTCACACGAGAAGTACGTACTTATTAATTTTGTAGGTACTTATATAGGCTTATAGATATTAAATATTTGCAATACCTATTGCAATAATGACCGTAAATATTATTTTTAATTAAAATAACCAGTTTTGATTTTTTTTTTTAAATTTCTTTTTGATCTTGAAGAAACGTGTTATTGTGTGTTAAATGTTAATAGTTAATAATTAATACTGATGAAGCAGTAATGTAGTACTGCGGCATAGCAGCAGTGACTTTAGTGAATAGTAGATGGCATTGTAGCGGTTTTATAAATAGCTCACGGTGGGTTTTCATAAGTTCCGTAAATTCTGATAAAGCTTCGATTATAAAACATATAATCGTATTTTATACCTGTAATATAATCAATCTAGATAAAGGCGAAAAATAATCAATAATCAATTTTGATAGGTTATAATTAGTAGGTAATAACCGTATGATCTTATACGAGTTACCTGTTGGCTATTTGTTTAAATCCATTTCATATTATCTATAAGTTATATAATATATCTAATATTGATTCATTGGAGTCTCTGCAATAATTTATTAAATCTCAACGGTGTACTATACTTTATATTATCTTAAAGTGTATTGCAGGTTATGTAAAGTTCATACGTTACTATTTCTAGGAAAAATATAAACATAATTAATATTAATATTATTATTATAAAATCCATTAGTATGGAGTGGTATTTTGTATATTTATCCATTGGGTGTTGACACACAATGTGTACACATACACGTAACATATTATATACAATTTAAATTTTTAAATTAAATTCATTTCATTTTATACTGACGGTCATTTCAGCAGTCATAGCAATAGTGTTGGGTATATTCAGCGGTGTTCCGATTGTAGACAAATCACGGTTATACTCGAATAATTAAAAACAAATTGTCATTTCAGCGATTATAAATCAAAAATGCACAATTTTCTCACGATTTACAATAGAATTTTTTAAACTTCGAGTGAATTTTGGTAATTCGTGTAAAAATAATATCTGTTTCCCTAATCCCAATACACAGTATAAATAATAAGAAACATAGGCAGTAGGTATACAAAAAATTAATTCAACGTAAGGCACTGGAAATTGAATAGTATATTTTCAACAAAATTGATGAGAATATTCTACTGGGTTATATTGTTATATATTAAAATGGGGGGTATTTGAACAATTTCAAGCACTTACGACAGTACGTAGGTATTTCATTCTTTTTGGAAATTTTCCCGAACAAAAATCACTAAAAACATACTAACCTATTTATTTAGTGTAGAACTGGGTAAATGTTTAATTTTATTTATATTTACGGGACGAGCACAAACGGCTAATTTCTATGAGTTGATAATATTACGATTTGTATGTATATTTAGTTGCCGATCTTAGATAGTTTCGATATTTTTATCAAATAATGTTACATTGATCATTGTAAAATATTTTTCACTTACTATTTCTTACCTACTAAAATTTGTCGATAGATTAGGTAACTAATACTTCTTACTCTATTTTATAGATATCTTTCACTTTCATCACACCCCCAATAAATGTATTGTTGAACGATATATTATTATAAAAATCATTGTTTTATAAAGTTTTAGATTCGGATCTATTGGTTTGACTACATTATTGTTTCTTTTTTCTGTCCGTAAACGAATTTTCTAACAGAAATCTAGCTTTGATGTATAGAGTAAAGTACCTTTTCTGAAAGGAAATTTTGTCTAGTTGGTACATTAAATATATCACTTTTTAATTTTCCAAGTGTTTTCGAAATAATTGGGAAAAACCCGAAAAAAAATTATAAGTAAAACGGCAAATATTTATGACACGCAGCGGCGTTACCGATTTCATTGTTTTTAATTTTTGTAAACGCAATGTTTTTTACCAGAAATATTGCTCCAATCTAAAAATGACAAGAGACAGAGTCCGATCTCTTGAATATTTCACTATTTACAGTGTAGATAAGTCGTTTATCAAAAGTAGTTATCGTAATAGTTCGGAAAAACCTAAAAAGACAAATATACGATGTTACAATTTCAATATTTAAAATTTGTACGCTTTCCATTTTAAATCAGAAATATTGCTCCAACAGAAAATTGAACACAAAATTTTTTTGGTTGAATTTGTAATCTAATTGGTGACCAATAAATTAAATTTTTGATTTTTGTTGTAGTTATTTAATAATTGAGTAAAACCAAAAAATATGTAGGCAGAATGGAGAAATTTAGGAAAATAATTCTTTTATTATTTAAAATTGTTTATTGTATTGTAATTTAGTAAAAAATATTCGTAGGGATTTGAAATTTTGATAAAATACTTATATTTGCATTTTTAAGACATGATGAAGTTTTCCAAACATTTTTGAGCTATTTATATACAGTGTATTTCACTTAAATGGGAACACGAAATATTTCTGTCCAGCGACTTCGGATTGATATGGGGTTTTCAAGAGAAGATAAGAAATACTGAAATACACATTTTGTATGGATTTTCAAATTTCATACACTTTCAGTGTGCGTATGCGCAACAAAACTTAATTTTTTTTTAAATGGAAATACCTATTTTCAACATTCGATTTGGATAACCATTTTTTTCTTGTAAGCAACTTATATAAATAAATTTTTTTTCTTATCTCGAAAATTTGCTGAATTACAGCTAGTCAAGTTTTCAATCTAAATTATTGAATTTTTCAAAAATAATCTTATGATTTTTAAATTCTCAATTAGTTATGTGTACTTTATTTGCACTAGTAGGTTTTACTGTCATAATTTCATATTTTTAAAAGTTTATTTGTAATAATTTACGCGCGTGGTGCACATTTGTTGGTAAATTTACTCGGAAATACCTATTACTGAGTACTTATTGAAATACCTACCTATTGCAATGTAAACATTTATTGGTTTATCAGTAAATGAGTTTTATCGGTTGACTAACGGATAAAACTATTACGTTATTAATAATATTACTAAGTTAATAATAATATCATTCCCAGATATTAAACAGATAATTTTAGTTATTCTTTTATTTTACTAAACGTTATAACATTTATAACAACGACTCGATCATTTAAACCGAGAATTTTAATTGGATCGGAACATTCATTTTTGTGTTCATATTTTTTTAGCATTGAGATTCATATTATACAAAAATGGCTAGCTATAGTGAAAAATTTGGTATGGTTTTAATTTTGAATAATGAATGATGAGTGTTTTTGGTAAGAAATTGTTTAAAATAAAATAAATTTAATAATAATAAAATAATTTTATTTCAACTTTAACTAGCCGTATTTTGATTAATTTTCGAGATAAGGGAAAAGTTTATTTATATAAGTTGCTTTAAAAAAATAATGGTTTATCCAAATCAAGTGTTGGAAATAGGAGTTTCTATTAAAAAAAAAAGGAATTTTTGTTGCGCACTCACACACTGAAAGTGTAATAAATTTGAAAATCTATACAAAATGTGTATTTCAGTATTTCTTATTTTTTCTTTAAAACCCCATTTCAATACGAGGTCACTTTACAAAAATATTTCATGTTACCATTTAAGTAATTTTTCAAGTTTTTATGTACTTTTTATTTTGTAGGTACTCTGTGAATATAACTGTTCGAATAGACAGAAATGTTTGAAAATATGACACGAAATTTATTATAAGTTGTACTTAGTGGTAAAAAAAAAATTGATTGTTTTTTTATTTTAGTATTGTTAGAATTTTGAAATTAAACGTTGACGAGAATCGTAAATAAAAAATTTTAAAACATCTATAACCAAAATTTACTCCGAATCGTTTTTCGTTAGCAATGTTTATCGTTGGTTGCAGATATAAATTAAATAACTTTAATTACCTATCCCATTTTTCCAACTATCCACCTACAACTGTGGCCGCTCCCATCCACAGTATCAGCTCTTTTTTCAATTATATTATATTGTTAAAATTTATTAATAGGACCACGTAGGTATACGTTGAAAAAAAACCGATTTATTTAAAAAAAAAAAAACCTCATAACATAAGTAATAGTTTTTCAGCATCCCAACACATGGTGTTCGAAATGAATATTTTCAATTCTTTTGGTATAACTCACCCCACGTAAAACGAACACGGCCAATTTAAAAGTATTATATCACTGCCGATACTAAAATAGGGCGCTCTTTTTAAATTGACTGCCAACTCTCAACGGGAGGGACGTTATCCCAGTTAAGATTAATGAATTGTTTCGAGACCAATTTCTTGGGGATCGTTATTTTTTCGAATATTTTTTTTTTTTTTACGATCCTTGTCGCCTTATTACTCCCAAACGCCATTTTTAAAGACACCACATCATTTGGTACTGGAAAATATATTATTATAAAAAAATAAAAACGCCAATCAATATTTTATTTGTGTGTGTGTGTTATACTTTGGTCAAATTACCAAATATTTTTGGTTTTTATTACCATATTATAATAATTTATTAAATTTAAAAGCACTTATTTATTCATAAAATTTGTATAGGTACAGTTTAATAATTTTATATTCTCAGTGTAGAGAATAATGTGTTGGAGGTTTTACAAAGATGTCTATTTTTTTGTTTTTTTTTTATGTAAATACTTTTTCTAATAAATATAAAGAAAATATATAATTTGCATCAACTAGATTATATGAAAACTTATATAGTCATCTCACGTCAAAAAGATCTGTGATACAAATTTTGTGATTTTATGTGTAGAAAATTGTATTTCAATAACTAATTATTACACAACGAAAAATACATAAGAGAATTACGAAAAAAAGATCCAATACTGCAGACACTGCTGTATGTATAGATTATAGATTACGTACAGTAATATTTATATTTTTGTGGGGTTAGATTATATTATATAAAAAGTCAATAGAGGAAAAAAGGATTCAAGGTTAGTTATTAGGGCAGTAAAGTTGTGTAGAATGTGGAGGGTGTCAAATATATAATCTTATTATAGTTTGGGGTGTACAAAGAGGATTGTCGTTTAGAGAAAGTTTGGAAGAATGATAGTATAGGGGAATGAGTCGGATAATTAGATCGAAATTAATCGAAATTAGATTTTTTATCAATTTGCATTTACAAGATAAAACCAAAGTTAGTTTAAGTTAGGTGGGCACATAAACTACACTGTACCGCTTGTACCGGTATACAGTAGGTACATTTCAATTTTTTGGGAAACAGCATAGAAAACCGAACGTAG